AAGGTAAAGAAGAAGCATTTAAAAAAGATTAAAATTTAAACTCAATATTAAAATTTTTTTCGATGCTCTTCCGCCAAAGAAAATAAACCGCAGTTCAAGTACCTAACACTGAAATCAATACTATAATTTTAAGTTGTAAATCACATTTTGGCATAAAGAACAGCTCGGTCTTTAGAATGGACAAATAACTTAAATTTATGAAAGTAATTTAACTTAATGATTACCAATTTGGCAAAATTTTTCCACCAAGAGGAATTTTTTTAAAAAAATCAATGAATAATTCACAAATTTTTACGAGTCCAAATAATGCAACATTCAAGTAAATTTTTGAAAATAAAAAAATTTATCACAAGCGCTTTTCACAAACTGAGGCTTTTTGCTATTTTTTAGTAAAGATACTTAACCTAACAGTCATGAATAACTGCTGCAAACTGACAGCCGTTATATGGAAGTAGCACGCTATTTCATGTGGTAACGATGACTTAAAAAACAGCCCTTAATATTCATAAGCTATTTCCGAGTTTCACAATTTTTATCCGATTTTTTTTAACCATAAATTGTACTAAAAAATTGGAATAAAAGAGCTAACTTTTTAAAGTTATTGCCCAATTTGGTTGTTTCGATGCAATTCAAATTATTATTTATGAGTCTTATTAGAGCATTTCTCTTGCTTTAGGTAATTCAAAATAATGAGAAAGTCCAGAAGGGCACAGACATGCAGAAAGAAATAAAATCCTTACCAATCAAATTTTTTATTTATTTTTTCATTTCTAATCCTAACTGCGCTAAGCTGTACATGGTTAACCATTCATAAAGTAGAAATGCAGACAAAATATTTTAAAGACCAATCTATACATTAACAAATTAAATATATGGATGGTTGACCATGTAAAGTTAAGCGCAGATAGTTAAAATTTGTCGTAAGACTTATTGTTACTACTTCGGACTGAAAAACGCATCCTCCAATATTATTATACTTGTAGCGTTTACAATATAACACGTTCTTTCAATCTAATTTTCAACGAAACAAGCCACAAAAGAATTTCGAAGAATCCAAAAGCTTTCTATGATGCTACCCAAAATAAAACAAATGGTTCTAGTTTAAACAAATATAGCCAAACAAGGGATGGCACTCAAAACATGGCTAATCTCACAGTTTATTTATGCTGCAATATTAATTCTCTTAAATTTATTTTAGGCTTAAGGCCTGTTAGGATTTACAAATTACAGAAAACTCTTATGAATGGTAAAATTTACGCGTAAATTTTAACACACATCACAATCATAAAACTTCCTAGAATATTAAGGCTGTTCACACATTGCCTTGGTTCAAGACACCAGAGGTTTTCTAAACTTCTTCTGGTTAAAGGAAGCTTGTCATTGTTTACATTCAGTCAACCATTCGTAAGCAATGAAAAGAAATGTTATACAATCTTAAAGGATATGTTTATAAATCACCAAGAGAGTATTTTGAAGCTCTTACACAATGGAAAATGCCTCCAGTATGAACGTATTCAGCTTGAAGAAAAGCTTCAATAAGTCTTAAACGATACTGTTAAAAAAACTGAGTGAACTTAAAAACGAACAAATATTTCACATGTGTGAAAAAATTATTAAACTTTATTAAATAGTGATTAGCTAGGCATGTTTCTTTTACCACATTAATTTTAAAATTAAAGTGATAAATTTTTTTCAAATTTTTTTGATATCAAATAATTTAGTAGAGTATCTTTTTTTTAAATACTAAAATGCAACACTATTTTCAATATCAAGAAAGATAGTGCATGGTAGAGGTTCAACAAAAATTTAACCTAACAGTTTTGATAAACTGTTACAAATTCAAGTGTGACATTATTAACCAAAAATAAATATTAATAAAGACCAATAAAAAAAAGGGTATTAATCATGAAAGAACATTAGTTCTTTACAATGACAGAGTCTTAAAAAACACTCTAAATTAAATTTCAATAAAGGAAAGAGAGACAAAATAACAAACTAATAATAGTTTATCTCCAAGGAGATAAAAATTTGAACAGTGAAATGTTATGAACAGATTCAAAAGTAGCTAATAAAAAAAAAGCATTGGAAACAATAGTAAACTAATTTTTTTTCACAGTTACTAAATTAATGCTCTCTGACGCAGGAAATTATGATATGAGTTTTTAAAAATGGCATAATCTATTGTCTCTTACTAAAGTACTTAACAACTGATAAACATCCATCCAGAATTCTCATTATTTTCAGGTACCGTGTTACATATTTCAGTACTCAAGTATTACTAATTAAGACAAATAGAGATCAATAAATTAAGCTTCAAAACAAGGAAATAAACTCTGACTTTGTCAAAAAAAAGTTAAATATTTAACATTAGTTTCAAAAACTAATTAATCTAAAGTTTGACCAGAAAGTTTTTAAAATATATACTTTTACAATAAAGACAACTAAATTCAAAATCAATAAAAACAATATACTTTGTGGTAAAATTCAAACACATAACAAATATTTACATTAAGCAAAAGACCATCACACAGTTCATGAAAAATTTTATTACAATATCACTAAAACCTAATGGAATGCAGTTTATTTATAGGTAAAATCATTATAATTGAGCTGTTTTCTATTTAACTACTATAAAACAAAAAATAAGATATCTTGAAATGAAATAACATTTTTGACAAGCTATTAAAATTAAAAGAACAATATCTTTTACATTTCGCTAAATAATTGTTTTGTTGCATTCATAACAAACAGTAAATCTAATTTTATTTATTTATAAATTAAAAGATTAGAAGTTTCATCAATTTTGCTAAAAAGAGAAGTTGAGATTTTAAAATAAACTTATATAACATTTAAAAATAAATATAGAAAGAAAATCACATGACAAATCTAGTTTAAATTAGGGCCATTTCAATTTAAATTAAGAAGTATAAGCAACAAAATTATAATTTCTCTCTAACAACCACATTTATTGTCATATTAATATTTTTAATTGTAATTAACCACTATTATCCAAAACTCTTTCCAATAAATACTTCTGAAAAACAAAATGTCTTTTTTTTCTGTCTTTACAGGGACATTGTTTTTTTTCTTCACTTTCTTAATTTTAAAAATGTCACCTTATGACATAGGGCATGGCCTTTAAATTTAAAAAAAAGAAAGAAAAAAAAAGAAACACACTTTCTGTTACATAAAATTAGGGTTGGCAAAAATAATGATTTTTTCTTTTTTACATTTACCAGTCAAATCATTTGATAAAATGTCTTAATAATACTTAAAATCATTAAAAAAATAATAGCATAGTTAAAAAATTTAATATTTCTAACTACAATGTTTGGAATTATTATTTAATTATTATAAACTTAACACTGAAAAGAAAAAAATGGTTATCTTTGTTCAAACTAAACATACTGAAATGTTAAAGACAGAAAAGTAATTTTATAAGTTTGATATTCAATGAAAATTAAATTAGTTAAGATCAGAACAGATTAAAGAAAAAATTATTTTAAGTTTCTCTAGGCAGAACAAGTCTATTTTCATTATTGATACAGATGCTCAGAAAAATAAAATTCCAGTTTTTTTTTTTTCTTCTTTTCTTTCAGATTGAGTTTAGTGAATTTCCCTTATTTTTGTAATGGTTGACATGATTTTTTATTATAAATTTTTCAGTTATGACTTATTCTTGTACACAAAGCAAAACACTTATACTTATCATTAGAGATGGAAATAAATTTTTTTATTTAAATTTTTGCGAGACCAATTTTTACAGAAATCTCACTTATTTTTAAGTTTTTAATGGTTTGTTCAAGTCACGTTTCGAATAAAAAAAATTTCTTGGCCTATTTTGAAACAATCAATACCAATTAACAAAACATTTTGGAAAAATTGCGACTTCTAAAGTCTTCATGTGCTAGGAACATTAATTATTATTATTCCAGAATTTTTTCTATGACATAAGTAGTGAATGGCAGTTAAAGTAACAAAAACTTGTATAATAAAGAGTTATAGCTTTAAAATAAAAATAAGAAATAAACTTTCTGTCAACCAAACTCTAAATAGAACTTTGTGAGCAGCAAATAAAATGCATTTTTTTTTCACTTTAAATGATTATTGGTTGAATGTCAATGATACATAAATAGGATGAAACATACCAACTGAAAAATTTAGTTCGATAAATGACGATGTGAAAGAATTAAATAGGCAAATGCTGAAATTTTCAGTTGCTTTCTTCATTTTGGCGAATAACCACTGCATTTGTTCAATATCATTATTTTATTTACACATGTACGTAAATATACATATACGTAAATGTATACATGTATCTTCACTTATACTGTACACTGTGTATGTTTTTCTTAAATACCATTATTTTACACTGATGGAAACTTTTATTATATTAGTAAAAAAGTTATTACATTTTTCCTCATAAAATAACTATTAGTGCATGTTGGAAAAAACAACAACAATATAAACAAACATTGCAGACACTCACCAAAGCATTTAGGAAGTGTAACAGTAACAGAAGAATGGCAACACTCACTGTAACAGATATATTTTTCAACTACAGATCCGATTAATTGACATCAATAAATATGAATAAGAAAAGATTAAGATTTATAATATTAGGATTTTAGTTAATCAAAATGATTTACACAGTTAATTATTTAGATTTTTTTTATTCCCAGAGGCTGTGCTTTTTTTAAAATTTTTACTCCATATAATGGGAATACTTTGAAGCAAAACAAAACTGAAAGATCATTAAATGATAGGCAACATGGAATTATGAAATAATAAAACTGGAATTTCCAAAACTAATTTTTTTCAAGACACTGCAAATTATTAAAAAAAAAAAGAATTCATCTAAAGATGATTTAGTTAAAAAAAAAAACTATTTCATCTAGAGATGAGTCAGTATAACAATATTTAAATACTCTATCTATAACAAAAACAGTTGAAATATCTAAAATCTTATACAGATAAAATATATGTATTTAGTCTAATGCAGTCAGGTTAGTCAAACAACAAGAGGTTCTGTATCACTATCACAGTATAAAAAATTACTCTGTGTTTGGTCCTGGTTTATTGATAATTGCTCACAAACATTGTTCCCAATCTGAACTAAACAGGGGACAGACGTGACAGTCTCATCTGCAGTTTTGTGATTTTTATTCGCATCGTCTCTGCACACTCTAGAGTCTATGAGTGAGCTTTCCGACTTTCTGTCTGTATTCGATGTCTGAGGAAGATCTTGAAGCTGACTGCTACCAGACACGAGTACAGATACGTCATCCAGTAATTCGACATCAGGCACTTGCGGGGGCAGGTCGGGGACCGCCACTTCTAGAGAGACGTTGGGAGGTACCTGGGGACGACGTGAACTTCTGGAGTGTCGATGCCTTCGGGATCGTCGACGATTGTGGTAAATCTGCACGCCAGATTGCAGGTTTTCCACGCACAAATTGCGACGAGGGTCATTCTGCACGGCAACAGCATAAGAAGGGGGTGGCTCACGGAATATGAATTCTCTACTTAGACGAGAAAATGGTGTCTCTCTGCTCAAGATACGACTGTCCAACATGCGCAAGGCGTGCAGGCGACAAGTGCAACTAATAGCAATGACTAGCAAAAGAGCACATATAAGGGATCCCATTAAGGCAGCAGTAAGAACTCCATTTCTGAGGCCTAAATAGAATAGTGATCAGAAAATATCAGCTGTTTTATGCATCTTTATTAGAAGATTAATAAAAACTATATTTATGTACAGTGCACACAAAAAAAAACTTTTGATTTAATGAATAGATCTTCATGCTCAAGAACTCAATCTTAAATGGCATGAGGGGGTGACTTCAAATTAATAAGCGTAGACAATATTTTAAGTTACGAAATCAGACAAAAAAACATGCTCTCTCTGAATAAACATACCTTTTACTTCACAACAGATTTTGGATTTCTGACCCCTAAGATATAAAGGGTAGCCACAATCAAGGAAATATTGTCCCAATTGTTTGGTCAGAAGAGTGCTCCACAGTTTGAACCCCTTCATGTTAGTTTTTTTTTCTGCAAATTTATTTTCGCAATATCCCAAGAATATATTAAGCGCATTGAAAAAATTTTGCACACAATTATAAAATTCTTCACCCAAAAATAATTCAACGCAGAAAAAAAAATTGTAAATATTTATTCTTCTATTTAAAAATGGTTGAAAACATTTTGAATTGTAAGGTATAGAATTTTTCGCATCAATTTAAAGAACATAATTTTTCATGGCAAAGTACAAATTTTGAGCAAAATCGGTTGAATAGTTCCATTTTAAATATCTGACTTTCTATAAATTCAATTTCTCAGAAACCATTCAACCGATTTTGCACAAATTTTGTATTTCACCACGTAAAATTACATTCCTTAAAATGATGTAAATAATTGTTACAATTCAAAATTTTTTTCGACTTAATAAGTGCAGTAATAATAAAAGTAAAGTAAATAATCAAATAAAGTAATAAAAAATAATAAATATTTACTAAAAGTTATTTTTTGCAAGGAATAATCTTTAGATAAACGAGTTTTATAATTGTGTGCAAAAATTCTCGAGATACAACGAAATAGGCAAAAAGTTAAATGAACATTAAGGGGTCCAAATTTAGGAGGGCTGACTGAAGTATTGGGACCATATTTCCCAGATTGCAGGTACAGTATTTTGGGGGTTATAAATCCGATTCCCTCAACAAAAAAAAGGTATGTTTATTCAGAGAAATTACATTTTTGTATCTGATTTCGTAACTTGAAATATAGTCTTCACTTATTATTTAGTATATTAGAGGTCACCAGCTCGAGCCATTAGGAATGAATCCTAGAATGTGAAAATCCAACCATTAGATCAAAAGTCATTCAGGGTGGTCACCAGCTCGAGCCATTAGGAATGAATCCTAGAATGTGAAAATCCAACCATTAGATCAAAAGTCATTCAGGGTGGTCCTTTATTTGGTGTAAAATAATATGTACAGTGTGTCAAAAAAATAACCACCCTGAATAATTATTGATCTATTACTAAATTATTTATCAAATATAATAATTATTATTGTATTATTATAGAGATCAATCATAATTATTGATCTTCATGTTCTCAGACTCAATCTTAAGTTTGTGGTTGTAATCTCACACAAGCTAATTAATTAATACAACAGTAAAAAGCAACTTTAATGATTAAAAAACAAAGTATTTAATATCTAGTAAAAAAAACAAACAATATAATACAAGGAAAACCTATAAATCAAATTAATAAAAACAACACTCATAAATTTTCGAACGGTATCCTTGAAAGAAGTGCCGATATAAATATTAAAACCAAGGACAAGGCCAGATATAATAAAATCAACTGAATTTTTAAAAAAAATCTTAATAAATAGCTCAAAAAGTAGTGGAATTAGAAATGCATCACTTGTCAAAAGTGCAAGCTGCAATCGGCTTCAAAAAATAATAACATGCTTTTTAGCAATACATATTTGTATGATTATAGTACTAAACAATCACCTGCTTTTTTAAATGAATGACGATAGTTTTTAACGAAAAGTACGATGATTTTTAAGATGTGATTCCATATCAGGCAAAAATTATATATTATTTCATTAGTAAATATTATTTCATTAACAGATATCAAATTAACATAGCAGACGATAAAAAAAAAGCTTTCATTATTAATAATTAATGCATTACAGACGTCCCCACTTAATAGCATGTCGGATAATCGAGTAACCCGCTTATATGAACATAATTTAATGGAACCAAATCATTTTATATGAAACTAATGTTAAACTTCCCCATTTAAATGGATACTAGTTGCCTCCAGTCCTTGCTTAATTGCATAAAGAAGAGGTATTGAAATACAAAAAATCTGTTTATTTTTAAGAAATGTTTCACCAGTTAGATTTAAATGTTCAGTTAAGATAAGAATACAATAGGTGGTCACTTCAATAGGGACTTCCTGTTCATTTATTGCTCTGAACAGGTACAAGGAGTATAGTTTAAGAATTAATCATATCTTGCTGGCAGTTGTACATTGGAGTGAATGAAAGCGGTTTTACCCCTCTTTATTTTCCTCACTCACACATCATTTAGAATGCGAAAAGGTACAGACTTATTTGCTTTGCAGAAGGCTTATTGGTCACCTCCTGGTTTGCTATTAGTTTTAATAAGAAAAAGTTTCCAAAAATCTAAGGCACTAGTGTACAGTGTGTCTTTCTCTTAAGTAGAAAAAGTATTGATTACGTCAGTAAATACAAGACGAGCATGAAAAAGAATAATTTAAAATAATCAAAAATGAAAAAAATTGCAGTTTTGGAAGAAATAAATTTCAAAATTCCCCAACCTGAAATAGCAAATTAATTTGGAATTTCCCAATTTTTGAAAAAAGAAAAAATTCTGAAAGTAGTCAAAAGGAATACGCAAGGTTGTGAAAGTTTTCGTAAAAAAAGAAAGGGAAAAATCGAATTTTGATAGATTAATGAATTAAACGAGTATAAAAACAGATTTCAAATACAGACTTTTTCGAAAAGAACAAGCGTCGAAAGTTTTTTTGAAAGGAAATAAAGTATCTGTATTATTTTTCTAATTAGCACAGATTTATTTTTATATAACTTTAAATGAAATTTATATTTTATAATACTAACATAGACAATTTAAATTACAATCGTTTATTCATCAAACAAAACACTGTACTAGATACAATTAAAAAGTAAAATTCCATAAAAATTAGGCATTTCAAATTGAATAATGCACCCCCCTTTCAATCGAATAACCCGCTTAATTGAATAGTGCTGGCAAGCACCAATAGTATTCCTTTAAGCAGGGTTGACTGTATCCGAAGTTATAAAACAATAATTTATCAAAATAAATTAAAGGATAATGAAAATTATAAATAGGTTTAAAAAAAAAAATAGGTTTAAAAAAAACAACCTTACATGTAAATACTCTCAGGGCCGAAGTTTCAAGTTTCTTAAGTCAGGCATATAATTGACAACACTCCAGAAATGCTTAGGAATAATAGAAGAATCTTGAGGATGCACCTAATGATGGTGGTTCCGGTAAAACCAGATTTTTTAAAATCCTCTATGGTGCAAGTTACAGTACGGCAAATTACCATATTGAAAACAGAAGAATGATATCCCACAATTTGAAAGGTTTGTGGTAAAATTACGTTTTTCCCTGTTAATTACCTGATTTTTTTAAAATTGTTTTCCTGGACAATTCCTAGTTATCCCGATATTTTCGTAGAGTACCAACCTCGATAATATCAAACATTTGCAATCAGTTTCTTAAGCCTTAAAGGTTCTTTGAAGTTTTTCTCTTAACGGTAAACTGTAGGGAGTAAGTTTAAACTGTAACAGTAACTGTACAGTAAACTGTAGGTAAAGCTAAATCAAACTTTCTGCACATTTTTGTACTGAGTTAAAATGTTTTTTAAAGAAAGAATGCTATATTTTTTACAATAAAAAATTTGGGTTGATGAAATAAATGCAACACTAAAAATAAAGAGAATTAAAAAAAAAAATTGTAAGAAACATACAAAAAGGCAAACATAAGAAGTAAAATGTCTTACAATTTCTTTCATCTGATCCATCTCCACAATCATCAGTTCTATCACAGGTCCAGACTTGCTCAATGCAACGACGATTATCACACAGAAATCCCCCATGGTCATAGTTACAAAGCTCAGGCACTGTTAATAAGAATACTCAATATGCATAAAAAACAATGAAAAAAAATGCAATTCATTTGAAACTGCAAAAGCATTTTGCAAATTTAAATCCAGCTAGAGAAAAAAGTCTGAAAAAATGTACTGGCCAAATTTTTAGATACACTATAAGATTCTGCTACGTCATTTCTTTCGTTTCAGGTTCAATTCGTCTTCTGACTCAATTTTCTTCTTTGTGTATCATTAGCTAGCTTCAAAAACCTTTAATCTTTGTGATATTTCATAGTTTGAAAATATTTTAGCATTCACGGGGTTCTTTACTTCGGCATTTTTACATGGTGAAAGATCACATTTTTTACCCATGATGAAAATTTTCCAATTTATTAATTATGCACGGCACACAAAGTAAACAAATAATTGCGTACAGCGAAACAAATAAACAGAGCACACAAAGCCACAGAAACGTGTCGGCAACTGACCAACGCGAGAAAGAGACTGAAACTGGTATGCATTTGTTACATTTGTGTATCAATGGGGTTACATCCGTGTTACAATACGTATTACAAAGCTCAGGCACTGTTAAAAAAGAATACTCAATATGCATAAAAAACAATGAAAACTGAATATGTACAAAAATAAATACAAAAATAAATACAAATAGGAAGTATATAAAAAATTTCCTGAATGAAAACCCATTACATGTATGTTTAAATATAAAAGTATTGCATATAAACTTATGTAAAACATGTCATTATTGAAAAACTACAGTCTGTCTAATAATTTGGTCTAATTATTACCATATACTTATATAATACCTGATATAATAAATATTCTACGTTTATATAATATATCGTCTAATTTATCCAATCGCCTAATTTAACTAATTGATACAGGAACGTAAACAAGTGCAAACCGGTTTCAGTCATGTAAAAACAATAATAGTATCATCTGATAATTAAGATTTTACATAGATTCTTATAGTGCGTCTAATAATTTGGACAGGGTGAGAGGAAGAAAAAAAAAGTGACTTGATTACCACAATTCTTTTCATCAGAAGCATCTTCACATTGTGTTATACCATTACAACGTTGCTGTAAAGAATAGCATCCTCTTTTAGAATCACAAGCAATCTTCCCTGGACACATACTGAAACAATCTATCTCATCCACTCCATTCACACAGTGGAAAATGCTATGGAGAGAGAAAAACACACATCAGATTTCTTACTTGCGATATTAAAGCATAACATAGTCTTCAGTAAATATCCTATTACAGTAACTTTTCTATTAGACTTTATCTTATTCAATTCCTACTATTAGTTCACGCTCTCCCTCCTGTTCAAATTTTCAATCATTAATAAAATACTTTTTATTTATCCACTCAAATTCAAACACATTTTTTTAAACCTGTTGTGGATGACACTTGATGTCAATATAGTTTGTTCAAATATTAATTCATTCATTAAATTGAATTTATAAATTTTAGTTTTACCGTAATTTTGCGTGTATAGTCCGCGGACTATCTGTGCTTAAAATGTGAATTTTTGAAGCTGCGGATAATACGCTGGTTGTTCACGGTTAAACACGTTGAAATTTAAAAAACATGCTGCCGTGAACTGCCGATGATCAAGTACAAACAACAGCGCGAGATTTCAAGAAAACATTCGTATGTAGCATATCAATAATCCGGGGGGGGGGGGGATTNGGCAGGGGGAATTTTGCTTGGTTCTCCCGCCATTTTGAACTAAAACAATATGAAAAAAAAAAGCGGAAATTAGACTCATCCTTGAAGTTGAGTAGAGGAAAATGTGAGGAAGGGGAGAATTTTTTCCCCCGTTTACTCAGAGAAACGTCATTTTTTCCGCGACCTTGAAAATTTTAGATCTTTATTTTCTCCTTTAGGCCGTCAATCAAACTCAAAGGAGTGGCATGCTGATTTCGTTTTCTGTTTGATTTACGAGGGGGCGGGGAAAATGCTTTGCACATGCATATCAGTGAACAGAAGATGAAAGAGAGAAATATATTTATCTATTTGACATCGATTAATAAAAGTAAAATATTTTTCTTTTGAATAAATTCTGATTCTTTGGAAGTGTGGTATCATTCGCAAGTTTTTCTTGATGTAGAATCACACCTGCTTCAACTAAAAATCGTGTTTTTATAATAAAAATAATAAAAGGAGAATTGTTGATTATTTTAAACATATATTTATTTTATGAAGTAGATTGCAGTTTGTTTGTCTGATTCCACTACGTTTGATTTTTCTTCTTCTTTTTTTCCTTTTCATGATAAATTTTGCACTCAATAAATTTTTTTTATTCCTAAATTTTATCATTAGGTTTTGTTTTTAATTCCGTTATACATTAATATTGCCGTATTAAAATAATGTGATTTCGGACGTATAGTCCGCGGACTATCTGACGATTTTGGAATTTCTCTTCATATAAAATCGAGCCTGCGGACTATATGTGCGAAATTACGGAATATGGGAGAAAATGTTTTAATCGTTTATTAAAATACAATTAAATTAAAAAAAATTTTTGACCTAAGGATGAATTGACTTTAATTTTTTTTTTATATATTACTTGTATAACTTTTCCATTCTATTTCTATAACTTTTCTATTTGATTTCCCTTTGAGAGCAATAAGTGTGACATAACTCCTCAGATTCTTATCTAAGGTGGTTGCGATCTATAGAAAAATGTTTGCAAAACAGAGATTACCAGTGTATTATTTTTAATGCATTTCTCTCTATAAAGTATGTATAATAATTTAAATACCTTCTTTAATATTAATATAAAAGTTGTGTAAAGAACTACTTTGTTACAAAATAGTCTAGCATTTTCCTAACTCTGAGTATACATTTACTTTATTTTTGTACACTCATGACACTTCTCATTATAACACCTGTTTTTGCCAGGTAAACAAGGGTTGCACACCTGCCAACTTTGGAGGCATAAAATAATGGAGATTTTACTATCCACATCTCTTAGGTTACAAGTAAAGTGTTTTAATACGTCATGCAAGTCAAAAAGAGAAATTCAAACTTGGAAATAATATAAGCACTTATATTTAGCGAAGTAAAAAATATGTATATAAATCTTAATCTAATAAAGAATTTTTTTAAAACCATTATTCATAATTACTCAAACTATCTTATTTTATAATCCTCATTGAACAGCTGACCCAATTTTTGGGTTTACGACTACTGATGCCCAACTCCGTACCCTTGTAATTTTGAACCCAATCCGGCAACACCTGGATCAAGTATTGGGAGAAATTTGCCTTCAGAAAACTTTGATTCTTTTATTTGCAATGTGAAATATTATATTTTCCGTGTAAAAAACAGATATTATTAAATGAGGAAGGAAGCATTTCAGTTTGACTAAAATGTGAAATTTATATAAAAAATAAATATAACAGATGTTTACAACAAATAAATATAACAAATAGAATTATTTAACTCGAAACTCTTTTAAGACTGTTTTTTTTGTCCAGGTAAGATATAGGAATATTCCAGGTTTTTGTAAAAAAATTGCCGCTTGCCCTGACTATTCTCTGATTTTTGGAGTTCCTGACAATTCCAGGTTTTCCCTGACCCGTAAGAACCCTGTCTATATCTTGACCCAAGAAACGCACATACCCATCACACCTATCCCTCATAGGATGGTAACAGTCAGTAGAATTGTGGCTGCATCGCACATAGTTAGGAGCACAGTAACCACAGTCAATTTCATCACTAAAATCGGGACAATCAGTAATTCCGTCACAGTGTTTGGATGCATCATAGCAGTGCAGCATAGAGCGGCACGATCTACCGGTTGGGCAGCGATCTGAAAAGGGAATTTATTTTTAAATATATAACAAAGAAACTATTCAGAGCAAAAATTTATATGCAGGTTTCATTCACATTATAATTTTGAATTATTGGAGGCAAGTTTAAATATACAAAGTGAGTATACTGCAATCAGGAATAGCAAATGTCTTCCCCAGTGGAAAAGACTGTGGAATAAAACCACTCCAGAATAGATAGCTATCTTCCAATCAAAAATGGGAGATATGGAAGAAATACTCTTTTTTAAAAAAAGAAATATCAAATAATAAAATGGTTTTTTAAAAAGCAATCTAGTTTAAAGAATAGTTAGAGTAGTTAAATAATTTTTAAACTATTCAAAATATTACTTTTAAATCCCCCAGAGGTATGATTTGTTTAGGGAACACGGAGGACTTTGTGTACCGACAGCTTTAACGTGCATCAGTCACCACTGGACGGGAGTCTTCGGACAGCGAGGATCGAACCCACTACCTTTTGGACATGGGACCAACCAGGCTATCCCAGCCCTTTAATTAATATATTGGTAGATTGTTTTAATATCAATATATTAATTAAAGGGGAGGGATAATTAATATACTGGTATATTTTGTTTATTATAGATGTTATAGAACTAAAATTATATGTTAAATATAGAACTAAAATTATATATTTTTATCAAGTTAAGCGCAAGTGAAGAGCAAATTTTAACAATGTAGCTAATATAAATAACTCGCATAGACAGTGGATTTTAAATGTTTATGTGTTTAAAATTATAGTGTGGCACATTATAGAGCAGTCTGTTTCACTAAACTTATGAGCTGAGGCATTCATTGCCTCAATTAAATGCCCTGTTAAGTTCAATAATCAAACTTAAAATTAAAAGGAATAATAAAAACAGTGCTAAACTAAAAAATGATGAAAAGAATATTATTTTACATTCATTATTTTTTTTTTTTGTCAGGAAATGTTTCTAGAATATAAAAGAGTCAAGTAAACCAGCATCTTACTTAAGCAAAACAGCATCTGCAGTTATGAACAAAACAATAACAGTAATTAAATATTACACTATATCTGTATTTTACCCTTAAAACAAGACAATGGGTAAACATGAAAGAGTATTATTAGAAGTTGATTGAGTCAGAAAAGGTAAGCTATATCTATAGTTTGTCTACAGTATGAACTCTCCCCGCCTCAAAGTCTGAGGCTGTCTGCTATTACGGAAACAAGAATAGTGCATTTCAGGGAAGGCAGCTTCTCTTCACTCTAGGGCTAACACAGTAGAGCTATGAAAAAGATTTCCTTTCTCTCACTGCCAAAACCTGTTCTAAACAATAACACCACATTCCATGGTAGCCCTTGTTACCATGGTCCCTGCCGTGGGTCCAGATGAACGACTAGAGGAGTTCTTACTTTAGACAAACTATAGTTTGTATTATTGAATCACAAAACAATAACAGTAATTCATTGTATATTTACTATAGAATTTACGCAAATTTGTTTTATTTATAAACTTTATACTTAAAACCAGACAGCATGTAAACTGCAAGAAGCATAATTAAAAGTTGATTGTGTCAGAAAATCGCTTTTCCTGTCAACTTCCAACTAAATTTGCAATAAAATAATAGAACAAAAACAACGTACTGGAACAATTTTGTTCATCAGATGCATCTTCACATTCAGGTATACCGTTGCATCGCATACTTGAAGGCACACATTTGAAATTCCCACACCTAAACTCTTTAGTGGAACAGTGACTAAGGCCTGAAATGCAAGTAACAAAATATTTTTAATTCAAAAGCAGTACCAACTTTTTTTTAACAGAATTTTTGTGAAAAACCCTATTTTTGTCTCATTGTGAAAAATGTACTTGGCATTTTTCTGAATCTGCAAGGATCTTTGTTTTTGAATATATGAAAATAAGGTCATGTTTTTCTGAGTTACAATTTTGAAATGACAAGTTAAAAGGATAGTTGACACCATTCTTCGAAAGAAGAATTTTGTGAAGGGTTTATTTTTTAAATGAAAAATAGTGGAAAGATTAAAAATAATACAATCTTATGAATGCAGGTCCTTTTTTACAATAAATTTATTTATAAATGGTCTGTTTTTACAAAAATATCTGTAATAGGTCCATTTTTACAATTAAAATAATGGATATTTTGTAAACTGACCCACATTTTTCTTAAATAGCACACCGAACTTCCAATTCAAAAAGAATTCCACAAAAAATCGCTTTTAAATTATGTGACACAATAGGAAATTTCAAAAATAATATGGGCAAGCTTTTGGACATAACACTAAAATACAATCTCGTCCTAAGCAAGCTTCAAGTGGAAAATGATAAAATTTAGAGAAACTAGCAAAAAATGAACGTACAAATAAACAATTTAATTAAAAGAAAACTATTACAATCCTTTAATTTAAAATTATCTAATAAAAAAGTAACTAAAATAAATATTCTTAGTATAACTTCACAAAATTATAAGAAATTTAAACAACAAAATAACAATTGTAAGAAATTTTAACAATGTCAGCAAAATGATGAGTCAAGATATAAAAAAGACAGGGAAAGATAACGATCATCGCCACAGCTATCAATGCACATTTAGAAAGGAAGAATGATTTTTGCTCGAGCTTGCACACATTGATGTACTAGTGGGAACAATGTTCAACATCACGCTTGTAGACATTGATTTGATGATACATCGGTATATATCGTACACATCTCATTAAATCACCATTTACGATGCTTCGAAAAATTGCCAATCCAAACATCGGATCAGAGATGATTGCATAGAATCGATATCTTCTGATACATCAATTTATCGCCCAGTCCCAATTATCAACATAAAAAAAAAATTTATGCAAAAACATTATAGTAAAGCTTTATAAAATAAACATATATTTTTATGATTCAAAATTATATTGTGAGCCAAAGAAACTTCTGTAAACATAAAATACCTTTTTAAATGCTAAAAATAAGGCTGTCAGGCTCCTAGACTGATTTAAGACTTAACATAACACCTGGCAACACAGAGGTTTGTACAAAAATGGTGGCACTTCTATTACTACTTATGAATAAATAAGTAATACTTCTTAAATTGCATACACAACATATGATACATACCCATTGCATAGTTCAAACGAAAACCTCTGCCTCCCTTGGAAAATTCTGAGACGTGAAACTTCAACCACAATTTATTACCGTTCGATCTGATGGAATGGTGATGCAGAATGTCTTTACCGCAAAATTTCTGCTCAGTTCCATTTGCGAGAGGTCCTATTTTGAGCCAATTCATAAGGCAACATGGGTGAGATTCACAGCAACAGCTTTCCTCAATATCAATGTCATCAAACCTTCAAAGACAGAATTAATAACTATTAAAAGCATATAAAGAAAAAACATTAAAAAAATTTCAATTTACAAGATTCCAGACTTTATCAGGGTGCATAGCCAAATCTTTCAGCAAAAAATAAGAACTTTTTAAACACTAAAAGAATATTTTTAAGCACTATATACATTAACAAAAAGCAAAATAGTTTTCAAAGACTGATCATAATAAAATAACTAGTTTCTGATTGAGAACTCTTTTCTTGACTATATTAGCCACCATAAAAAGATTGGGAGATTTTTCGGTTTGATTTCAGAGGTTGGAAAATGAAGCCTGAAATTGAGAATATCTTGCAAAATGCAGCAGAGTTGCACATGAGAGTGCAAGAATATCACGGAACCCAGCTCAGTATACGTACATGTGGACTCGCAAGTATTTCATCAAATATGTAACAGGGTGCGTAGCTGAATCTTTCAACAAAAAATAAGCACCTTTTAAGCACTATATACATTAACAAAATGCAAAATAATTTTAAAGGACTTTACATAATCATAATAAAATAACTAGTTTCTGACAAAGAATTAGTTTCTAGATTATATTAGCCATTATAAAACTATCAAGAGATTTTTTGGTTCGATATCAGAGAAAGTAAAATGAAGCCAGAAATTGAGAATATCTCAGATTTATGTTTTCTTTATTTATGTTTGAGTACAGTTTCACATAAGAGTGCAATAATCTCACCGAATTCAGCTCATGCGGGCCTGCAAGTATTTCATTAAACAAGTAAAATGATTGGCGCTTTTATACGCTATGGACCGACGGTACACCGAAATGCATTGTGTTCGAATGAATTGTGAAAACGTTGAATAGAACAATGTGAAAACCCCGCTTTTGCATACTACATGGCAAAAATAATAGTAAAGAAAAAAATCTCATTTTCGAAAAGGGAAAATTAAGCACTTTTTAAAAATACCCAATATATAAAGCACCTTATAGAGGGCTCTTAAAAACAAAAATAAACACCTTTAAGAACTTTTTAAAAATGCTATGCACCATGTTTATTATTGTGCTAATTTTATTTTACAAAATATGGTAGTAAACAATTACAATAGAATATATATATTTTTTAATAATAATAGACAAAATATAGATATAAAATAAAAAGTACTGTCGTCAAGCTGAAGAGTAAGGAGAGAAGGAGGCAACAACCCCAAACATCCAGTAAAAGGAAGCAACCAATCAACAACACTAAAATTTTAAAATCTGTTACAAATATTATTTTTATTAGTATTAAATATTTTGCTGGTTAAATACTAGGCTTAAACAAAATATTTTATGGAGAATAAAACATGATTTAATTAAATTAACAAAGCATTCAGAATACATACTGAATGGTGATGACATCTCCAACATTTCCTTCGATGAGCCACGAACAAGATAAGTGACTCGGATAAGTATTCGGATAGAATGGACTGAAAATGATCCCTTCTCGCTTTGTTAGCTCCAAATCATGACATACTGAAAACAAAATAACCTTTCAAAATTACATAAAAAATTTATTTACATGATCATGATAAAATAACTAGTCTTACTTACAACTAATTAGACACAATAAAATAACTAGTCTATAAAGACTTTACATGATCATGATAAAATATTTAGTTTCTGACAAAGATCTCTTTTCTTGATTATATTAGCTATTATAAAATGGTCAAGAGATTTTTCGTTTCGATATCAGAGGGCCAAAAATGAAGAATGAAATTCAAAATAACTTGAAAAATGCAGCAGAGTTGCACATCAGATTGCAATAATCTCACCAAACCCTGCTCAGTAGATGGATTTGCAAGTAAAATGATTGGCGCTTTCATATGCTATGGACCGACGGTAAGACGAAATGGATTGTGGTTGAATGAATTGTGAAAATTTTGAATAGAACAATGTGAAAAGCACGCTTTTGTATAACACATGGCGAAAATTGACAAGGTAAAGAAAAAAATCTCACTTTCGAAAAGGAAAAACTAATCACTTTTTAATAACATCTAATGAAAAAAAGCACCCTTAAGGGCTTTTAAAATATGAAAATTGCAAATAAGTACTTTTCAAAAACGCTACGCACACTGAATTATTATAAATTCAAAATAACTTTCACTTATAACTATGGATATTGTTTTCGACACTAGGGTTCGCTGCTAACTTTTTACAGCCTATACTTCCCAGATTCTGTTTCCCTTGTATTTTGAGTAGTCTTGAGTTCTTGTATAAGTGTATTTGATATTTGATTTATTATTTGTGTTTACAAAAATAATCATTATAAGAATCGTCATTCGGAAAAAAGAATCATTATAAAACATTTCTTACCTTGTCAACAGTATATCAAATTCAAAATTTAAACCATATGATCATTTGTAAAATAAACCTAATCTCGCTGTTTGAACAATATTCTAACCTTAACATATGACGGTTCACGGCTTGCAACATGAACAAACATCTAAAAAGAGACTAAATCGTGATTGCCAAAAAAGCAAGTTCTTTCTAGATCTAGTAACTACGAATAATCTATAAATAACTTAAACAAATTTTCACTTCAAACTCCCTAGAATTACTTAATATCATTTGTTTTTTATGAAATACAGCAGATTTGAGCTCAAAAATTATATAATTTATTATTTATTCTATCAAAATTATGTAATTGAAAATATCCCCTTGTACAGCAAGTTGTATACTTTCCAAACAGAAGTAAAACAGCTCAAAAATTCGAGATTGTTGTTTACATTTATATTAAAAACACCATCCACAATAAATATATAGGGTAAGAAGGTGGTCAAAGTGACTCTATAAATTTCCCTTACTCTGTAACCAAGCACAAGAGATGTCCCTGTGACTAATCAAAATTATTTATTACCTTTCGGTGGCTGGCTAACCAAAGTTCATACTCAAATTAAGATAAATAAATAAAAAACAACTCAAAACCTTTTGAGATCAACTTTAACAACAGTAGATAAAAAATGCATTCAAAAAACTGGAACCAGCTGAAAACATTGTTAAAGCCCCAGAATTTTTTCAAGCTTTCTGCAACGTATCTCTCTGATACTACTATCTTTCTGCAAGATACTTTTAAAAATAAGAAATATACAGATTACTAATTTAAAGTAACAAAAGCATCAACTTCAAAAAAAAATAATAAATTTTTTTTTGGATTAAATAAAATAGTTTTTTTAATTTAATAAGTAATATTTTTTTATTCTTATATTATGGGCGATATTCTCGCATTTTGTAGAGGGGAAACATACTAATTACTTTCTTTTTCACATTTTAAAAATCATCATCACATAAAAAAAATTAAAAATCGTAAAATTCGAAGTAATTACCAAAAAAAAAAAAAAAAAAAAAAAAAAAAANAAAAAAAAAAAAAAAAAAAAAAAAAAAAAAAAAAAATTGATGGCGAAATTCAATACAAAAAGGCGGTACTAAATGTGTTGTTTCATTTCAAGATTCAGTTGTTGTATAAATAGTGTCATATTAAAAATATCGGGTTTTAATATCGGGCAATTAATAGTAATAACTGCATAAAAAAACAGAACGAAAATTTCTGCAAAAAAGAAAACAAATTTTTTACTTCATCATTCGTTAATTTCATTCTCAAATAAGAATAAAAAAAATCACAAGCTTTTTTCTCCACTCAGATGTGTGGGAAAGGCATCTTTTAAATATAATTCAAAAGAAACAATGAAATCTTTAGAAAATTTCCGAAAGAAAAGTGAAAATGTTTACTCTTTAAAGGAAAAATCTTTTGGCAAGAACTCAGTAACATTCTGTGACAATGTCGCTGTGTTGCAATGATTCTGCCACACGGGTTAAAGTAATTTTGTTTCAGTAAAATTCTCAACAGTAATTATTTGGAAAAAAAATTTTCAACTAAACGATTACTCCAAAATGGGAAATCTGTTCATTAGCGGTTTCGAAAAAATGTACGAAAATTTGTGTTATAAACTAGTATTTTTGTTTTGAACAATAAACAAAAAATAATTAAGCTTCTATTAGCATGTTTCTGAACATATCAATTTTAATCAGACTTAGATAAGATGGAAAACTCTGCAAACACAAAATCCCAATTAAAAAAAACCTTCTACAAACATTTCAGTCACCTTCTAATCTTGGCCGAATTTGTTGGAAAATCAATGATTTTATTTTTTTTAAAAATGTTTTAATTTTTAAAAAAATTATATTGATTATATAAGGTTTCAATATATAAATGTTTGTACATTTTTCTGTTAATTGTAGAGAGGCCCATAACTATCAATATAAAATGATATTGTAAGAAACAAATAGAATGACAAAAAGACAAATAGTAGATACAAAAATGAATTTATAATGCAAGTATATCCTCTTAAATATATAATGTATACCTACCATACTTAACAGGTGAAGTTTTAAAAAATTCAAAATTTGGAGACTGAGTAACTACACATGTTAAGTACCATGAAAATGCACCTTAAAAACAAAAACAAAGAAAATATTATGAAATAAATTGATCCATTTTTTTAATTAAAACATGTAACAATTGTTTATAAACTAAAAATTGTGCTTAATATTGATTAAAATGCTTTTTTTTTTATCAAGAAATACTTCTGCACACAGTCAATGTATTTTGAGAAAACCATGTTACTAGCAGGGCCCGACTTAGCCTAATTGAGCCCCAGGTCAAAAACATCTTTGGGGGTCCCCCTCTACATGAAATGATCTTTATGGAGGTATTTAAATTTTCACCTGATTACCTATACATAGATAACAAGAACATTGAGTAGAACTGTCCCCCCCTCCAATGGTCAGACGCAATATCGTTCTGATCACTTTATTGATTTTCTGACAATTCTTTGTCCATCATGCCAAATGCAGTTTTCTGATTGTTATCTTTGTCACCTAGATGAAATTAGGGTGATATTTAGCTAAATTTTTGCAACTCCGATGGCTCAATTAAGCCAATCAGAAGCCTGTATATTTGCAAACATATAGCATTTTGCGATAGGTAAAAATACAGGTTTTTAATTGGCCAAATTTGTCCAACATAATAGCAAAAAATAAACTGAGTTCCACACTAGAAAGTAATGGATTTTTCGAAATATAGATTTTTTGTTCATATAGGTAGATCAGTGTTTCCCAAACTTCTGACTTTTGTGTACCCTTTCTAAATTTTTCTTAATGCTGTGTACCACTAATAAAATAAATGAATGTATTTTTTTACTATTAAAAATTGCACAAAAGTTAAAAATCACAACTGGCTGTTGATACCACTAATTATTAACCGTTAACTCTGCAAAAAACAGCCAATAGAAAAATACGTAATTGAAAATTGTCATGACTAACTTTGTTTTTAAATAAAATTTTTTGAAATTTTCATTTGTTGCAAGATATTTTGCATAAGAACGCGTACCCCAGCTAAACTGTCCCCGTACCCCTGGGGGTACGCGTACCACACTTTGGGAAACACTGATATAGATTAATGAAGAAGCTAACATAACTGACAAATTCGACCCTGTACTGATATTTCGTTTAAAAAAAGGTCATTAAAGAAGGAAACCTAAAATAAACTATCTATATGATTTGGGGTCCCCTCTGACGTGGGGCACGGGGCAACTGCGCTGTATGCCCCTGCCTTACTCAGGCTCTGGTTACTAACTGTAAATAAAGGGGTAGGAAGAACAATACTTTTACTTAAGTTGATACATTGAAACAAGCATTAAGTTTTTTTTTTTACAGTTATTAAATATTAATTAGGAAATGCTTTTATATTGTGATTTACCAAAATAATAACCAGGTTTTGGCCACTCCAGGGATGTGGTCTGTAAGAAAATAAATTTAAAAAAAAACCATAGAAGGGAACAAAAAATTAAATAAAATTTCTCCGAACATAACATCTGCTGCAGTACTTAATTATTCATCTCTATAATTTTTGGTTGCACCTTTAACTTACAATCTAATTTTTGGGGTTATTTCCGTATCGTGATCGGTGACGCCAAGGTGCCAAATAGATTTTAAACTTACAAATTTTAAAAAAAAGTATGTAGATGTTTGTCTGGGGACTGCTACAAGTTAAACCTTTCAAGTTTGTCTCCTTCTGAAATGTTTTTTTCTAAAAGTTTTTCACAAGCCGCAGCCCGAAAGTTGCGATTTTTTAAGCCACGCATCACGATACGAAAATTTCCCCTATTTTTTCTAATTAAATCCCGTTTTGCTTAGTCTGTTTTTTAATAGTCAACAGAATATTTTTTCAGCATAATATAATTTACTTTAGCCAATAACTTGATTATAACAATGAATTACAGACAACTTAGAGTTTAAGGAAAATCTCATAAAAAAAGGAAAAATCATAAATCATTTACTATGATGTTTACTCACTTGTTATAAACAGAAGCCAATCCATGTACAGAATAGTCTAATGCAAGGCACAAAAGATTGAATGTGAAACTAGTAACATAGAAATTAAATTATGTAGTAAATATTAAAATAGCAAAATAATAAATTGAAGCTGACGAAATATACAATCGAAAATATAAATACAAGAAACTAAGTTAAATTCAGCTAATTTTATCACAAATAATTTTCCTAGACATGTAAACAAACACACAAATATAGTACTACTAATAATATGAGCAAAAAAGTAATTGCAATGTTTTGAAAGAGTGGTAATATTGACTAACCTACTAAGCTTTTTCTTCTACTATATACAAGTAATCATCTTAAAATTGTAACAATATAAACTTTTTAAAAACGTACACATCGGACATTTTATTTATTTTTGTTATTGTACTTACGATTACAAGATTACATGCATCAAAAATAATCATTTATGAATAGTTACTCATTAACAAATTTGACAATATAGATGGCGCTTCAAATTTAGTTTGTAGAAAAAGTAGGTTATAACAATTACGATATCGAAACTAAGATTTCATCGAAGATACTTATATTTAATCGCTAAATATATCGGAACTGAACTTAATCGATAATATTTATAAACAACCACAAACAATGGCGGATAATTTAAATTCACAACGCGGAATTCACGTAGAAATTCTACAAAAAAATAATAGGTATATTTTTATATTCAAAATAGAAACTATTGAATTTTTTTACAAAACTATGTTTCTGTCCAATAAGTATTGCATTAGTTGCTTAAATCAAAATAGAACAAATGCAATGGCTTATAAAAATACTATTTTTGCTTTATTATATGCTGATGTATATTTTAATTGTAAAACTTAAAGCTATTATCTGTGAGTTGTTGCAATAGTTTTTATTAAAATAGAAGATTCCTTTTCTAAGTTTGCAAATGTTATGAAGGAGAAATGAATGTTTTTGTGAAGAAAAAAAGTTTTTTTGTAATTTTAAAATCCTTAAGTAACACAAACGTCGGGAATTTTCAGCAAAAAAAAGAAAAAAAAAAAATTCTAATATTTTTTTCATTTTATTACATAGCGTCAAAATGCAGACGTTTCGAAATATCTAAACATCGTGAAGTAAGATTCGGCGGATATCTTTAAAATATTGGAAAAGTTTCCAAGATAACATTCTCTCAATATCTTTTTCGAACATTTTATAGCGTCACATTATTTAAATTAAATAAGAATATTTCTGTATTGTGACTTGTCACGCCAACTACAATATCCTAGGTGTCAAAAGGATTTAAAACTTGCAAAAATTAAGAAAACATGTAGAGGTTTACTTGTTCCTGACTAATAGTCCTGTCATTAATTTTCAGTTGCTTCTTGCATATCTGATAAACATTCAATGTAGATCAGAAAAATGAATGTAAAATATTTGTGCAATAGGGAATATATGTCAATAAAATATTCATAAGGGTTCACAACCTTTTTGAGTGAAGGACACTTGCACTGACGGTTGAATAATGATAGCTGCAAACGTATTTAGACATGTTGATAGCAAATATGATAATTTTTATTATTCTTACAATATATATGATAATCCCTGTGGCAGAATTTTTTCAAGCTGTCTGTGACAAAACTCTCTAGCTCTAATATCTTTCTGCAAGATACTTTTGATAGTAACAAACATATATGATACTTATCTAAAATAACAAAAGCTCTGTGTTTATAAAAAAAAATCTATAATTTTTTTCAAAATTATAATTAGTTAATTATATAATTAAAGAAATTATGTGTTATATATAAAAAATTATCTACAATAATTATATAGAAAATTTATAAATTATGTATTTTTTTAATTGAACATGTAATAATTTTTTATTCTAATGTTATGGGCGATCGCATTTTGTTGGTGACGATGCACAAATTATTTCCAGCTTCACACTTTGCAAATAATCATCACATTAAGGAAAATAATTAAAAATCATGAAATCTGTTTCAGTAGTTGCCAAAAAAGAAAAAAAAGAATCAGGAAAGAAATCACACTAATTGATCTCCCCAATATGGGGTTACTCAAATGCCTGTTTCAAAAATTATGTGTAAATTTCTGTAGAAAAGAAAAATAAAACTTTTTACTTTTCAAAGGAAAAATGCGCAAAATTTGTAACACTCTGCGACAATATAATCAATATCACATATAGCAATCTGCAAAATATATATATTTTTATTATTTAGAGGGGAAAAAAACATTGACTTATAAAATTGTTGTGGTGAAGAAATTTTAATGACAAATAACATTTTCCAAATAATTCCTGAATCATTTTTAATAAACCTAAGATTATTAACCAGTTTTTAGAAGTTTTTAAGATTTTAACAATACTCTGAACTTAAAAGACTTATAAGAATCTTTAGGGGCTTGTTAATGTTATCGGTCATTGTAGCTGTGGAAATTTTTAAGGCAATATGGGAATTTTTACTAAAAATAGGACCTTCAATTTATAGTTGTAGCTGTGAAAATTTTTAAAGCAATCTAGGAATTTTTTCCAATCATAAGACCTTCAATTTATAATCATTGTAGCTGTGGAAATTTTTAAGGCAATCTAGGAATTTTTTCCAAAGATAGGGTTTTCAATTTATAAATTTATAATCATTGTAGCTGTGGAAATTTTTAATGCAATCTAGGAATTTTTTCCAAAAATAAGACCTCCAATTTATAAAGCCTATAAATTATTATCGTAACTTAGTTGGTCATAAGTTTCCACCGTAGAAATTCTTTAACTGTTAGTTGAATCAGATTATTCAAGTTGTTGAAAGAGTAAAATAAATTTAAGAAAATATGGTTTTTCAAGACATATGGTGATTATTTTAATTCATACAAGGGTTTTTTATTCTGTTTTGGTATTCAATTTTATTGCTTTTAATTCAGATATATGGTATTCAAAATTATAGCTTGCATAAACTCATGCTATAAAAATTCCATTGTATTTTTTATGAAAGCTATTCAGTTTCAGTTATATAGTTTTTGATCGCAAAGAACTCAAACTTTTAATAATACTGTAACTGTTTAGGCAAGGAAAAATATTAATTTCGAAAAAAAAAATACCCACTTTTTTCATATATTTATTTATAGCAAAAATAATATAATATTAATAATAATGTATATTTAAACATTTATAACTTTATCTACAAATGTGTATCAAAAAAAAAAAAAAATCAGTGAACAGTTATAGTAATTTCCATGAAGGAAGCCAATTCTAAATAGGTTTTTGCTTTTAAACCCTGATGCAAAATAGTGAAACGTAACTACCAGTACCACTATGATTATTTTAAGCATAAATTCACTAGTATATTAGACATGCTAACTCGATTCAATCTTGAGGTACCTAGAAAGAAGGTTGGCATTGTTGATATCTATCTTTCCCCACACTGGTGACCTGCTGACGTGTTATGAACACGCTTACTTTGATGGATGGTACACATTGAAAAGTTGACTTGCTATATGTGACTGTGTCATCGTCCTCCTCGTGCTGTTGCTTCTCAGTCTTATTTCAATGGAATCCTGCGCACACTCGACTGCTGATAGCAACACAGGAGAGACCACACACGCTACCGTAAACTTAATACATCTTTCACCACAAGTGCTCAAAATACGGTGAACTTAACACAGCTCTCCGAGTCTTTCGCAAATACGGCAACTAGTAGTATCCGTTCATCGAATTCTATCCCTGATAATGTGCTCAACTTCGCATGCAGGTCGTTGGGCTACCAAAGCGGGGGTGCCATCCCCTCTGCTGAGGATCAGAATTGTGATGGCATGTTGTTTCCCAGACTGTTGCCATTAGCCCATTCTGCAGCTCTAGTGTGACGTAAATGAACAACAACAACTATCCCTGATAATATTCTGGTGAGTATTGTAGCATAACTACCACTACGATTATTGAACATCAATTCATTAATACATAGCGCATAGCGTTTTTAAAAACTGCTTAAATGTGCTTATTTTCGATTTTCATTTTTTGAAAGCCCTTAAAGGTGCTTTTTTCATTGGGTGTTTTTAAAAAGTGCTTAATTTTCCCTTTTTCAATAGATTTTCCCTTCACCATGTTGATTTTCGCTTCGAATTATACAAAAAGACACAGTCCACATTGTTCTATTCAATGTTTTCACAATTAATTCAACCCCAATCTATTTTGGCTTTTTTGTCAGTCTGTAGCGTATGAAAATGTCATTCGTTTTACATGACTCTAAATTTAAAAACAATGCCAAAAGGTTTTTTTTTTTTTTTTTGACATGACAGTTAAAACAAGATAAAACCGCCAATTGTCGAAAACTCTCCAACCTTGCTTAATTATGATGTTTTTTTGAAAGTGTTAGAACATATTTTTTGAGTGCTTAAAAGGTGCTTATTTTTTGTTGAATAATTTGGCTACGCACCCTGTAGTAGTATATAAGATATGCTAATTCGATTCAATCTAGAGGTACCTTTTGATAGAAGAGAGTTGACATTGTTGATAATTAATCCCCATAATAGCATCCCCCCTTTTTTTACCTTTTTTTTGTTGTTAAAAATTGTAATGAATAATGTGTTAAAAATAATTTTATTGTTAATATAACACTTTTATTTTCAGTGTTTTGAAATCTGAGCAAGTAATCTCCATAGCATCTAAGTGGATTTCAAGTCACAAACCATTTGGAAAACAAAAAATTATTTCTAATTTTGACGATGATGTATTGGCTCAAAATGTTTCTACCATTACTATTTGTGATAATAATAGTCAACTTGTGGTAAGTTGTAGAATTAAAATATATATACCTTTGCTTTAATTCTTAAAGATGTATCAATAGATACATTCATGCATAATTTTAATAGAAATTTGAGGACGTTAGTGAATCTTTCATAGAATTTTTTTATCGTTTAAGTGGACTGTTCATAAAATTATTTATTGTTAAAATGAACCCTTCACATAATATATCATCCTGAAAACTGACATTTCACCAAAATATTTTGTCATGAATATGGACCCTTCACTAAATTTTTCTTTTAAAAAATAGAGTCAACAAAATCTTCCATTTATAATTTTGAAACAAAAACGAAAACTTTAAAAAAAAAACATTTTTTTTTCAAAAGCGGGATCTTATTTTCATGTATTCACTCAAAAGAAAACTGATATTTTACAAAAGTCTGGTGGATTACCAGTTTTGAATCAAAACTCTATTTAGGAAAATTAGATTTTACACAATCTCAAAAATATTTAGAATATATATCATTAACTGATTCAAGGATATAAATGGTACTTTTGCATTTGAAAGACTCAAAAAAATTATGCTACATTTGCAGTGCATCATTTACGAATTCTAAGTTACAATTTTGAAATTCTAAATTTCATTAATTCTTAAGTTTTGAATTTACAATTCTATGTGTAAAAAATTTAATGCTTAAAAAAATTTATGAAACTTTTAAATTTATTGCAATTATAATTTTAAATTTATTAATATAAATGTGAATATTACATTCCTTTCCACTACTATTGATTTTCCTTTGGTAACAACTACGAAAGTTAATATTTTAATCTTTGATTTTTGGTTTAATAAAGTTTATTTCGAAGAAATTTGCTTACCATTACTTATAAATTATTTAAACATAAATAGATAAAAGGCCAACTAATTAATTGGTTATGTTGAGCATTAAAGTACATGGTATGTAGCGTTTCTAAAAAGTTCTTAAAGCGCTTATTTTGGTTTTTTAAAAGCCCTTAAGGAAGGTTTTTTCATTAGGTGTTTTTAAAAAGTGCTTTTCCCTTTTCGAAAATGAGATTGCCACGTATTATGCAAAAGTGTGCTTTTCACATTGTTCTATTCAACGTTTTCACAGTTCATTCAACCACAATCTCTTTCATTTCCCGTCGACCCATAGCTTATAAAAGGGTCAATCATTTTACATGTTTGATGAAATACTTGTGAGTCCTTATGTGCTGAGTTGGGTTCAGTGAGATTCATGTGCAATTGTGTCGTATTTTGCAAAATATTCTCAACTTCATGCTTCATTTTCCATCCTCTGACATCGAACCGAAAAACCTCTTACTAATATAATGAAGAAAAGAGTTCTTTGTCCGAAACTGGATATTTTATCTTGATCATGTAAAGTCTTTGAAAGTTTTTTTTGCATTTTGTTAATGTATGTAGTGCCTAAAAATATATTTTAAGTGCTTAAAAAGTACTTAAAATTTTTTTATTTTTTGTTGAAAGATTTGGTTGTGCACCCTGAAGAAATTTTTGAAAAATATATATTTACTTTAAAGAAGTTTTATTTCAGCTTTCTTTTTATCATTGGAAAAATCCACCGTAAACAAAATATAAATTGAGGAATATGATTATCTGTTAAATTACTAAACATAACAGTTGCAAAGCAATTGGATCTATAAACAGACAAAATTAAAAGTCTGGCATTATATATAATAACTAAAATTAGCGGGCAATGTTTGAAATGGTTTATATTTCACACATTTCCTAAGCATTATATAGAATGCCAAGTGAGAAACCCTCAAAGTATGAAATACGTCTCCGATTTGTTTCTAATATCATGAAATGTCATTCAAGATTACCGAGTTGCAACAAGTAGGCTAGTTTTGATTTCTTATTTTTTGTATAAAAATTTTGTTTCCTTCAACATGGAATGCATATTCTTTGTTTTGTGAGTTGCAACAAGTAGGCTAATTTTGATTTCTTATTTTTTGTATAAAAATTTTGTTTCCTTCAACAAGGAATGCATATTCTTTGTTTTGTGCAACTTTCATTTTTCTTTACATATTTTGAATAAATTTTTTTTTTTAATCACACTAATTTTTTTTTTTTTTTTAAAGAAACAATATTTGTATTTTTGAAAAATGCACATCATTTTTATAATAGTCTTAATAGAACTTTTTTTCATACTTAACTTAAATAACATTCGTATGTTTTAATGTTTTTAAAAGTTTTTTTAATTTTATTTGTTGTACTCCTTATGGTTCTTGTGCCGTTAACATACATATTTTTTAATCTCACCCATTTTTTTTTTTTTTGAAAATAAAAACATATGTATTTTTGAGAAACGCAAATAATTTATATAATAGCCTTAATAAAACTTTTTTTCATATTTAGCCCAAATAACATTCTAATGTTTTTTAAAATTTTATTTGTTGTTGTTCCTTATGGTTCTGTGCGGGTAACATATATATTTTTCAATCACACTAATTTTTTTAAAAAAAAACATTTGTATTTTTTGTGAGAAGCGCATATTGTTTATATAATACCCTTAATAGACATTTTTTTTCATACTTAGCCTAAATAACATTCGAATATTTTAATGTCTTTAAATTAAAAAAAAAAAAAATTTTTTTTTTGTTGGTCTGAGCGGAGTGTTTTTACACTCCAGCGAATGATGTACACATCAAGTGCTGCTGCTACAAGTAAAGAAAAATAGTAAAAAAAAATAACATTTGTCTTCCTATGGAATGCCTAGGTATTATATGTAGCAATACCTAGGGGAAGTATGTCTGTAATAATTCTCATATTTCATACTTTATCTATTTACTGTGCCAATATTTCATACTTTGCCAGTAACATATATTTTTAAATTGATGAGATTTAATTTTAATGTATAAAAAAATGTTCTATTTAGAATGGAGAAGTGCCTCCTATCTATTACGATGTTTATTCCTTTAATTCCACCTCACCAGAGATCCAGGAAGTGGAAGAAGAAGATCAACATATCACTACGCAGTGGATTCTGCCTACTCAAGATTTTAATGGACTCTGGGAATCTTTAATTTATGAATCTGAAGTTAAAGATGGTGTAAGAGATCATTTTCTTTGTCTTTATAAATTATTGATAGAGGGAAACCACTCTCTATTCCACAGTGAATAGAGGTTGGTTGTTCCTAGGGGTTTACCTTCAAAATGACATTGAAGGAACAGTGGTGTAGTTTTATTGTAGGTTTGGAGGGAATTACGCCTTCCAATATATATATATATATACAGTAGGGAACCGATTATCCGGAACGATCGGGACCATCGCTATTCCGGATAGCTGATTTTTCCGGTTTTCTGAATCGCTACAAAAAACCTTTTTTTTTATTGTTATGCCTAACTAAAAAAAAAAATATTTGGAAATAATCTTAAAAAGAAGAAAAAACGATGAAGTAATACACTAATGATTATTTCCAAAATGATGGCAAGGTAAACATCTTTCAAAAAAAAAAAAAAGAAAATCCTAAAATCTTATGAGGAAAAAAAAAATTTTTTTTTAAAAATGGCAGGAAAATTTATTGAATTTTGTTCCGGTTTTTTGGTTTTCTGATTCCCGGATAACGGGTTCTGTACTGTATATATATATATATATATATATAAGTTTATATAACCACACACCTGCCTACTTGTACGGTCTCTGAAAAGGGTTTTACAAAGTGGTAGTAAATGAACAAGTATAGTTGGAAAGATTTTTTATTGATTAAATTAATTAAACATTGATGAGCTAAGTAAGCTAACAAATAGATCATATCTACATATTTTTTAATTATTGATTTGTCGTGGTAGGTTGAAAATGTTTTGTTTTTTGTTGAAACTTTAAATTGAAGATTTAATACGACAAACTGCTATAATTTTGCTACTACTAAGAAGTTTTTTTCTCAATGGCCGTACAAGTTTGCAGCTATATATATATATATATATTCTAAATGTTTAAATTACGAAAAAAATGAAAAATGAAAGTTTTCTATGTCTACATCTTACCGAACCGAAAGCTCATTAGTAATGTATAATTTCAGAGAGGGTTTTGTCCATAAAACCCTCCTCAAAACTATGCCACTGTGAAGGAATATGATTTCTGCAACCAATTTTAATTTTAGTCTGTTTCATTTCCTTGGTGCGGAAATGCCACTTGTGTTGGCGTCATTAAAACTGGATTGATTAATAAAATTTAGTGTCAATAAAAATTATCCCCACTAGTATAATTATGTGTAAAAACAAATTTACCAATTATGAAACATATAACACGTTTAAACAAGGAAATAATTACGCTTTTTGTTTAAGTTAGCGTTTAGTTTTATATCATCAAAATTAGTTTGCTTTAAGAAACGAGAGGTTTCTTTGTTTGATATGCTTAGTTTTTTTAAAATAACTTTTTTTTCTAATTTAACTTTCAATAATCTTTAACTTTTAATAATTCATTGTTAGCATCATCTTTAGTGCACTCTGACTGTAACATGAGGTTGCAGATCTCTTTCACAGATCATCAAAAAAAGCTTTCTAAATAAGAGCCTCGCACAAATATTTTGATTTGTTTCGTTAATATATTTTATTTTGATATTTTTTCATAATTATGAAACTCATTTACTCAAATAATTTAATGTAAAATTCAATTTTTTAGTGCTATTTAATTTAATGATAGCTAAAATCTTATAAATGCTGCAATGGAAGATTAGAATGATATTGTCTAAATAGTTTCTGAGTAAAGTTTTAAAAAAAATCACATTTTTAAATTTTTATTGCTCCGCTTCCGTTCAAATTTTACAATTGCCATTTAAAGTTGTATTAATAAAAATTATGTAAAATGCTTGTATATGCTGTAAAATTCATGCTTGTTTTAAATTCTCACTTAAAAAGTAATTTAAAACTCGAAATGCATAAATTCTAGTACTGACTATTTATGTGAGGCTAATACAAAAAAATATATAAAGGGCGGCATAAATGGATATTTTTTATTACAAATTAAACTGAAATCTTATGTGCTTTAAAATGTATTTTCCAGTTTTTTGTTAGTATGTTAATAAGTTATAATTGATGCTAAAATGAGTGCTTTTTTATCATTTTCTCCTCACGATTAATATAAATGGTTATAAATGATAATATTTTCTCTAGGGCTTAAAAAAAAAATTAAAGAGCTCCGAAACAGTGACTTTTATATTTAAAACAGGGTTCAATTTTTTACTATGCACACAATAAACACCACTGAATGCATGCATCACAATTTCAAGGAAAGTATGCGTTTTTTCTCAGTAAAAAAATAACTATAATTATTTTGAACAAATCATGCACAATTTTATGGAAAATGTCTAGTTTATAAAAGATTTAGTACAATTTTAAAAAATAATTATTCTGCATCAATTTAAAGCTCAGTTAGGATGCATTAGAACATGGTTGAAATAGTCTGATTTTGAATTATTCTGGTCATGAAAAATTTCTGCTTGTGAAGCAAATATAGGGAATTTAACTACATTTTTAAAATCAAAAACATTTTATTAATTTATGGAATAAAATACCCTTAAGAGAAGCTTGAATTAGTATAACATCTTTTACTTATATCATTTTACTGAATAAGAGTAAAGACCGGCTTGTTCTTTTTAAAAAATAAAAGCTGTTCTTTTAATAAAAATGAGCCCGTCTGGCCTTTTTCAAAAAGGTCTGGATTCTTTGCAATGCTGCTTTATTCATAATATCAGTATGATTATTTTGATATGGGTTCTCTTGAAATGTAAAAGAATAACATTCTTACTATAAGAAATATTGTACCTCTTTTTAGTATTTTTATACATTTGGTACAATCTGGTCTTCGGAAACTGGTGCTAAGTTTTTAAAAGTTGTTTGACAACCAAATAAAATAGTTCTTGTTGGCAAAGTTTCTTTCTTTTTTTTTTATGGATTATTCAATTTTCTCGCTTTTCCACTCTGTTAAAATTTGAGAAAGATTGAATAAAAATTCATTATTATTATTATTATTTTTTTGAACATCCATCATAATTGAGAAGCTTAATTTTCCAGAGTTATTACATTTCCTTCTGATACAAAAGTTTACAATTTATTATGAGAAAAACAAGTCTAAAATCAAACCTTATATATATATATTTCCCTTTTTATAAATTATTTTTCCTTAAAACATGTTATAATAATAATATTTATATTAATATATTTTATATCTTATAAAATTAATAATTTTTTTTAAATCTAAGAAAACTATTTTTTTCTCAATAATTTAGGTGTAAAATCATTACTAATGTTCTTTAAAGGCAAAAAGTGGCCACCAGATAAATTTTTCCTTCCCAGTCTTGCTGTTGATGACAAAAATGTACATTGCAATTTGCTCAAATTTTTATGGGAAACTTTAATAAATCAAAAAATTTTGTTTCTGAAATTGAGTGGGAACCCTATGTAATTTGTAAAATTTATTCCATAGATTAATAAAAAAAATATTGTTTCTTCCCCTTTATCTCCCCTGTCCAGAGATGATTGTGCTCTGGGAAAAATCCGGATTTTTCACAAACTGCGATCTGGAAGTTACAGGAAATCTAAAATCCAGAAGTTTCAAGAAATATTTTTTTTGGTAGAATAATAAATGTGATTAGAGATAAAAATAAACTTATACATAATTATTCATTTAAATAATGCTGCATATAATTTATCTAGAATTTCATGTTTTGAAAATTTCATTAATTTAAATATATAAAGACATTAATTTTTTGAAACGCGTCATTAATAATTTTATTCAAGAAATTTTCAGGACTTTTGAGTTGGGCTCACAATCACCCCTGCCTGTCTAAAGTAACATAAAGAAGGAGGGGTTGATGATGATGTTCATTTTTCTGTCCTGTATGAGAGTTAGATTTCAACAAAAGATTTTCCTAAAATGTGCTTTTTTTTATTCAAGGTTTGTAAAAAGTATTTAATTTTCTATCTTATGAAAAGAGATTTTTTTCTTTGCCATGTCGATTGTCGTTCTAGATTACAAAAAAATACATGATTTTCACAATTTTCTCTGCAATATTTATCAGATACTAATTATTTTATCATGATTACGTGAAGTTTGTGAAAATGTTTCTGAATTTTATTAATTTTATGTTCATAAATTAAGAACTTTAAAAAGATAGAAAAAATTTTTTTTAATACTGCACCAATCCTAATTATGACTTTTTTTTTTAAAGTGATTAAAAATATTTTTTGAGAGCTTAATTTTTGTTGAAAAATTTGATAATGCACCTGCAAGAAGTGATTTCTTCTCACTTATTCCTCAACAAAAAGTTTCATTTTTTTTTACTATTGCCATTAATATTATTATCATTAATTTCTGGAAGAAAATATAAAAGTGTTTTCCTTGTCTGCAAACAAATTTACATAATGTGCTCCTAATTAAGAAAAAGGCTGATGTTTGCATTCAATCTCAGTTAAAAAAAAATATCACCAGTGCAGTTGAATCTGAGAATGTAGAAATCTAATCCTTAAGTTTAAAATTGTCTATTTTTGTGCCTTTTGCACTATGTGAAACATAATAACCATTGTAAAATATTTTTGACATATTTGAAACATATTTTGATTAAAGATTTTTAATTAGTTTTGTTTGTTTCAGCTCCTGAATTATGTTTCTACAGCTTTGCGATTTTCAGAAAAGTCAGTCAATCCTAATATCGTTTCATGGAACAGAATGATACTTTTGCATGGTAGGAATAAAATTAAATATATTTTAAGTGTTTTTTTTTTTTTTACAATAAAGTGTCCCATGTTAATTTTAAAAAAAAAGTTTTTTGCCTTTGAATTATTGATAATTAATAGAACTAATGCATACTGCTATAGAGCTAATGTATTTAAAATACAGCATCCATTAGTGTCTATAGTTTCTTTTTAGGCGCAATTTTATTTTAGGGGTCGTCTATAATTGATGTTACATGTTACCCCTCCCCATATTTTTGACCCCTTTGTCACAAAGTGTCAGAATTAATCCTATTAAGTGTCCCTTGTCACACGATATTGCATAAATATATGTTAGCAGTTCAGAAACAAAACACATGTTATAGATCATATTTTATTTTTTTAAAAACTTTAATCTACATTTTTACTGTCACACCTGCCAAGTTTTTTAACGAAAACTCCTGTATTTTACGACTATGTCCTGTTTACCTGTATATTCTCAAATTTCTCCGTATTTGTTGAAAAAATTTAAAAAATAAAAGAAAAATTGGTGATGAAATATCCGCTGATGTCAAAAATACTTCTCTTATTCTTCAACAGCTGGGGTTAATGCCAGTGCATGTACTGCAGTACGTTGAGTGTTAAATGTTTAAGTCGAGCCATGATGACTCATGGGATAGAGCGTTCACCTTCCAATGAGGTAAACCCAGGTTCGAATCCCAGTGATAACTGGTTGATACGAATTCCGCGTCCTGCTTGCGCCGACCACAGTGCTTACGTGAAATACTCTCAGCGGTAGACAAATCACGGGATAGAGTCCCCTTGTCATCAGGTAACTCAAATGCAGGTTAGTTTCATCAAAAAGTCCACAAAGGCAAATTTCTCCCAATACTTGATCTAGGAGTTTTCTTGTCTTCTGGACTTTGTTCAAAATTTCAAGGCTACGGAGTTGAACATCAGTAATTTGAAAACCCGAAATTGGGTCGAATAGTAAAATCTCTGTTACTTTTTTTCTCCAATGTTGGCAGGTATGTACTATCATTTAAAAACATAATAATTCAAAGTGTATTATTTATTTTGTCGAAAACAATAATAAACAATTATATGAAATTTTTTAACTTGCGGACTGATTTTAAATATTTTTATTTTAATCAAAACAAAGGATGTCACTCTTTAAGTTACTGCTCCCCCCACCTTGTTACGATTTCTGGAACCCTCTCTCTCTCCCTTCCAGGTGTGACATCATTTATGGGCTACCCCTTGTGTATTTTTTTCACAAAGAGCAGCAAATATATGTAAATCTTCAAAAAGTGTGACATGAAGTAGAATACCTCAAAAAGCGTGACATGGGTAAAGCAAGAGTTATGAATTTTTTTTATTGATACAGTCAGGCCTGTTTATAAATGCTTTTAAGCAACAGAAATAGCAAAATGTATAAAAAAAATAGTATTTTGAATAAATGTAGTTAGGATCAATAACCTTATTAGGTGTTTTTAAAATTTAGTCCTTAACGTGTTCCTGCATAGGTCATAAAAAAAACTTAATTATAAAAGTTTATAAAAGTAAAATAAAATATTGACGGTGAATGTGTTTTAAAAAATATTCTTACTTTTAAGCTGATTTGGGTACAAAAATATAGTCTGAAAATTTACTATATTTTACCTGTATTTAAAAGATGCATACCAATAACTTATTCCTATTTGGTTTAAATACCCTGCGTAGGGAAATTAATTGTTCAGCTTGAATTTGTAAACAATTTTATAAATATTATTGGTAGTACAAAAAAAAACTATTGTTGGTAGTACAAATAAGTTTCCGCTGTTTTCTATCAAAAATTATCAGTTTATTGTGAAAAAAACGGTACATTATCTTTTGTCCAAAGTATTCTCCATTACTAGACACTACTTTCCCACTTCTTTCTGAGAGCATTCGGATACTGTGTCGAAGAACTCTACATCTTTCGAGGATATCCACGAATCGACCCATTCATTGGTTACCTCAAATGATGTAAATTTTTGTTCAGACAGACCGTGTGACAGCGACCGGAATAGGGGATAATCTGAAGGGGCAAGGTCTGGCAATTACGGCAGATGGGGAAGAACTTCCCATTGAAGTGTTTCCAAATAGCAAAATCAATTTTCATACAAAATCGACGTTCAATGTCTCTTGGCTTCAGTTCATATGGAACCCAACTTCCTTGTTTTTTTTATCTTTTCTAACGATGTCAAATTTGCTTGCCGAGTCCCTTGTAATGTAAGAGAAAGTTCTTTTTGCGTTTGTGACGAATCTTCTTCCTATAATTTTTCCAATTCCTTGTATTCGTAAAATTTTGGACTTCCACTGCATTCTTTGTCTTCCATGTTAAATTCACCATTTTTTAACTTCTGACACCACTCACGAAAACTTCTTTCACTTAAAGCAGCCTCACCATATGCTTCAAAGTGCTTCATCTGCAGATTTCTTCGATTTCAAGTAAATAAAAATTTCCCGCAGAGGACTCTTATTTGGCGCAAAACTTGACATTTTTGCACAAAAACAAATACCTAATGCAAATACAGAATCGCTAATACTTTAAGGTTTTGTTGTTACCAAATGAACAAACTTACAATAAGGCGTTTAACACCAGTCAATTTCTATATAACCTTCTGGTAGCGCCATCTTGTGACAAACAGCTTGAACTTATTTGTACACCCAATGAGTGAAATGCTAAAATAATAAAAGAAATGCTTGTAGTTTAGAACAGGGTTTATTTATTTCCAGAATTATTGGCTATGTTGTTTAAATAGTGAGTAGTTAATTGAAAGTTTTGTTCTACTCCTTCTTGTGTGTTTAATATTTTTATTTTAATAACATTAACTGTATTATTTAATTTTTATAGGGCCTCCGGGAACGGGTAAAACTTCACTGTGTAAGGCTTTAGCTCAGAAAGTCTCTATTAGATTTTCATCAAAATTTGCATATGGAATTCTAGTGGAAGTCAATACTCATAGTCTCTTCTCCAAATGGTTTTCCGAGGTAGATTTTTATTCAGAGCCACAATTTAAATGGATAAATGAAACAAAACAAACATGTATATAGTTTGTCTATGGTAAGAACTCCCCCCGCCTCAAAGTCTGAGGTTGTCTGCTGCTATGGAAACAAGAATAGCTAATTTCAAGAATGGTAACTTTTCTTCACTCTAGCGCTAACACAATAGACCGGAGAAAAAATTACCTTTCTCTAGCCGAACCGAACCAAAACTTGTCCTAAACAGTGACCTCACACCCCTATTGAAATAGTTATACCTCGTTACCATAGTCACCGCCACGGGTCCTGACGCATGGCTGGGGGAGTTTTTACTTTAGACAAACTATACCAGAACTTTTTTAAAATAAAACTGCTTTTGCAGGTGATAATTACAATGATTATTATTAAAATTATTATTTATATATTTTTTTTAAAATTTATACAATATTGATTTTGTTAAAAAAAAAGCTTGTTTTTTATTTTGATACAGAAATTAATTTTATTCATATTATATTCTTTTAATAATTAATTTATTTTAATGATAATACTAACTCATTTTATATTCATTTTTGCTTGTCAATCATATTACTGTAATGAAATGGCATTTTAATGTATGAAATTCTAGACTCTTTTTATTATTCTGACATTGTTTAAGACTAGCATTGTACGTACAGAGTGCATAGCGTTTTTAAAAAGTGCTTGAAGGTGCTTATTTTTTATTTGCATTTTTTACAAGCCTTTAAAGGTGCTTTTTTTATTAGGGGTTTGTAAAAGGTGCTTAATTTTCTATCATATAAAAGAGTTTCTTTTTTGCTGTTTTGATTGTTGTTTTAAATTACAAAAAATTCGTAATTGTCTCTAATATTTATAAAAAAAAAAAAAACAACTTATTTGATCATGATTATGTAAAGTTTTTGAGACTTTTTTGAATTTTATTGATTTTATTTTTATAAATTAAGAATTTTAAATGATAGAAAAAATTATTTTTATTACTGCACAGATCCTTATTATGAGTTTATTATTTTTTTTTTTTGGAAAGTGATTCAAAATATTTTTTGAGTGCTTAGAAAGTACTTAAAAGGTGCTTATTTTTTGATGAAAAATCAGGCTACTCACCCTGATATACCTTCAGTTTCTGCACATTCTGAAAACTTCAATTAAATTTCTTTTTACCAATTATTGCCTCCAATTTTATGTTTTCTTTCTCAGAGTAGAGTTTAAAAAGTGAGAGGTTTGGGAATCGGCCTGAAATGCATCCATATTTTGTACTTTCTACTTATATGAACTTTTATTTATAATATTAAATATAATTTCCTAATGTTGTAATTATGTTTTGCAGAGTGGAAAATTGGTTACAAAACTCTTCCACAATATAATCAATCTAGTTGAAGATACTTCTGTGCTTGTAATTGTGCTTTTAGATGAGGTAATATTTCTATTTTGTTAAATTATTTAAATTTATTACATTTTAGCACTCCTGTATTAGAGGTGTGTGTGTGTGTGTGTGTTTCTTTTTATTTGTTTGTGTATGTTTATTGTGAAAAATAATGAATTCACTTGTTTTTTCATACATGCTGTTACTAATTTCTTCAAAGATTATATTGTGACACTAATTCGTGTGAATGAAATAGTATTAATTATTAAACTATGTTGTAGCATATTTCATTGATTAATTCCTTGTTTAATTAGCATACTCTTTCAAATCATTAAGATTCCATCTTACTAAATTCAAATCATATTATTAGTTTGATATTCAGGTGTTAAATTTTTCATTTTGTGTACTCTGAACATTTGTGATTAAAACACAAACATATGTACATATATTTAAAACTTTAAGAAAATTTTTTTTTTAAAGTCTTTGAAAATTTGTGATTATGAAAAATTTATTATTTGAAATTTCTTGAACATTTTCTAAAGCTTTGTGGAGAATTTTTTCTTGAGATTAAGTTTAAGGATTCTAAAAACTTAATGTAATACCTGTCATTTATTTTATGACAAATTAGATTGTTTGCTAACATTTATTTGATTGAAGTGTGGTACAATAGCTATTAAACTAAATAAATGTCTTGCAAATAAATAATGTTTGGTTTGATTGTTAAATCCTCAAATCAAATTGCTTCTTGTGTGAATTTGTGAAAAACATTTCTTTCCCTATCATATATTCTTTTCTAAATGTCATGGAAAAAAAACTTTCTCTAAGCAGAAAAACAACTGTATTGTAATAATTATAATATACATACTTTTGCAATTAATTTGATATAACTGACATGTTGTTAGGTAGAAACATTAGCCAGGTCACGTTCCTCTGCCCTCACTGGAAATGAACCGTCCGATGCATTGCGCGTCGTAAATGCTTTCTTGACTCATTTAGATATGATTAAGAGGTATGAACACATTTCTTTTTCTTTATTTTCAAAGTTACTACTTTAAAGTTTATTAAATAGATTCTTATAGATTTGAAACAGTAAGGAGTTTTACTTGTTTAGGATCAAATATTACTATTGACAACAGAATGGCTCCTGAAATAAAAAACCGTCTCTATCTGGCAAATAGGGCTGCCTATGGGCTGAGAGGATTTATTAAATCTAGGTTTCTTTCTAGAAAAACAAAGTTCTTAATCTACAAAACTCTTGACACACGCGTCTGGGGCTTGGACAGTGACAAAACTGGAGGAAAATTGTATCGCAATATTTGAGAGAACTGTTTTGCGGAGTATACTTGGCGGTGTAAATGAAAACAATAACTGGAGAAGGAGATTTAACTTTGAACTATACAAGATTTATCAACAACCCGATATTGTTAAATACATAAAAATAAATAGAATGAATTGGATGTCCCACGTGATTCGAATGAGTGATGACAATACAATAAAAAAGATGCTGCTTTTTAAACCCACTGGAACAAGCAAGTGAGGAAGGTCACGGATAAGATGGGTTGACCCGGTGGAATCAGATTTTCTTGCAATTAATGAAAAGAATTGGAGATCAAAGATAAATCAGAAGTCATTATGGAGAAATCTTCAGAGGAAGGCACTGACCCATATTGGGCTGTCTGGCCTATTATGATGATGAGCATGTATATTATTTGATACTGAAGAGGTACATGAAGAAGTCATTTCATTTAGTTAATTTATATTTAATTTAGTCATTTAATTTAGTTTAGTTTTAATAAAAAATGAGTAATTTAATTAAGACTTCTGTAGTTTAACAGGATTTATAATCCGATGAAAGTTCCTTTGGAGTTCTGCAAATCTAAGATTTCAATTAGAAATTTTTGCAAAATCCAGCTAACGAGACATTCAATTGTTTCTTTTCGACAACCTCTCTTTTTTTTCTGTCAGTGTTCCTTGTTTATTCTAAATTTCAGAATTGACTGGCTTTGACACATACCTGCAAAGTCTCCTGTTTTTAAATGAAGACTCTTGTATTTTACAACTATCTCCTGTTTACCAATATATCCTCAAATTTCTTCATATTTGTTGAAGAAATTTTTTTTTTAAAATTTGGTGATAAAATATTTCCCGATGGCAAAAATAATTATCTTATTCCTTAACAGATGGTGCATTTACCAGTACTGCAGTATGTTGAGTATTTATAATTTAAGTAATTATAAATAATGGTTAAAAAAAATCTTCATTAGATTAAGATTTATAAATACATATTTTTTACTTCACTAAATGTAAGTGCTTATATTATATCCAATGTTGACTTACATGATTATGCATGATTTATCAAGACTTTACTCATAGCCCAAAAAAATTTTTGCTAGTAAAATCTCCGTTATTTTATTTCTCCAACGTTCACAAGTATGCGATATTTTAAATTGTGAAATCAGATACAAAAATGTACTTTCTGTGAATAACCTTTCTTTCAATGGATTCGGATTTCTGACTCCAAAAATATGGGGGACATAAACATAATTCCTATAGTTTTGGTCAGGAGAATGATCCAAAGTTTGGACTCCTTAATGTTAATTTTATTTTTTCCCATATCTCAAAAGCATTGAAAATAAATTGAAAAAATTTTGCACACAATTATAAAATTCCTTTATCTAAAGATTATTCCATGCAAAAAAGAAATTTTAGTAAATATTTATTATTATTTATCATTTTAATTAAAAATAGTTAAAAGTTTTTGAATTGTAAAATGTACAATTTTTTACATCATTTTAAATTATACAAAATTAATAATACAAAATTTGAACGGAATAATACAAAATTTGATCAAAATCTGTTGAATAGTTCCTTAGAAACTGAATTTTAAATGGATGACTTTTTTAAAATTTGATTTCTCAGGAACTATTAAACTGATTTCGTTCAAATTTTGTATTTTGCCATGTAAAATTACCTACTTTAAAATAACATACAAATTTTTTTACCTTACCATTCAAAATTTATCTAACTATTATGAAATAAAGTAATAATAAACAATTAATATTTACTAAATTTATTTTTTGCATGGAATTATCTTTCGATAAACAAATTTTATAATTGTCTGCAAAAAGTAAAATTAACATCAAGGGGTTCGAACTTTGGATCGTTCTCCTGACTTTGGAGGCCATATTTCCCAGATTGCGGCTGCCCCCTGTATTTTAGGTGACAGAAATCCGAATCTGTTGAAGAAAAGGTATGTTTATTCAGAGAAAATACATTTTTGTGTCTGATTTTATTATTGAAAGCATCGTCTGCACTATTTAATTAGCATATTTGAAGTAACTCCCTCAAATCATTAAATCTGTGTCCTAAAACATGAAGATCCGATCCTTAAATCAAAAATTATTCTGGGTGGCTCTTTTTTTTTCTTTATTGCACTGCACATCCAAGGGTATACGGTATATGAAATTAGGGCTTTATATCAAGTTCAAGGTATTCAAACTTTGGCTTCTTTCCTTTATAAATGAACTTTAAAAAACGGGTGCAACTGTAACAAAGCTGGATAATCAGCTGAAAATTGAACTTTTTTTTTATGGGAAAAAGAAAAAGTAATGCTTTTATATACTACTGAGCATTGTTTAGTTAAATATTTAGTATGTAAGAAAACTGGTTGATTCATTTAATAACTAACAAACAATTAGTCAACTAATTTATGTTATTTTAACTTAAAATTATCTGTGTGACGATCTATGAAACAAAAGAATTTAAATGCTAAGAAATATATTTCTATTGACTTTTTAAGATAATTGGAACTTTTGCAATTACAGGGTTGCACACAGGTGACTAAAATGCCATTATTTGCAAATATTTTCAACCTGAGGCGACCTTTTTTTGCCTGAAAAGGCTGAAAAAAGCAACTATTTTCAGGAAAAGAGGACTATTGAGAAACTTTTCTGTACTCCTAGCTATGTTTTTAGCACAAATCGGGTTGGCAACCTGCCGTCCACAGGAGCTTCTAAACACAATGAATTTTTTTTTCCTTCAAAAATAAAATATGTTGAAAATTTTGAATTGCAAATTTGAGTCATCAATTTTTAATGCGCTCAATTTGCACAAATTCCTTTGTAAGTCTATTTTGTTTCTTGATTGCCTTTTTACCGGTTATTACTACAAAATTCTGGATGATTTTGAAAAACTCATTTTTTATATATTACTGAGTGTGAATTTCGAATTTGAGTAATCACTTTTCGCTATATATATATATATATATACACACACACACAATATTTGCTAAATCAATTATTGATAAAACGAAAAATATTTTAGAAAAAGTATGTTCTTTTTTTTTTTTTAATGAATTCTAGTAATTAAAAGTATTTAATTTTCTGTAAACATACAAATTTTTTTTACATAAAAATTTTATGCTAGAACACTAACGTTTATATAAAAAGTATCATATTTGCCACCAACTTGACTAAATGGATCATGGTATATGGCAATTAAGTCATTCAATAAATCTTTAGTCATATTATTGAAAAATTTTTGGTTTTATTTAGTCAAGTATTTTCATGCTTAATGCTACTAAAAGCAACTATTTTGTTAATTTTTTTTTTCTGTGGTAGCCCTGGCTGTTATTATAATATGTTATTTTTTAAACTTTAGGTCATGAAAACATTTTGTTTTCAAATGCTCCTGTGAATTTAAATGTCGTGCTTTGCTTTCAGGTATCCAAATGTTTTAATTCTCACCACATCAAATATCACTGATGCCATTGATGTTGCATTAATAGACCGTGCTGATATAAAGCAATATATTGGTTTGCCAAATGTAGAAGCTATCTATCAAATATACAGCAGTTGTATAGAAGAACTATCAAAGGTATCAGAATTATTTAAACTTTGCTTTAATACATATTTTTAAAATTCCAACTATTAGTTCACACTCTCCCTATATATATATACAGTACAGAACCCGTTNATATATATATATATATTAAATCTTGCTCAAAATTTTCAATCATTAATAAAATACTATATATTCATCCACTCAAGTGTTCAAATACATTTTTTTAAAACTTGTAGTGGATGATACTTGATGTTAATGCAGTTTTTTCAAATGATAATTCATTCATTAAATTTCATGAATTAATTATAGTTTTATACGGGAAAAAATTTAATTATTTAATAAAAAGTGACTAGAATAAAAAAATTTCTTTGTTAAACTAAGTAGGAATTGACTTTAAAGGGAAAATAAACAATTTATATTACTTGTTTTAATTAAAAATTTTAAAAAGTGTAAAATAGGAATAAGATGAGTATGAAATTTAAGTTTTAACAATGCTTTTCCAATGTGATAGATATTCAATTTTGCTTTTTATTGCTCTCTTTTCTTGAATTCTCTTTTGTCTCTTCATTGTGTTACATAAATATATGCTTTCAATGGAATGGAAATGTTTTATTTGCTCCATTTATATTTTTTCTATTAATTTGAATTTTTTAGAAATATGTAAAAAAAATCTTTTAATTGTCGATTATCTTACATCACTATGAATTTTGTTGTTTACTTTTGATAGGCTGGGATAATTTGCACATCAGAAATAGTCATGCAAATGGAAAATCTATTACGCCAACCAGATTCCTCATCAAACGGAAATTTAGTATTTGAAAACAGAGACTTAAAATTAGTGACAATTTCCAAGTATGTTATATATTCATTTATTTTTTACTATTACTAAAAAAACTGTTTTGTTGTTTATGACAAAAGGCTATTTTATTATATCTATGGTTTTATCACCGGTGAGATGTCTGCTTGTAATATGTTTTGCTGGAATAATTATGTTTAACAAACTACATGATTGATTGTTTACTTTACATCACCAAAGGAAACTGATTATCAAGCCAATCTATTCTTATCTTAAACAGTAAAAAATAATTAAAATTTGCCAATTTTGTGCCACAACAGAGAAACAATTTTTATATTGTAAAAGATTATTAGATTGAAAGAACGCATTATAGTGAAAACACAACAAGTACAATATTATAAGTTTTTTTTTCCCGTCCAGTTTAGGTAGAAGTTGTAACATTCATCAGAAGTAGTGACTCATGAGTCTCATGACAAATTTTAACTTTGTTTCACACGGTCAATCACCCATAAAGGAGCCGTGAGGGCTCAGGGAATAGAGCGTTCGCCTTCCAATGAGGCGAACCGGGTTCGAATCCCAGTCGATACGTATTCCGCATCCGACTTGCACCAACCACAGTGCTGACATGAAATATCCTCAGTGGTAGGCGGCTCATAGGTTAGAGACCCCTTGCCGTCAGCCTAACCGTGGGAGGTTCTAGTGGTCTTCTTCTACATGTAACGCAAATGCGGGTTAGCTCCATCAAAAAGTCTTCCACAAAGGCAGAATTTCTCCTAATGCAGTAAAACTTGTGTAAGTTGACCACTTGTGGTGCACTGTTTTAGTGATCATCTTTGACAAGTGGCCAACTTATTGAGAGGGAGGGGTCATTGCTTACTTTTTCGTTTCCTATATCATGTTGCTATTTATTAAAAAAAAATATTTTTACTCGACTAATTTTATTTAGCAAATAGCCAAATGAATATCTTAAGAAATGTGTTTAAACCTGAATGAACTTCAATTTGTTACATATAATTCTAATATTTAACTAACTTTTTTAGAAATTTTTTTGTTAGTTATGCATGTGAAGTGTATAATAAAAACAATTTCTTAAAATATCGGAACACGAAAACATGTAATTTAAAAACTTTAACAACACAAAATTATTTGAAAACTTTAAAATTTATTCTTTTATTACTACACTTACAAGCGTATTTTTGACAAAAATATTGCCTCATTGTTGTTTGGCGCTGTTGTTTAGATTTTACATCAGCCCAATGTTTTGAATGAAAGTGATGGTTAAAAGCTGACTCCCTAGAGTTCCCCCAGATGGTCAACTCACAAAAGGGTTAAATTAGCTTTTTTACACTATTTCACCAAACAAGTGAAATTTTAACATACATTGCAAAATGACAGAAAGTTTTCTGAATTTTTTTTTTTTCTGGTCAACTTATGAGGGTTTTAGAATAGAATTTCATAATACTCCTAGACAAAATTGACTTGTTTCAGTGGTCAACATACAATATAGACAGGTAGTCCAGTTACAAAGGTTTTACTTTATATTATATAGGAAAAACTCCGCTCTTGATAATTGAGGTTAACTTATGCAGGTGTCCAACTTACAAGGGTGGTCAACTTGGCAGGTTTCACTGTACTCGATCCAGGAGTTCCCTTGTCTTCTGTATTGGGCTCAAAATTACAAGGCTACAGAGTTGAACATTAATAATCATAAGCTCATAAAATTGGTCCGGCTGTTCAACGACGGTTATAAAATAAAAATAAAATCACCCATAAAGGGAAAATTTCTTTTAATATCTTTATCGTACAACTACATCTCATCTTTATTATTTTGTTCTGGGACAACAAAATATTTTAAATAATTTTCTTGACGATGAAAAAAATTGATTTCATTTCAGAGGATATCTTTGTATAAACAGTAAAATTGTATCTAATTGTGAGTGGATAGTGAGGATTATACCTAAGAGCAGGGATTGATCCCACGACCTCTTGGACAGGGGCCTAGTGTACTACCAACCAGGCTATCACGGCCCTCTTCTATGAAATTTGTGATTATCCCGTATAACTGATAATTGACTGATAGACATCTATTAACTTTTATTTCAGACAAAGTATAGGACTCAGTGGGAGAACACTGCGCAAGATGCCCTTCATTGCCTGCTCACTCTTTCTTGGAGTAAGATTTTTTTTAAATTAATATTTTCTGATTGCTCAACCTTTAAAAACATAAATGTGTACATGAAAATGTACAAATATATATTAAATATAACTATTTTTACTTTAAGGAAGGTTACATAAGCAATATATTATCCAATATGACAGGTCGGTTACAGAAAAACTGTAAATTTTTAGGACTGAATTTCATTTAAACATGACATATCAAAATGAAATTACAAAAAGGAAGGAACCTCTGTGGCAGAATTTTTTCAGGCTTTCTGTGATATATCTTTCTAGTACTAATATCTTTCTGCAAGATACTTTTAATAATAACAAATATACATGTTACTCTTCTTATTTAAAGTAACAGAAGTGTCAATATATAAAATAAAAAAACTTTTGGATAAAATAAAGTTATTATTTTTATTGAATATGTAATATTTCTCTTTATTCTAATATTATGGCAGATATTCTCGCATTTTGTAGGGGGAAAACACACTAATTATTTCCTTTTTTGCATTTTGTATATCATCTCATTAAAAAAAAAAAAAAAAAAATCCTGAAATCCATGGCAGTAACTACCGGGGGAAAAATATCAATATCGAAATCACTCGAATCAGACTCTTCAAAAGGGGTAACTAAATGCACGTTTTCAATTCAATATCCAGTTGTTGTAATAAATTATATGGTATTAAAAATATAGGATTTTAAAAACTATGTGGAAATCAATAGTCATAACTGCATAAAAAAATAGAACAAAAATTTCAGCATTAAGGAAAACCAACATTTTTTACTTCATTATTCTTTATTTTTCATTCTCTCGTGAAAATAGAAAAATCACAAGCATTTTTTCCCACTCCCATGCACGAGAAAGGCATCTTTTGAATATAAATCTAAAGAAAAAATTAAATCTTTTGAAAATTTCTGCAAAAAAGGAAACCAAATTTTTTTACTTCCCAAAGGAAAAATCTTTCTACCAGAACTCTGTAACGTTCTACTACAATGATACCACGATTCTGCCATGGGGAAAGTAACATACACCCAAGTGGGAGAGAGCTATAATTCAGCATATAAAAGCACCAAATCTGATACCATAGTGTTTACCTCTTTAAATCTGGGAGATTTTAGAGAATCTTAAGTATGGATAAGCGAGGTATTGTTTTGCAAATATTTTTTTTATGTTGAATCAAATTAAACGAATCTCTATGAGACAAACATTTAAAAAGTTTTAAGGTATGTTATGTATACAAGTTTAGACTTGTCTAAATTCTTATGTTGGGAAGTTGGTTTTTTTTCTGTTTGCTGAATTGAAAGAAAATGTTCCCCATGTGGATAGGAATGATAGTTTAAAAGCTACAAATGCTATGTAATTTTTTTTACACAGTATGTAAAACAATTATTTGCTTTTACGTATTTTATACTGCTATCTAGAAAAATAAATTATTGTTCTTAATGTATTTTTTTGGGATGGCATGACTTGGGAAATTTTCTTTGATAAAAAACTTTGGATTAGCTGTATACCCTAAGGGTGTTCACACCTTAAAATATTAAAGTGCACTAACCAGCAGGGTTTCTAGTTGTCCTGATATTCCTGTTACAAAATATTTCATTAATTACTTGTCCTGATTTTTAGATTTTTGCATGCGTTCAGAATGTCCCAATAGCTATGAATACTAGTGTGGGATTTAAAAATATTAGATTTTAAGAATTGAAAGATTTGAATTATCAGTTTAACGTTTTTTATTTTATTTATTATAATTAATAATGCTAATAAAAATCGCAAAATTCAATTGTTTGAAACATTTCAAGTTGTTAATCTTCTTTCAGACTTTTGGTCATCTTATGAAAAAGAAAATCAACATTTTATCTGTCAATTTTTTTTTTCTTAATATGTCCAATTGCTAATTACAAAGTAGTTAAACTTGTTTAAATTTTTTTCTCTCGTCCGACAGATTGGAATGAAAACATTGTTTTACATTTCATTAAATTAAGTGCGAAATCGAAAGTACTTTTATTAAATGTCCATTTGCTTTAATGGTTTAATTTTCTTTTTCTTTTGATGATCTTTGTTTCCAGTTTATATTGTATTGCGTTTTCTTATCATTTGTATTTAGATATGATTTTGCAAATTATTTATAGAAAAATCTATTGTTCAATTGTTTTATTAGAGCCTCTATAATTATAATTTTTTTTTTTTTAATATTAGATTTTTATAAAAAAATGTCAAGTGTTGCCCATGTTTTTTTTCCCTTTTTTTTCAGAAAAATGTTGCACAAAATAATATTTTCAAAGCTGAGGATTGCATTTTTATTTTAGCTTTTATTTCTCCTCCTTGAAAATTGTCTAGAATGGGTACCAAAAAATTTCATGATTTTTAAACCAGCAACAAAAAAAATAAATGCATTTGAAAATTTAAGTATACTTTACATACTAATTAATATTAACTTCAATTACGGCACAGTGGCCTAGTGGCAGGTAACCTGCCAATCAACATGACACAGTCATGCAGTGGACTTTTTTGCTCTATTTTTTTCCTATGTTTTTTTAACAAATATTTTTAATATTGTGTGATTTTTTTTTACTTAAGTAGCGATAATAATTGAGCTCGGATTGTGCTCCGGAAAAATTCCGGATTTTTCGCTAACAGTGATCCGGAAGTTTCCGGAGATCAAATTTCCAAAGGTGGAACTTATTTTATAAAGGTGGAACACAGTTTATTTTATTTGTTTGTAAGGGAGAGCCAGAGAGATACTTTATAAGCTTATATTCATGATTAATATTCATTTTTTATCAGTAAATAGTTGTTATAATCATAAACCCAAGAAAGAAAGACATATTTGTAAATTTTTAATTACTTCTCCAGGTCATTATAGGCATGTGTAAATTTGTAAAATTGTGTGTCGATATGTGTAAAATTTTAAATATATTTTTAGTAAACTAAGAAATATTGAGAAAAAGGAAAAAAAAACATTGTTTAAATGTTTTTCAATTTAAACAGTTTTTTTATTTTAAAAACTTAAGAAATTTTCCGGAATTTTGACTTGGGCTCACAGTCACTCCTGATAATTTAATGTTTTTATAAAATAATAATGGTTTAATAATAATAATTTAAACTTAAAATAATTAAAAATGTTACATGTTTATTAATTCATTTTATTGTATATTTTGTATTATAAACAACAATAACTATTGGGAAAAATTTGGCATCTTGCACAGTTAATAAAAGCCGATTGTTAACATGAACAACACTTTTGAAGTTGATCTACTAAAAATTTTTTTTAAATTATTGTAACCATTATTTATAAATATTTTAAACAAATTCATTTTATCACTTTAGTTGTCAATTAAGATCTAGTAACCAAGAAATATAATTTATTTTAATACTATTAGTAAATAGAAAAAAATCTTTATAAAAAATGTGAAAAAGTACTGTAGTTTAAAGGTCAAACAATATTTAATGATTAAAAAAAGTACAGTAAATAAAATAAATTTAAATTAATACTGAACAGAAAAGGTTATTAAAAAATAAGAAAAGATGATATAAAGCAATCTTTGTTAATCGAACAATAGTCTTCTCACAATTCAGCGGGTATCTTGCAGCTCAGTTGTTAATGAAATGAAGGTTTAATTACTTTATATGTAATGATGTGAGCTTAAATTTTCAAATGTGCTTTTGTTGAAATTATCTGCGTAGTGTGATATGTTATTTTAAGAGGGGAATAACCCTTAAAGTATACTAATAATATAGAAAGTTTCATGCCAAATATAATTTTCTAAGTCATGTCCCCCAACCCTCATGGCAGAATTGTGGAGACATTGTCGCGGAACAATGCAGAGTTCTTGCAGAAAGATTTTTTTTTAGGAAACAAAGAAGTTAAGATTTTTTTTAATCTGCAGAATTTTTCGAAATATTTTCTGCAGAATTGTACTCAAAAAGTGCCTTTCTCACATATAAGGGGTGGAATGAACGCTATTGATTTTTTTTTCCCTACTATTTTTTTGCAATGACTGGCTTTAGCTGGAATTTCAGATTGATATTATAAAAAGTAATTTCCAAGTAGCAAAAATTTTAAAAAGTGTAACTATACAAATATTTTTTACATGGTGTGTAGAGTTTTGAAAATGCTGTTATTTTTGATTTACGTTTATTAAAAGCCCTTAAAGGTGCTTTTTTAGTTGGTGTTTGTAAAAAGTGCTTAATTTTTTATATTTTAAGAACAGATTTTTTCTTTGCTGTATCGATTGTCATTCTAAATTACAAAAAAATTCATGATTTTTATAATTTTCTCTGCAATATTTATCAGAAACTAGTTATTTTAACATGATTATGTAAAGTTTTTGAAAATGTTTTTAAATTTGATTCATTTTATATTTATAAATTATGAACAATAGAAAAAAATAATTTTTGTTACTGCACAGATCCTAGTTATGATTTTTTTTTTTTTTTTGGAAAGTGATTAAAAATATTTTTTAATGCTTAAAAAGTACTTAAAAGGTGCTTATTTTTTGATGAAAAATCTCTGGCTATGCACCTTGTTTTAGAACAGGAGAATATCGCCAACAATATTAGAATTTGTATTCTTTAATATTTTTTTTTTTTTTAAAATTCTTACATTTATAAACAAAAAAATTATGTACTGTTCTGCTTCTATACGTAAAGTTTTTTTTTTGTAAACAGAAAGTGATCTGGTTACTTTAAATTAGTAACACATATATTTGCTTCTATTAAAAATACCTTTCAGAAAAGTGTCAGTATTAGAGAGAATTGTCGCAGCAAGCTCGAAAAAATTCTGCCACGTGGCCCTCTTGTCAGAACTAATAAAGATTTTCATTTCTGAGATTTTGTTATTTTTCCTTTAAGATTTCATTCATTTTTACAAGTTTAGTTAAAAATCAAATTTTCACTTAATAAGCAACAACTTTTTCTAACATAAAATTTTCTGTTGTAGGAAAATTTAGTCACCTTAGATGATTTCTTAGATGCCTTATCAAAAGCAGTTGAGAAGCACTGGCACGATGTTAAACACCTCAATGCTCATGTATAACACATTACTTCAAAGACTGTTACATATTACTATTTAAGAGAACACTATACCAAGAGAGAAACCTTTTATAGCAAATTCTGTTTCTCCCCTTTCTTCATGTAATTTAAAGTTTATGAGAAAAGTGAGTTTAAGTTAACCTACTGCTAACTATGAAATTTTAAATGATGAAAAAATTATCGAAATGTAAACAAACTAATGCACTATTATCCCCCCTGTGTAATTTTGCTATAATTTGAATGCAGTTTGATATAAAAAATTCAGTATTTGAAACTTTATGGTGTACCTGAACTTATGTGGATTAAAGAGAATTAGTCATGAAAGGTTTCTTCTGCAGTATAGCATCCTCTTAAAAAAAATCCTATGACGTTTACTAATTTTTATTTATGATGTTGAGTCATAAATAACTTTCGATTGTCTACCATACATTTGAAATATACTTTGAGAGCTTATTCAATCTCCATTCTTAAAAAGGCTTTATTTTGGTAGTGCAGTTAATTTATATGGAGATACGTATATCAGAAATATGATTGAGTAGTGCCTTTATTCAGGGTATGTAATTCAAATAAAACAAATTGACCAGTTTGCAAGAGAGAATTTAAAGTGGAGCAATGTATATGAACAGAACACTAAGTAAGTTTAATTTTAATATAAAAAAATAATGACACTATCTCTCTTTACACAATGAAGTTTGCATTTAACCTAATTTGTTTTGTTTCTCAAAAAAAGAAATGTCCTCACATAACATTGACAGATTTATTGGAGGTAGGGCAGATCATAAGACTAGAAATGTTATTGTGCGTCGTAATGGGTTCTTTCTTATTATGGGCCTTTACTCAGGTGCTTTATTTGCCTAAAATATCTTATCTTCACATTTTCTAATAATTGTCTGAAATAGCTGTTTTATTAATACTTAATGATTTGACTAGCGTGTGAAATCATCAAATAACGAATGCAAATTCCAACAATAATTAGAAAACACAAAAAATGTGTTCATCATTTACGGCACTCCTACCTGGCTCATGATATTTCTGGTTTGCAAAATTTTACAATATGCCCTTTGTGATCAATTCACTTACATATGTTCTGGTTTATTTATTTTAGCATATTTTTTACTGATAAAGTTATTCAAATTTATTTGTGATAATTGGAAAATGTATTTAGTCTTGTACATAGAAGAATGTTTAAAAAATGAACTATAATTTGAAGGCAATAGTCTTGCTGAACTGTCATCCACAAGAGTGAAAATTATTTGTGTACTTAAATTCACTTTTTGTTAGTTATGTCCACAAAATTTTTCTTTAATCTATGTGTTGAGATTACTCTGTAATAAAGTTGAAGTGATATGTCTTTGCGATAGAAACTTTTTTTTCATTGAATTGTTTACACAAAGTTTTTTTTAAAAATATAATATAGGACCCACATATAGGCTGGGGTTGGTATGCTTCTAGTCAAATTTATCACTGAATACTGAATTTCAGGTAAAAAATGCATATTATTTAAGAATAGATTTAAATCTTGTTGACATAGAAGGCTTTATAAAAAGAAATAATGTATATGAATTATTTGTTTAACCTAAAAAGAGTAATTGTGGATTTAAGTGGTATGAATATTTTAAATTTATTGCTTTCCATTGACTGATTTATTGCTTTCCATAAAGGCTCTTAAATAAACATTCAATTATGCCAATTTAGTTTTTATGTTTATTTAAAAATATATTAAACATTTTGAGCAAGTAATTTTTTTTCTTACGGTTTCTGACCTAATTTAATTTATTCTTTAATACCCAGGAGACAAATTAGATCTTAATACTTTAACGAATTTGTAAAGACTAAGCGGGAGTTAAGATAACTATGATTTTATTCTCTTCAGTGATTAGTTTATAATAATTTTGAACATTTTAGTTAGAAATATTAAGTACTTTTTAGCTACTTTGTTTTTAAATTATATCTTATCATAGCACTGATTGATATATGCAGAGTTGATAAAAATGCTTGGTACATCAGAAAACAAAAAAAAAACTTAGATAACTATTTTTTTACCTTCTAATAAAGAATCTGAAAGCAATTCACCTAACATTGATTCTTTTCATCATCTATATTTTTAAGAGCCTTAAAAAACATGTCAGTTTTTCAGGCCAAGTTTCTGTTGCACTATCACTTCATTGACTTGCATTTAACTGCGCTTTTACACCTTCTCTGACCTCGCATGAACATATTAATATGTAGTCGTTGATGCATTATTTATACCTTAATTACAGAACTTAGTTACATAGTTAAGGTATATTTAATTTGATTACATAATTAAAGCTATATCTAAATAAACTAAAAGTGTATATAGTTGGAATGTTTTAAAATAATTTTACATACAGCTAATGGAATGTTACACTTAATGTTTTAATTTACTTTTATCCACATTTTCTTTTTCCTGATCCTTTAATCTATTTTGAGCATCAAACAATAATTTACATTCATCACTTTCATTTCTGTTGATAAAGCCTTCAACATGAATGAAATTATACTTCAAAACCTGAAGAAAATATTCATTAAAAAAAAATTACAAAGATTAAAATTTATTTTAAATATTTTTGTAAATATATGTCTGTATTAAGTTGGCATAATTACTTTAGAAACTATCTTGTATTAGTATTAGTACCTACTAATTCCTAGTTCAGGGCTGATTGTGATTTTTCGCTAACAATGATCCGGAGATCGAAGGTTCAAACGTTTAAAAAAAATCATTGATCACAGAAGTTTTCGGAAATCAAATTTTTAAAGGTGGAACTTAAAAACAGTTTATTTTATTGGTTTGTAAGGGAGAGCCAAATACTTTATATAAGCTTATATTCATGATTAATATTCATTTTTTTATCAGTAAATAGTTATTATAATCATAAACTCAAGAAAGACATATTTGTAAATCTTAATTACTTTTCCAGGTCATCATAGGTAGGTGTAAATGGTATAGCTATATGTAAAATTTTAAATATATTTTAAATAAACAAAGAAATCTTTAGAAAAGGGAAAAAAAAACTGTTTAAATTTTTTTCAATTTAAAGTTTTTTTTTTTTTAACTCAAGAAATTTTCCGGAATTTTGACTTGGGCTCACAATCACCCCTGCTAGTTTAAAAAGACTCAATTTGAATCATGCCTCTACATGCTAGCTACAATTTATTTTTAACGTTTCAATTATTGCAAAATTTATAAAATTTAATTTTTTATAAGTAACTTAACACCAGACTATTTAAAAAAAAATCACAAGAACCCTGCATCAAATTAATATTACAAAAAGCGGATAATTTAAATAGATGACTCGAAATCTGTGACCTAAACTACAAAGCAAGGTAATGAAAAATTTCAGTTGTCAGATATGTCTTCTAGTTAATTTTTTACATAAGCAGGGTGTTACATTAGCGATACTTGTAATATATATATTTTAATTCCTGTCAAAAAATGAAGTCTAGTGAAATGATATCAGAGATCTCTAATTTAAATAAAAACAAAATGCAATCAAAATCCGACTGTGGCCTTAAAAACAAACACCAAAACAAGTTTTGTTGTATGAGGAACCAGATTGAAAGGTGACTATTAGAAGGTTTTTACACTTGACTCCTTTAATATTGATTTGCATGGTGCATAGCATTTCTGTGGGTTCTTATTTTCGTTTTTTAAAAGCCCTTAAAGATGCTTTTTTTTTTATGGGGTGTTCTTAAAAACTGCTTAATTTTCCCTTTTTGAAATTGAGAATTTTTTATTTTTTTTTACCATATTGATTTTCGCCACGTATTAAGCAAAAGCATGGTTTTCACTTTGCTCAATTCAACATTTTCACAATTCATTCAAACACAAAGCATTTCGGCGTACCATCGGTCCGCAGCGTATGAAAGCGCCCCTTATCTTCCATGTTTGACGAAATACTTGTGGGTGCGCATACTGAGCTGGGTTGGGTGAGATTCTTGCACTCTCATGTGCAACTCTGCTACATTTCGCACAATATTCTGAAATTCTGACTTCAATCTTTTTATGGTGGCTAATATAATCAAGAAAATTTTTCTTTGTCAGAAACTAGTTATTTTATCATTATTACGTAAATTCTTTGAAAATTATTCTGCATTTTGTTATTGTATATAGTGCTTAAAAAGTACCTAAAAGGTGCTTACTTTTTGATGAAAGATTTGGCTATGCACACTGGATTTGTGATTCTCTACTTGTATATTGTTACTCTCAGCAGAAAATGTACTTTTTTCTTTATTGACATGGAATGATTTTATGCTACAGTTATTATAGACTGCAGTTTCATCCAGTGCCCTTGTTTATGGTTTAACAATAATCTAGATTCCCATTTTTTGTTAGGTTCTTATTGCACCATCCACATTCATGAATGAAATGTTTAGGATGGTTAAGATGATGAAAAACACTGACCTAATCTGGATATAAAAGAAATGAGTGAAGAAATAAATCAAACCACGTTGTTAAATCTATTAACATTTAATAATTATACACTTACAGTGCTGTAAAGGAACAACAATGTACATTTTATAAATAAATGTAAACTAGTTAACAATGTAAAACGCACTTTGAAAGATAAGAACAATTCAGTGAATTAAACAAAATTTATATATAATTTAAATGAACATCTCAATATTAAGGAAAATATATACATAACAATGAAGTCATTCATATTACTTCAACACTATTATTGATTAAAAAAGACACTTTAATCTACAGAGAAAACACTTAAAGAATTTTTTAAAAAAAGTGCTCGAGTGCTTATGAAGATGACTGCATCATAAAAAAATCCATTGCGAATTCCTCTTTTGTTTTGTTAATTTTTCGTTTAACTTAACAAAAAAAGGCTTTTTGATTTATAGACAAGCGAACTTTTCTGAAATTGAAAAAATAAGCATTGAAGCAGAATTTTTATGCTGAAATTCTAACCATCACAATTTCTGCCGTCGATTGAAATCTAAACATTCTAAAAATATTTTGTTACAAATCTAGTTTCAATTTTTTTTTCTTCTAAAACATTCCCATTTTGTATTTTCATTCTGATATATATTTTTATAATTATGTACAAAATATAATCTAATAGAGTATATTGTCATTAGAGTTGGGCAGAAATGTAATTGATTTATAAGCAATCGTAGTTACCGATCACTATTTTAATAGTGATAATTCGCAATCATATTTTAAGATTACAATTATAATCAAATCGCAACTATTAATGAAGACTTAAAAGTAATGAGTATATCCAATCTTTATCACAATCATGCAATCAATTACATTGCGCCCAATTCTAATTGTCATGATGCACCAGCAAACATTCAAAGTAATGATGGTTGTTTAAATCTATTTTTCTCTTGATTGTGTGTGTGTTTACTATTTTTTGTATATACTTCTTTATGGACGGTACACTGAAAGAAAAAGAACACCCTATTGACCTGTCGCACACTGTAGTGTAAAATAAAAGTACACTTAGGCCTCTGAAGCTCAAACAACCACAGACTGTCAAAAAACACTGTAAAAACATCCAATAATACACATCTGAGGCTTTCAATAAAATGACTAATTTTTTTAATCTAATTATTTATACAACTAGGTGAAACGCTCATATAGATAGAAAAGAAATACCAGAGAATATTTAGAAGTACTGTTCGAGTGAAAATTAAATTTGCCTATCAATAATGCAAAGGACAAATATTAATTTTAAAATGGCCATTACTCACTTTGAAATCCATTTTATGACATAAATATTAAAAAGATTTTAGAGAACAAATAGTACATGCGATTTAAAATAGTTTTAAAGCTCATAGCATTTGGAAATTAAATTCCTTATATGCACTGATAATTAAGAGTTGTTTTGTTAAAATTATCCCTTGTTAGAATTATCTGAAATTTAATATTAATTACAATGACCAGGGCTATAGGAAAACAGCAGGGATTCCTAATATGCACTGATAATTAGAATTATTTTGGTAGAATTATCTTGAATTTTATATTAATTGCAATGACCAGGGCTATAGGAAAACAGAGCAGGAATGTGTCCAAATAAAAGAGATTCCATACCTAATGCAGTTTGCCAACCACACGTTTCAAGCTACATCCCAAATTCAAGAAGGCACAACATTATTCATTTGCACACTATCTGTGGTTCTTACATTGAGTAAACATCTAACATAAAATGATCAAACATCAATGGCTAAGATAATTGATTGTTACAATACACCTTTTCAAAACCTCACTCTAAAAAAATGGCAATTCCATTGATTCTTTGGCCAACAACTAGATTTCATGGCTTATATTTTGCATTAACTTAAGAAGTGCACTCGATCTAGTAGCAAGTGCAAACGATCTTGCCTCACCAGCACCAACATTGGAAGACTGTAAGAACTGCAATTTAAAATGCTGAAATATTTTTTCTTCCAACCATTTTCAATTTTTTTTTTTACAATACCTGCAGATGTGAGAAAAGTAAGTGCATATTATTCTAAAAGATTTTTTTTAGAAAAAAAATCTGCTCAAGCAGTTAAACCTTGCAATTGGGTATTTATGGAAACTATTTATAAACCATGACATGATGAGCTATTCTATTACTTTTTTTCTTTAAATAGGTTAAGAAACAAAAAGAATGTTGAATACACAAATACGAGATATTCTAAGATATATTCTGCCATTGAATGTGACCTTTCAGTATTTTAAAATAATTCCATCGCAATACAACAAAAACAGCAATCCACTAAATATCCTTTTTGTTGTTAAACTATGATATATAGACAATTTTATGTCTTCCCCATGGAACTAAGCAAAGGGATTAATTAGGCGGCTACAGAGAGTTGACTGACGAATGGAATGACTCCTCCAGGTCCAGCCAGAGAGGAACTCTTCATCAGATCAGCATCTATTTGGCGGGCGGCCTGCCGCCCTTCGGATATGGCATGTACAACCAACGATTGACCCCGTCTACAGTCTGCAAAAGTAATAATTTGGAGGTTAGGATTTTCCAATAACGCATGTCACAAATATTTAAACCTTAAAAACTAAAAATTTTTCAAAATTTATTTTACATATTAGCAAACTTCTAAATTTAGTGATTTTTTTTTAAAGGGAATTTTCTATTTAACAAACTTTTCTTTAAGATGAGCTTTCCCTATTTACCAAAACATTTCGGAACATTTCAAACTTGTTAACGCATTTTATGGAGGAAAAGATCTTTAATTGATTTTGGCAGCCACTTAACTCGCTAGAAAAGAAAAAGGGGTCACGATTTTTAACTATATTTTTTATTATGATAATCATTTACAAAATGCAATGAAGGAAATAATTTATTCCCCCTATCAATTAAATTATTGTTCTCCCCTATCAAATTGACTACTAAATATGGAAGACTTAAATTAAAGTCAGTGACACAACAGCTATTGGAAACCAAGGTCTACTCTGCCCATCTCATTTTTCTCTGGGGTGCAGAACCAGGTGATCCGGTTGAGTGGTCAGCCAAATGTGCTCGGTACTCATTTTATTGAACCATTGAATCGAACCCAGGACTTGTGGCATGAGAGTGATAAGCACTTCCACTTAGCCATCGGGTGATATACCTAGCAACAAATTTACCTTGGGCTCAAAATTGGCTCACAACATGGCTCCTATGGTCCATGCACTGTGGGACCAATATTGGGATGTCTAGACTTTTTAATATTGGTCCTAGAATGGCCTATATAAGGCCTGCATTGGCTAAATGGATATAAAATATTGGGTGAATCAGACAATTCTATATAAGACCAATATTAGTTGTAGAGTGGCTGTAAAATATTCGGTGTATCGGAAAGTTCTATATAGGGTCAATATCTGAAAAATAACAGCCCTTACTGAGCCAAGATTCATGAATATTGATGAATCTTGCCCCCCCCCCCTCCGAGTTGTTTTGCTGTTAACCCCTTCCTTCTTACTCCCATGAAAATGACGGGGTGAGGTTTCGCCCTCCATTTCTCGCTTCCGTGGAATTTCCAGGCTGGAGTGTTCAGTAGTAACGCGCCAATAAGAATAAAACTAATTCATTTCTTTTGCCCGGAAAACATTTTATTTCTCATTTTACACACCAGATGGCAGTTCCAGGATATTCTTAAGGTAATTGTAGATAATTTATTTTAAACTAGATGTCAGCACTAATCAAATACGTGTATTTGCCAAGATACTTTTATTACCGTTTTCTGGAAAATTAACCAATCGTTAAGGGGTTAAAGATGGTATTCACCAGCAATTGTTTCATTCAAAGAAACTTACCACCAGCTGCATAAACTTTTGGTATTGAAGTGCGATAGTTTCCTTTTGGTGTTGCTACATTTTTTCTTGGGTCTTGCTCTACACCAAAATCATCCAATAAGTATTGCTCTGGTCCCAAGAATCCCATGGCAAGCATAACTAGATCAGCCTGAGTAAGAAAATAAACAATTTATATTGAAAAACTATGTATTTAAAGGATTATCAACAAGACAATTAAATTTTACAGTACATAAATATCAAGCTAACTATTGAATATGTAGGTGCATTAATGGTTATCATGCTGATGTTGGCTTTATTCAGCACTCTTAACAAAAGGGTTAAAAATGAAGGAGTTATTTTTAATGTAAAGAAAAAAATTGACTAACATTTTGAATTTAAAGGGGTGAAATATTTAACAAGAAATATTGAATATAAGGATCATGCAAACCTTGAAGACTTTCTCTGATCCGGGCACTTTTTCCATCTTCCAGTTTCCAGAGGAGTCTTTCTTCCATTCTACCTGAACAGTGTTTATTCCAGAAACATTACCCTTTCCATCATCCAAGAATTTCTAAAACAATTTAACTTCGTTAATAACATTGTTGCAAAAATTGCCATCTCAAGCAGTTTAAAGAATATATATTTAATAGAATCAATGAATAAGGAGAGAAAATTTTATGTATTCTAAACCAAACAAATGGGCCTGTATAGTTTGTATATGGTTAGAAATTCCCCCCGCCACTAAGTCTAAGGCCATCTGTTGCTATGAAACTAGATGGTAGATCTTCTTGCTAAAAAAGGAACTGGTATTTCACAAAGCTCCCAGAGAGAAATTCCTTATTCTTCCATAAATAGAATAATTAAGAGTTATGAAAATAATTTAAATGAACAAATTGGTGACAAAGTCTGGAGTAAGACTCTGAATAAGATCCCTGATCACCCGAGATGCCATGCGGTAGCTGTCTTTAAGTTGGAAATCGGACACGACTGCCTTGCTGATCACCTCCATGGACTTTATATCTTTCTTGATCAAAATCGTGTTTTGTGGGGGGAGGACACCCCAATGAATGCTGAGCATCTGGGGGTCCGCCCCGCAGTTTCTGGCAACATCTATAACAGATACAGGAATGCTAGGGAACACTTGCAGGCACTGCTGACTGATTTTCTGTTTATATTTCTATTGTTGATATTCTATTTAATGTTTCTTTGTTCTAATTGTTTTTGCATTTCAAATGCTTTAATGTTTTCAAATTTTTGTTCAATTTGTTGTTATTTCTTATGGATCTGTGAATAGACAGAAGAAAAAAAAGATTCCTTTTCTTTCTCCGATCCGAGCCAAAACCTGCCCTAAACAGTGACCCCTACTTTAAATAGTTATACTTCCTTACCATGAAGACGAATGACAAGATACTTCACAGCTTAATATTTTTAGTTATGGATAAGACAAATCATTTACATGCTTTAAAAAATGATTAAAATGCATATTTTTTTATTAATTTTGGGAATTAAAAAAATTCTTAAAATGTAGAAAAAGTGGTACCAGGCTTGAAGAGATAGAAAATAATGTTTTGGAACATAAATGACTGTTCGTACATATTGAAGTGTCCACTTCATGGAGAAGGTACATAATGTTTAATTCATAGAAGATTCACAGGGAAATTAAAAAAATTTGAGTAAGAAGTAGTGTCCGTAATGTGAGATTTCAATGTAGTTTGTTTTTTTACACTTCTTACAAGTTTTTAATCTACAAAACTCTTGTCCGGTCAGTCTTGACATATACACTTCTGAAGCTTAGACGATGAAACACACTTACACTTCAAGGAAAATTGTATCGCAATATATGAGAGAAAGATTTTGAGGAGTATACTTGGTGGTGTAAATGAAAACAATAACTGGAGAAGGAGATATAACTTTGAACTGTGCAAGATTTATAAACAGCCTGATATTATTAAATACATTAAAAATAAATAGAATGAATTGGATGGCCCACATGATTCGAATGAACGATGATAATACAATTAAAAATATGCTGCTTTTTAAACCCACTGGAACAAGAAAGCGGGGAAGGCTGCAGCTGAGATGGGCTGACTCAGTGGAGTCTGATTTTCTTGCAATTAATGAAAAGAATTGGAAAATCTGAAGTTGCCGTGGAGAAATCTTCAGAGAAAGGCATTGGCTCACATTGGGCTGTCTGGCCAACAATGATTATGATGTTTTTTTACAAGAATTCTAAAAATATAGACAAAGGGTTATTTATGAATAATCAAAAAGATTTACCTCACTCAAGATAAGATAATTTCTGGGATCTTTACCAAACTTTTGCTGTACTTCTTGATGGCCATAGTCCACTCTAAAAACCTTTGGCCACTGTGGCCAAGGGTTATCATCAGCTCTGCCTTCTGGGGGTTCTGGTAGGATTTCAAATGATACTATACTCTTGGCACCCTTTCAATAAGAAAAGACAATATGAAGAAAGAGACTATGCATCTACAACTGTAAATATTGCAAAGGTATTTGTGCTACTTTTACTATTATAAAATATACATATATCGCACAATGAAGATTACACAAAAATCTTTTATATCAAAATCTTTCAGCAGCTTGTCTGGGAAAAAAATTTTCTTAGTTATTCACACTTTATTAGGGTTTTTTCTAATTGTTTCTATAATAATTCTGTTTGCCAATTTAGAAGTTTCTTTCGAAATAAAGACATCCCAAATTACCGTTGATCTGAAATTATTCTGGAAAATTTGCCAAGAGCAGATTCCTTTAAATTCTTATTGCGCTTTAAGTTATTTTTCAATGATTCATAACTGCAAACAAAATATATAATTTCCTCATTTGTTAGCACATAATGTAATAATTTTGGTTTTCTGAAAACCATCTTAACATCACTTCTAGTCTTAAAACTCAAATTTTATGATTAATGGCAAAATTAAAACAGAAATAAAATGATTTCTAATCTTCCAACTATTAAATTATTATGGATGGAATGCTTACTCAGGAATAAAGAATTATGGTTGGAATGCTTACTTGTCTGAGTGATGTAGCAATACAGTCGCAGCCAGTGTCTCCACCACCAATGATAACAACATCCTTATCTTTTGCATGAAGCTGATTGTAATCAATCTTGTTTCCAAGTTGATGTTTCTGCCATGTCTCCAAAAACTTCATCGCAAAATGAATTCCCTTCAGCTCACGCCCTGAAAGAAATTAATTTATCAGTTGGAACTTATTAAAATTAAAAATGCATCAATTTTTCAGAAAACAACTTAATACTGAGTAAAAATATTACGCTTAAAATTATTAAATTTAATGAATAAAAAGGGAGATGGAAAGTTTGAGGTGATGAAGCTTTCAGATTCCTTACTGTCGCGGGCTTGAGAAGGCCAGTAGCGAAGACAAAGGCGTGTCACCAACGATAAAATTAACAAGAGAAATAAAATTTGACAACGTTTCATTGGTCCCCGTAATCAGCGAAAACTAGAAAGATTTTTCGGTTTGACTTCAGAGGGGCAGAAAATGAAGTCTGAAATTGAGAATTGCTTGCAAAATGCAGAAGAGTTGCACATTGAGTAGGCAATCCAGTTTCCCACTAAATTCAGCTCACCTGCAAGTGTTTCATTGTTGAACATTTTAATTACTGGTGTTTCCATACCCTATGCAGGAAATAAATTGGGGTTGAATTAATTGTGAAAACGTTGAATACAACAATGTCTTTTTGTATAATTCGGGGCTTTTAACAGCTTTTAAAAATCGAAAATAAGCATTTTTAAACACTTTTTAAAAACACTACACACCCTGTGAAAATCAATAGTCAAATCCAAAAATCGACATTTATAAAATAAGGTTTAGAGACGGAATACTGACCAGGAATGGGTAAGTCTCTTGGCCAAGTTGCCCCCACGCTCAACAACACAGCATCATTGTCTTGAATGAGATCTTTGGCAGACATATCCTTTCCAATATTCACATTAGTGTGAAAAACAATGCCTTCTTCAGTCAAAAGATCAACACGCCTCTTAACCACCTAGAAAATAAATATTTTATGATACAATGTTACAGAAACAGTTTTGAAATGCTTTAAGGTATGGTGCATTCAGTTGATATTAAATAATTTCATATACAGGATATGTATTATAATGTGTAATTTTACAATCTTTGTAGAATGCTAGACACATAAGATGTCTCAACGAAAAATACCACTATATGCATTTCATAAAATAAATTTAAATGAAAACCAGTCACAAGTCGGTTTGAGTAATAAAGGAATTGGTATTAAAATACCATATTTTATATCCCATGATTCACACCCCAAAGTTTAAGAAGAGATGGGATACCAAAGGGTAATTGATTATCTGACTTAACCTAGATGAATAGAAATTCTGTTTTAAGTTTTCCCATTTTCTAGTATGTTATTTTACACATTGATAGATTTGGTTAAATTTTAATGAAGGAAAAAATTTAAGCCTTTGAATTATAATAAGCAGTTCCTTAAATGACAAACAATGGATAAAGTGGGACTTGCCTCCTTGCTGAGTTTCATAGTTGGAATACCATATTGTAATAGTCCACCTACTCTATCATTCCTTTCATACACATTCACTGTATGGCCAGCCTACAAATAGAAAAAAGAATCAAAATATAGTGAAACTAGGTAAATACAGAAACCCTTTTTGTATTTTTGTAACTGCAGTAAAAAAAAAAGCAAACCTCAAATCATTATTTAGACCTTGATTAACCTTTTCAATTCTAGTACATATTCTATAACTTCGAAAAAGAAAAAACATTACGTAACAAATAATAAAATTTGAACTTAACTAGAAAACTACTATAAGAAAATCCTTGTTTTATTATAAGTTCAGCATGATTACTATTAAAAAAATACTTAGTGAAATTTTAGGAGACAAATCAAAATATTAAAGAACAATCCGAATTGACAATTAAACCAGATTCCAAACAAGTAACATTAAAGAAAAGAAAAAAAATTTAAAGTAAATTCCTACTTAGGTCAACAAAAGTTTTTTTATTGTAAAGTTTTTTTGTTGTTGTTTTTTTATTGTTTTTTTATTGACGATTGAAGATTTGAACAAGATGAAAGGAGAGTGTGAACTTGTATTGAACTTGTGTTGGAAAAGTAGGAATTGAAAAAAAGTACTAAGTTGATAGTGGTTAACTAAAGTATTGAATACAAGTAAATAAATTTACGTCTTTCAAACACTTAAAGGCTACTTTATCAACAGAACACTAGAGTTATTGACAAAATTGAAAAGATCACTCAAATAATTTATATAAAAAAAAAAGCAATGTCTGTAATTGTGTGGCGAACTTTAAAAACAAAGACCATAGGCATTAAAGGGTTAACACGTGACAATGGGTATACCTTGTTAAGCTGTGCGGCCGCTGCCAGCCCAGAAGGCCCACCTCCGATGATGGCAATCTTCTTGCCAGTTCTGATAGCAGGAATCTGGGGTATCATCCATCCTTTATCGTAAGCGTTGTCGATGATTGCACATTCAATATGTTTGATGTTCACTGGAGGTTCATTAATTCCCAAAACACATGCACCCTACAGAAAAATAAAAATTAAAAGTCTGGAGAAACATAATGTTGTGATACCTAGGATTTCATTTATTTTATTATGTTTGACAAATGTAGCTTCAGAAGTAATGTTTTATCTAACTTTTGAAGACATCAGGATTTATATCATTCACATTATAATAATGATTTAACAGGGTGAGTAGCCAGATTTTTCAACAAAAATTAAGCACCTTTTAAGTACTTTTTAAGCACTCAAATATTTTCAATCACTTTCCCCCCATAAAAATCAAAATTAGGATCTGTGCAGTAATATATTTTTTTAATAGTTTAAAGTTCTTAATTTATAAACATAAAATTCAAAAACTCTACATAATCATGATAAAATAACTAGTTTCCGATAAATATTACAGAGAAAATTGTGAAAATCATGCATTTTTTGCAATTTAGAATGACATTCAATATGGAAAAGAATAAATCTCGTTAAATGATTGAAAATTAAGCACTTTTTACAAACACCGAATAAAAAAAAAGCACTTTAAAGGGCTTTTAAAAACTTAAATCAAAAATAAGAACTTTTTAAAAATGCTATGCACCCTGTTTAAGATAAAATCTTGATAAATAACAAATACAGTCGAACCTCATTAATGTGAAATTATTCAACATGAAATATCCCCTTACATGAAATATGTTTGGTCCTGTAAGTCAACAATCAATTATTGTATCTTACATGTTTAACATGAAATTTTCAAGTTGATTATCACTTAACACGAAAGGAAACTGGACAACAGCTCAGACAGTAAGCATGTGAATAAAATTCCAATCATACATTTTGAGGAATGCTATTTTCATTTTCTTCTTTTGTAAGAATGTAGCATATGGGCAAATAAAATAGTTAAAACAAAATAGTTTAATAAAGTAGTTAAAACTTTTCAGCTCATTTTAATTTGCTTGGTTCATATTAGTATTGTTTGCATACTTTGATGTAGTACATATCATGTATTAATAATACATAAATTTTTTTGTGATGTATCAGATAAAACAAAATTCGGTTAATGTGAAATAACCATGATAGTCCCACAGATTTGGTGTTAACGAGATTCAACTATATTTTGTTTAACAGATAGATACAATAATTAAAATAAATGTGGCTTAAAAGCTAGAGGTAGCTACACTGAACCAAAAATCAAGGTAAAAACACACAGGAGCAGTTTAAGTCTTTTTATTTCATTTTAATTTAGTTATCACCAGGGGTTTTTTATTTTTAAAATTTTTTACATAAATATCTTGTAATAAACTGCTGAAACAAGATCAGAAACTTATTTTGTAATTTCTGTAAAGAACATGACAGATAATTGTGTAAACTTGTTACCCAGGTGAAGTTGAGTGCAAGGTATAATAAAATTGAACATAATTTGAAGAAAAAATATCTTTCAAACATTTTAGAGTGTATCAAGTAGTAGGTGCAGGGCCGGATTAACCTATAGGCACACTAGGCACGTGCCTAGGGCCTACAAAATTCAGGGGCCTACGAAAAACTTGGGAGAAAAAATTTGTTGACAAAAATAATTTAGCTTTAAAAACAACAAGTGTATTTTGCACAAAATTATGAAGATACAAATAAAAATATAATATTTTTCGGTAATAAATTATTTTGCAGAATCTTATGATCTAATATATTACTTTTTTGCGATTTTTGGATTCAACGAAATCTTGTATTATGCTGTCGAATTCCAAACTACGCAAAATGTCGTATTCAATAGACATAAGTGCGAGCGATGCCAAACGATCTTGATTCATTGTTGAACGCAAATAATTTTTTATCAATTTTAATCTGGAGAAAGATCTTTCTCCTTCTGCATTTGATCCAAGAATCGACAAATATATTCTTAATGCAATGTGAACGTTAGGAAAAGTATTCACAAGTTTATCTTTAATTTGAGCCTTCAACATTTCTTGTGCAGATTTATGTTCATATAAATTTGAAAATAGTAAAAATTCATCTACAAAGTTTTTCTCTAAATCGGATGAGTAAATTTTCACCAAATTTTGCGCTTTTAGTTTAATCTCAGATTCTGACAAATTTTTGTGTAATTTCCTTGTAATTCGGGTTCGATAAAACATCGATTAATGACACTTTTTGGTCGATCCAGAAAACTGGGAAATTCAGACATCCGGGATAGCGATGGTCCCGAGCATCCCAGATAATTGGTTCTCTACTGTATAAATATTTCTTGTAATTAATCTCACTATCAATTTCACTGTTTTCTTTGCTGGTTTGTTGTTGTATTGTTGACGTGAAGTGTTTACATAGTTATCGATCGAACTAATCATAATGGTATTATCGATATCAACTGCAATATCGGCAGTATGTCGGTATTGCAGATAAAGTTCAATACTCAAATTCGTAAATTAAAATCCATATTAATAAAAATGTAAAAAAAAAATATGCAAGAAAATTTTAGCATATATTTTGAAAAGAGGGGAGGAGTGGGGAAAGGTGGGGAGGGCCCAAAAACGGCTATGTATAGGGCCAACGAAAGGTATAATCCGGCTCTGTGCCTAGGACCTACGAAAGGTATAATCCGGCTCTGAGTAGGTGAGATTTGAGACATAGGGTATCATACTGAGAGAGTACTGAATTGAAATATGTTGAAGACACTGATCTAAACTATATTTCAATGACTTATTTCTCTGAAAATTAACATTTAGGTTTTCAATGCTGGCCTTTTCATTTCAGAATAAAAACAGACATTAATGATCATAGAAGCCTCTATTGTTAAATGAAAAGATTACCGGTGTAAGTAATTAAAAAAAAAAAAAAAAGACAAATTTTTGTTTGTTAAGGAAAAACATTTAAGTCTTGGTGTGAGTCATAACAGGTTAAACAAATAGTCAAGTAGAGTTTAAGAACAAGTGGTCAGAAAACGGAGCCAGACTTAGCCTAATTGGGGCCCGTGCAAAAACATCTTTGGTGGCCCCTTTTGCTTCATTACTTCAGTATTGAAGAATTGAACATTATGGAAGTATTTACATTTTTCACATCATTATACATGTATAATAACAAAAAAAATAACTAAAAACTAAAATAGCAAAGTCCCCCCTCCCCTCCAATGGTCAGACGAAATATCGTTCTGTCCATTTTATTGATTTTCTGACGATTCTATGACCATCATGCCGAATGCAGATTTTCGATCGCTAACTTTATCATCTAGCAGCGAAAAATTCACATCCTTGCTGACATTAGGACGGAATTCAGCTCAATTTTCGCAATTCTGTGGCTCACTTAAGCCAATCAGAAGTCTGTATTTTTGTAAGCATTTTGCGATAAGTAAAAATGCAGGCTTTTAATTAGTTTACTTTGTCCATCGTAATTGTGAAACTTCGGCTGAGTTCTGCACCAGAAAGCCGCGGATTTACGAAACAGATTTTTTTTTATGTTCATACGATTGATTAATGAAGAAGCTAACATAAAACTGACAGATTTCACACTGTACTGATATTTTGTTCAAAAAAACTTCATTAAAGAAGGAAACCTAAAATAAACTTTCTATTCGATTTGGGGGGCCCTCTCTAATGTGGGGGCAAAGGCTCTGACAGAAAAATAAGTTTTTTCTATTTATATCAGACAATTTTATGATGATAAACTGTTAGATCTTACTTCACAAGGTGCTGGGCAAACACGACCAGTAAATTCTGGAAAGTTGTTGGTCTGCAACAGCTGATTCAACGCTTCTCTCCAATCATCCTGAAAAGAATGCAGACTTCATCTTTAGTTTAAATCATAAAATTAAATAGTTTGATTACTAGTTAGAAAATTTTGATCTTAAAATTTTCTTATTCATTGCAATTATAGGAAAAAGTCTTCTCTGTTAATGGGATATATAGTTTTTTTTGAAGTAAGAAATTTTAATTAGGTCATGTTTAAAATTACTCATTAAACATGTCGAAAAAATCTCCAATATATCAGAGATATCAAAACAAGTCTGTTACGTATCCAAATATCTGACAAGTATTCAGACTTTTTTTCAGATATCTAAATAAGTCTGAATTTTGAGGTCTCTGAATTATCCAGACATATCTCAGTTCTAGATATGAATAATTCTCAGGTATTTGCTATTCATATGTTTAAGATATGGATATTTTGTATGTTTAAAATAGAATATCAACTTTATACATTATTTGTTGGGAGTTTACAATATCCCAAACTAAGCAAACTAAAATTTGAATTTGTTATCTATTCTAATGCATTAGTTTTCATTTTAAATGCTCAATATCACAGAAAATTTTTATCTTTGAGAATATGAATAATTTTAATGATTTATATTATTTTAACCCTTCACTCAACTTTTTTTTTATATAAGTGAATAATAATTATTATTTTTATACGGAAGATTAATCAAAGAATTCTGGGTGGAAAAAAAAAAATCAGTCGATTTTTTTTTTTTTTTTTTGGAAAGAGAAAAAATTTGTCACTCTGCATATCTGCAAAACTACATGCACAATATTNGTCGATTTTTTTTTTTTTTTTTGAGAAAGAGAAAAAATTTGTCACTCTGCATATCTGCAAAACTACATGCACAATATTAACTGATATTCAAGGCAAATATAAACTATAGTATAATAAACCTAAAACTTTGCAATAATAAATGAAAGATCAAAAACCACATAAAAATTAAAATATAAGAAATTAAATGACAAACTTCAATCATAAACACCAAACTTAAAAATCTTAATGAAGTTAAACGTGGAAAAACAACAAGTCTTTCAATGTTAAAATTAGCACAGACAGGTGGACAAATTTTTTCCCTTACTAAGGTAAGTGCAAAGCAGTTTTCAATGTTAAATTATAGAGGACAGCAGGGAAAATCAAATTCCATCTTAGTTTTGCAAATATGCAAAAATTTCAACTAATGGGGAAAAAACAGAGACCCACCATGAATAAAGAATAACCTGGAAATTCTTTGTCTCCAGGACACTTAACTTTTAAAGCAAAATCACTGCACATAATAGATAAACTGCCCAAACTTCTAAAATCACCACAAATAAAATAGAAAATATCTTGTACACTTGAAGTGTTTGTTTTAAGTTTCAGCATTTGATACCATTAAATTACCATATCCTATTAAAAGAATTTAATTACATAAATGACTCAGTGAATCGTACAAATAATATATTGACTAAAACTATTATATGTAGATTAATTCAAAATAATAAACAGTATATATAATTGAAGACTTAAGAAAACTTACCTTGTAGACTAAATCATTCCATTTTGGAATAATATTGCCAAGTGGGCAGCCATGACTAGATTGACAAAACGGAACTCCGCATTCCATGCATCTAAAAACAGAAACACTTATCTACAACTTTGCACATTTTTACAAAAAATATCAGCGATACAATGATTTTTGCAGACTAAACAATCAATCATTCAATAGAACGCCAAATAGTTATTTCATTAACCATAAGATTTTTGGTTAAAAGTTTTCAATACTTTAAGAAAAAGAGACAATTTAAAGTACTGTTAAGCCTAATACTTTTTTTTATTCAAAACCATGATTAAATTAATTTTATAAACTTAAGTAAATTGTAGATATTTCTGCCTATATAATATTGTCAAGTAGAATAAAACCTACTTAAGAAACAAATTTTAAATATTCTTTTAATTGGTTTTGATCTAATGATTAGTTTTTTGTGTGCTAATAAGTTAAAATAGCATGCTTAAAATATTTCAGGGGTACAAAATATTCTCAAAACCTAATAATTCCCAATAAATTTTTTTTAGGTTTGAAATGTCTCAAAATTTATAGCGCTTTTTTAGTTACAATAACTTTTTTAAAATATCTTTGGAAAGTAAGATTTGTATTTGGCAAAAAAAAAACTTTAATAAAGAAAAGAAAGTCCTTTGATTTTAAACGATTCTTGAATTAACTCATAAACATGTAATAAAGCACATGTACAAGATATATGTACTTTGTTCTTTAAAAAACACATTTTTTAGGTCAATTAAAAGGTTCGGATTTTTGTTTTACCCTCAAAATATCAAAGGCTTGAAAAATATCAAAAATTTGACAGTTAACAATATATTATCAAGATTTAGAGCAGTGAAAAATTTGGTTCTTCTTAATGTTAGTATTTTTTGCATTTTTCAGCATATATTGCAGAAATTATTCAAGCTAACTATTATTAAAGCTAATTGCACAAATCAAAATTTTTCTGCACCAAGTTGTAAAACCTGTTTTCACATAAAATTTCATAAATATTTTTTGTAAAAAAAATTGTGTTAATTTAATGATAAAAAATTGAATTTAGATCTTTTTAAATAATACAACTTTTAATGGTAAAATTCAAAATTTGGGAGTTTCTGTAAGTTTTTTCTAAGAAACTATATTTTTTATACGTAAGTAAATTTTTTATGAATTTTTGTATGCTTTGAAAATTTATTTTAAAGTTAAAATAAAAATTAAGAAATTTTTAAAGAGATTTCATTAAATCTTCTTTATTTAAAGTTAGAAATGCATTTATCAAACATGATTAGCAAATAAAAAAATTATCTTTATCGGAACATTACTTAAAAGAGAAATAAGGTTTTGCACTCAAATATGAAAAGGAAAGAACACTTATATCGGGGAAAGCTGATTCTAATAAATTAATGAAAACTATTTTATAGCAAATAGAAATCATTTTTCAATGGCACAGCCCAGTTTAACTGAGTAAAAATTCTAGAGGAGAACAGATTTTTTAAGTTGTTGAAAACTTAGTAATACATCAAATTGTCATGTTTGAGAAAAATTTACATAAAACATTCTTCCCCTTGATCCTTAAACAAAGATAAAACTTTTTAAATAAGTACTTTTAATCTTACTATTTTTACAATGGATAATTCTTAACTCTTTAGGACCCTAAAAACAAGAAAAATGATAATCCAGACAAAATTATTGGGTAATTAAATTAAGTAAAATAACTATAAAATTTTTAAAAAAATATTAAGATAAGAATGTAGTATTTTTTTGCAAATCCTGTTTAAATCAAATTGTGTTACACTTAAAACATTAACAAATGGCTTACCTGGATGCTTGCACTTTTACAGTCTTTCTGACACTCTTAAAATCATACACTTCATCCCAATCTTTTTGGCGTTCCTTGGGATCACGATAGGGTCTGGTGTTGCGTGGGTACTTCATGAAACCCCTGCAAAATATAAATGCATCTTTTACAATTCTAACATTTAATTATAAATATGTTTTTTTTTAATTCAATACAATGAAATGAATTTCAATTTCTAACAACACAAAAACAAATTGATGCGGTTAAATAGCGCAAGTATTAAGTGCCCACTCAAATGACTAGAACCACTATGAAATAATTATCAGTACTAGTTAAAAGATTATCATAAATTGAGCATAAAGGAATGACAGGAGGTAGATTTAGTTTTTAAATCTGTTTTGTCCCTTAAGTAGCATACTTCATCGTAATTAAGAATAAAAAATTTAATATAATGGCTGATTTATGAATAAGCTAATGAACATAGTCGTAATATTATATATTGAATTTGCTAAATTTATTTCATAACTCATTTGTGCATTCATTCTGTTAAATTCATTTCTGCACAAGTTACCCCAAACCAGGGTTAAATATCAAACAGAATACTCTTTAAGTGCTCGCCATTTTTTAAAAAACAAAAATAGGAAACAAAATTCCCTTCATTTTCCCAGTTTGTAAAGAAAAAATCAAAATTATCTGTTATTTTAGGTGGTTTTTAAATTTCCTGTATTTACCAGGTTCTCCATGTGGAGTGGCGACCCTGCAAACAGTACCATCTTTATGCTTAGGCACACCCGGGCAGTGCCCGGGAGCCCTTGAGACATTTTATAAATTGTATTAAAAATAGCTAAGGATAAACAACATAGCCATATATATTTTTTTAAATACATTCTATTTCATAAAAAGTGCATTTTTTTTCTACAAATATTGATTGATTATCATTGATTATCACCAATAATTTTTAATAGTTTATCACCACGAAAACTGAAAAAGGCAACCAAAATCTATTTCTCTACGTTCTAATGAAAATTTAAGGTGCTTTGGCATTGAAAGATGTTCTAATAACTGTTTAGTTTGACAAAATAATTTATTCCTTATAATGACAGAATCAGGTGTAGCTGGAATTTGTATAATATAATTGACTAAGTGAAGATTGTGATGAAAATAGAATGAAAATGACTTGAAGGTAAAAACTGGATCATAATTATAATAAAACTGTTTATAGTAGTATTTGTAGAGCTCTAGATACAAATTATAATTTTATCCAAAAGACTTTCTAAGTTAAGTAATAAATTTTTATATAATAAGAACAGATCAATAATACATTATATAATAATATTAATAAGGACAGGAAGATAAATCCCCCTTGAAGAAAATCCCCTAATCAAATGCCAAATTAAAAAGAGATAGACAGTTGGGAGCATGGGAAGAAATCCAAGATTGGTGATTTATTGAAAAATAACAGCCAAAAAATAAAGCCAACCCCTTATAATCAATATTAGATTGTTTTCGATTAGTAACAGTGAATTAATGAGTCTTACATTAGTATTGAAATAAAAAATGTTAAATGTTACATTGATCGATAAGTAAAGAATAAAAGATTTTATATTATCTTTGTATAAAATGCAATTAAAATTAAATAATTGAATTTAATTAAAATTTGGTTAAGAATGATTAAAAAAAAAAATAAGTTTAAGAAATTAAATGTATGTGATGCCTATTGTGGCATCACATACATTTTGAATTTCTTTTTAATTTGTTATACTTTCATGTTTATTAAACTTAATTATTTAAATCAACTTCCATGGTTTAGAAAATTATTTTATAATTTGAGGATTACAACTGATTAGCATCTCAATTTTTAAAAAAAATAAGTTTAAAAATGCTTTAAGTTTTTGAGGTAATCATAATGTTTTTAAATTTGTTAAAATTATTGAATCATCTTTTAAAAATGATTTATTTTACATGAAGTTTTTCAGTTCGTTTTTAAACATTATGGTATATTATAGGGATCTAAAACTTTTTTGTGCCTGGGGGCCCTGCATGCTATCAAGGCGGCTCCCCGCCCCCAACTTTGCATCATCTAGTGCAGCAAATTTACTTTCTTAACAATACAGATTAGAAGATTAACTAAAGAAGTAAAAGTAGTCTACATTGATTTGTTTATTTAAAAAAAAATGCAAAATGTGGATCAGTTCTAATTTAGTAAATGAATTTACCTAACTTTATCCAGCTTGTCAGGGATGACATCTTCAATATCTCTAATGGGTGCAGGGGGAGTGGGGACAGGTCCATTCGTAAGAGTAGCCTCTTCCGCTGCTTGGCGTAAGGCACGTTGGTACTCTTTAGGGAATACCTAAAATGTACAACACATTATTTACCACAAAAACCAGTCTATGGATAAAATAAACAGTTGTGTAAAATTTATCTTTGCACTACACAGCAAATAATCCAGTAGATTTTGCTTAACAGAAATGTTATGCATAATATTGCATATGCAAGGAATTTCAGAGATTCATGAATTATGAGAAATAAATATGGATTATAAGAAGAATACACAAAAACCAATCTGGTACTAATAACGACAAATTTGAATTATTTGCAAGATTTTTTTTTCTTTTTGCAATTTTTTTTCTTTTTGCAATTTTATTTCATCCCCAGTATTGAACTGCTGATTCATTTCAGTAATCAACATTCAACTCTATAGCCTTGTAGTTTTAATCTCCACTCAGAAGACAAGGAAGCTTCTGAATAAAGCATTGGGTAGTCCAAGCATCATGAAAGAGTAACAGTAAGGAATTAAACATAACTACAAATCAGTTTTTTTTTGAACTAGGAAATGAATTAAATATTTTATACATTAATGGTATGCTCTTTATACTTTTACAGCAGCAATTCAATTAAGTTATCTGACAGAATTGTTTTTGACTAGAGATTTACAGAGATGCCAACTAGCTCTGGACAGCGGATAAATATTTTGGAGTGACAGTTTTTTACTTTATGATTCATGGTTTAATAATTCTACTTATTAGGTTTTAATCCATCAATATTTCTAAATAATTCGAAAGCTTATATAATTCGCTACTTCTTATATTGTAGTCATGTTAATAATTTTAAAAAGTAAACATATTTAGCCAAATATTTGCGAATTTTAGTTTATAGTTATTTACTGTTTGTTTTTTTAAAATTATTTTGTCGTGTCCAGAGCAGTTGGATTTAACTAGTAGAAATTAATGCTTGAAAAGTTAATGAAGTTCAATTTTTTTATTTATTCTATGGTAGTGTTGTGAGATTTACCTTGACAAATAATTTAGCAGAAGTAGGCCAATTGGACAATAATCTTTGTGCGACAGCAGATCCAGTTTTCTCATAAAACTCTTTCAGTACATTTTCAACGAAATTTAGATCTTCTGACTGCTGAAGAGGTAGAAGATCAACCATCATCAAGTTGCTTCGAGACTCCAGGATACGTTTTCTACAATGAAATTATGAATTAACTTAAAAATATGAACTCATTGAAAAAAATGTAGCAATCAAAATACAGGAAAGAGCAGTTATATCCTAAGAAGGTATATCTGCAAAAGTTACGTCAAAAAAGTGGAAGTTAGAACAAAGTTGATCAAAAATTATTTTTAACTTTCATCAATACTGTAAGCATATACAGAATTTTTCATTTTAAAGCTTTCTGTAACTGCAAATTACTTAACATTTTATTTGGTACTTAAACGCATAGTTGATCTGCCCTCACGAACTTTCGACTCTACATTGATACTTCCAATAAATAGAGTGGCTATCTACAATATCATACAAAACAAATCAGTTTCTTTAACTAAAAGTAACTCAGTAGTCTATGGACAAATTTTAATAATTGAACTTTGTTATTTAAGACTAAAAGGTACAAAATTAAAAAAAATTTTGACTACTTATTCTATGAATAAATTTTAAAAATCAGAAATAAAAATTTAAAAGACTTTGATAAGCATTCCATTGTTCTATATTTGCGTTAATGCTTTGGTTATTTTCAACTAAAAAAAGAGCTAATGAAAAAACAGCAATGAATAACTGCTACAAATGCAGAATAGTATTATTCATTACAAATCACTACCAGTCAACAGTGGTATTATTCATTATCATCCGATGGCATCATTCACTATCATTCAGCATAATTCACTACCATTCAGCAGTATTATTTACTATCATTCACAGGGTGCGCAGCCAAATTTCTCAACTAAAAATAAGCACCTTTTAAGTACTTTTTAAGCTCTCAAAAATATTTTTCAGCAATATATATATTAACAAAATGCAAAATAATTTTTAAAGACTTCATATGATCATGATAAAATAACTAGTTTCTGACAAACTCTTCTCTTGATTATATTAGTCATTATAAAATGATCAAGAGATTTTCTGGTTCGATAGCAGAGGGTGGAAAATGAAGCCAGAAATGGAGAATATCTTGCAAAATTCAGCAGAGATGCATGCACATGAGAGTGCAATAATCTCACCGAACCCAGCTCATAATACGTGACGAAAATCTGCGTGGTAAAGAGAAGAAAAAAAATCTCATTTTTGAAAATGGAAAATTAAGCACTTTTTAAAAACAATGAATGAAAAAAAGCACCTTAAAGGGCTTTTAAAAATCAAAAATAAGCAACTTTAAGCACTTTTTAAATATGCTAAGCACCATGCATTCAGTTATTATTAGACATTATTATATGTCATTTTGCATAACAAAAGAGCTTTTGGAAAACAGTCTTATGAAATAGAGAAATTACTTTTATGGAAAGGAGAGAATAAATTTTACTCCACTTTCAAGTACATTTATATAAAGAAGTGCAAACACTGAAATCAAAATATTAACTTACTCATCCAGCACATAGGCAATACCTCCAGACATGCCGGCAGCAAAGTTTCGGCCAGTTGGTCCAAGAATTAGGCAATACCCTCCAGTCATGTACTCGCACCCGTGATCACCAACACCCTGCAAAAAAAAAAAAAAAAACTCTTAAAGAAATTCACATTTTTTTAGGAATGAAACAATTCATCCGGATAAAACTATTGAAAGAGTTCATGTTCGTTGCACATTCTTTTAGTGCCTGCTAGAGGCAAAATTTCATTTTGTGCTTCTATTTGTTAGGCATCCCAAGAGAGAAAGCTATGACCACACGAGTCACATTGCATATCTTATTGTGTCCTCATTATGCAAGACAAAAACTTACACTTGCTTGGTTGCTCGTAAGGAGTCAAAAACATTGGATTCAGAAAAAAAACTTCTACCTTTCATTAACATTTTTTTTGCAAAAGGTCAACTTGTCATATACTGTTGAATAATCTAGAAATTACTTTTTCTTACAGCAATACATTGTGCGCTTCTTTAATCGATGTTTTTTTTAAAAAATATGAGCATTAGTGGTGATCAGAAATGAATATTTAAGTGAAAAAAGTTTTTCAATATTTGGCCAATCAGTATAAACAATTAAGAAATTAACATCAGAAACCAGTTTTTAAATAATAGAATAAATTTTAGAATAATTTTTCAGAATAAATTTCAAAAGGTAATTTCCAAAAATGTCAAATGCATTCAAATTCCAATAGACAAATAAGCTTCTTGTTCAGTAACATTAATGTTTCTAAAAAGGGAACACTAAAATGTTACTATACTTCGTATCACCTTAAGTTGGCATTACAGGGGAAAGGAAATGTGATACTTTTGAAAAGTAGTTACTCACTAATTCGGAATTAATTACAGTTTAAATGTGAGTACAAATATAAATAAATGTTGTATATTAAGAAAAGTTTATTTTGAAACATGTATTAGAAGTTTTATCATGTTTAAATGTATATAACTTATACTTTCTCAGTAAAGCGAATGTACAAAAGTTTTCAAGTTTGGCGATGAATTAGTTTCAGAGGACACGAGCACACACAAGTTGGCGTGTTGGCTATGTTTTTGCATTGGTCAATCAGCTTGCATCACTTAATTGTTTTCTTTTGTTTCGTTTAGTTAAAAACATTTATAAGAATATTTGCTTTTTAAAAATCATAAGAAATCAGCTTTAGTATCTCAAAAAATCAATTATTACAATTGCTCAAAAAAAAATCTTGTTACTTTCTGTATTTTGTTCAAAATTTTAGTAAGATTCTTGGTAAAAAAAAATCACCACTTGACTTTCTTTAACGCCATTATTGACCACTTTCTCTCCTTTTTTGCTACCTTATGAGTAACCCAGTTTCCATGACAATGACTGCAATCCGGTCTACCTGCCTTTCTGTGTAGCGCCAACTTGAGGTGAAACGGAGTATAACATATTAGTGTTCCTAAAAAGGGATTTTTAGGAACCCAATTTAGAAGAAGCCTGAAGAGTACCTCAACGACAGCTGTAGCACCAGAATTTCTCACACAGAAACGTTCGGCAGCGATGCCTCTGAAGAAGGCTTTTCCAGATGTTGCACCATACAGACAGACATTGCCTACAATGATGTTCTCTTCTGACTTGAAATCTTGGGGGAGGTGCCGGGGTGGATAAACTATGACTGTTCCACCTGACAGACCCTGAAGAAAAAAAACACACACACTCAGAATGGAAGAAAGAGATCTTGGGTAAGAAATCAAAAAATATCTTCTAATGTACCTTTCCCACGTAATCATTTGCGTCACCTTCCAGTTCAACGCAGATTCCGGGAGCTAAAAATGCGCAAAAACTTTGGCCAGCAGAACCTTCTAATTTAATCTTAATGCTATTTTCTGGTAGGCCTTGCGATCCATATTTTCTGTAAAGAACACAAAGGATTTTGAGAGTCAGACTAAATTTTTAGCAATGTCTTCATTACAACAAATAGAATACAGTTTGAGCAAGAATTTTTAATTACTGTTATTGTATAACCCTAAACCATGACCACTGTGGCAGAATTTTTTCGAGCTACCTGCGACAAAACTATCACTATTCTGCAATAACAAACATATGTTCAATATAACTGAAATGCACAATTCAAATTTTCCATATTGTTTAAAATATATTGGGATATTTAAAATCCATGTGAAAATCAACATTAATAACTGCCGAAAATTAAATCGATTTACGAAACATGCAATTATTAAAACACTAAAGTGCTTCTAGTGATCAGGTCTAATTATTATAATATACTAATATAATACCTGATATAATAAATACTCTATATTTATATAATATATCATTAATTTATCCAATCATCGAATTTATATTATATATCGTCTAATGTAACTGATAGATACATGAACGTAAACAAGTATAAATCAGTTTCAGCCCGATAAAAACAAAGCTGTATAGTATCACCTGATAATTAAGATTTTACATAGTGCCCAGTGACTGTATATGAGCAGTTAATAAATATCTAAAACATCCTGCAAGAGTCTGAGTTGAACTCCCTAACCTTTCAAGGAAAATAAGAACAGTTAAATAAAAAGGCAAAAAAAAAAAAAGTAAGTGTGCTCACTTTGCAATGTGATAGCTAAGAGTAGCTCCAAAAGTTCTATCAACATTGGTGATGTCCATATGAATCGTAACATCTTTCTTGCGTTTTTCTAAGACATCTGCCGCCTGTTTTATTAGTAAATTGTCCTAGAAAAAAAAACATCAAATCAATGTTCTGAAGGTGTATATGCAAAGAATACAAATACAAAAAGGAAGGAAAAAAACACTAATTTATAGAAATTTTTTTAAATATAATAGTAATTTTGCTTATTATTTAAACTGCAGAACTTTTGAATAAAATTTATGTGAGCTTTATTCCAGCAATAAATTCTAGCTCCAAAAAAATAACAATTAGGGCTTTATAAAAAAATCATGCAATCACGAATTTTGGCTATTTAACTATGTAATTCTTACTATTCTATTTTCTAATAGGAAATCTTGTTTCAAGGATCCTCCAACGATGTTTGTCCCAGGCCGGAATGATAATGCATCCATCAGAATAGCAGAGTAATCTAACATCTGGGCTTTTGGATTGCTTTTGTTATTGAAAACTTTCAACAAATCTGTTCGTCCAATCAAATCTTGGAATTTCTTGATACCAAGTGAAGCCATTATTGATCTCACCTAATGTAAAAAAATAAATAAATAACTATATAAGCATAGTTATAAAAACGATTGGTAGTGTTTTAACCTTCTACGCTTTTGGGGAAAATTTCTTCCAGTGGCTAACATTTCAAAGTATAGTCATTTGTTCAGTAAAGTTATTTTTCTCACCACTAGATATTAATGATACAACCCACAACTAAAGTTCACAAAAAAAATTTCAATAATAAAGATTAAAAATTCTAAGAGCTTTAGTTTTTAATTGTCTATCACCTTATAAAATATCTTGCAAAAAACGTAGTAGTTGGCAGCCCTATTTGCACTTCGGAAAAGGAAAGAAAAAAAAATCAGTTTTGGAATTATATACAGTCTTTACACAGGCAATTTGCAATGACAATACCTAATCCAAAAGGGTTGAAGGAGGCAATGGCCCCATGCATTAAAGGAATAATAAATAATTGAATAAATTACATAGCATATATGGGTGATTGTGAAGGGATTTAGATAATCGACTATGTCAACCGTCATCTATCAAAAGGTACCTCAAGGTGAATTCAAGTTAACATGTCTTATATACTAGAGAATTGGTATGTATTTAATATTCATAGTGGTAGTTACGCCCCATTTGTAATTCGAAATAAATTTTTTTTTGTGAGAAACACCAGAATGTTCACCCCCTTCACTTTTAATCGACACTTCGATTTTAATCCCACCTTATTTTGTCCTTAAATCATTGGTAAGAGTTTGAAAATTTTTTAACTTGTTTATTAATTTGTTTATTATAATAAATATAATTTTATTTAATTTTTTTTACAAGAACATTAAAAATATGTATTGAAAGCTGTAATTACTGAACATCCTGCACATATTGTTTTAGTGTGAAATCAAATTTCAAGAGTGCTACATTAAAGACTAACATTTTATTATAATGCAACTTTTATTGGGTTATTTTGTAAGGGCACATTTTGTATTGGTTCACAAGGCTTGCAGAGCATACCTCATTCTTGTAGTAGCATTGGCTCTAAGCACTAGGCAGGTTCCCATAAAAATATGGAAGCTAAGAATGAACTAGTCACAACACTTTTATCACCTTGGTATCAGAAACAAAACATAATTAGGCACAAAAACTGAATTACAGAGATGAAGTCATTTTATCATTTAATATAATCTTGATGCTGATTCATAATTACCCTAACAACAATTATACCTTGGCCCCAGTTGGGCTCAAATTTGGCTCAATATGGGACCTATATGAACATGCACCGAGGGACCAATATTGGGATGCCTAGATTTATAATATTGGTCTTATGCAGTGTCAATATTGGCCTATATAGGGCTCATATTGGATGAATAATGATTATAAAATACCGGTTGAATCTGACAATTTTATATTGGGTCGATATTGGTTGAAAAGCGGCAGTAAAGTATCGGGTAAATCGGATAATTCTATATAGGGCTCATATCGAAAAAATATCGGCCATTTGAATCATTATGGAGACAACCAGGGGTCTGTCCAGACATTTTGTAAAAGGTTCGTTTTTGTAAAAATGTGAAAAAATTACTCGTAATTTGGGAATATAAACGTTAAGTCACATTCTTTCAACCAGGGTCCCACTTTTGTGAATTTGAGCAAATAGGGTCAAGGAGTTTTTAAATTGTAAAGACATACGAGATTATGCTCCACACTGCAAAATTATAATTCAAAAAATTAAATTTTAAAAAATAAACAGCAATTGCTGCTACTAAATTAGAGATGCAACATACAAATATTTGGTATTCAGCCTATACTGCTGAACGCAGGATATTCATTTCGGACGAATAAAGGAAGAGGCGTCTGCAGAAGACAAAACGTTCATTTACATCCGTCTTTCTTTCCCCCACTTCATGGGAAGGGTTTATTCGATTAAAAAAACAATAATGAAGATAAACAAATTTGTGATGGGTTCGATTAAAAGAAATTATTTTCTGAAGGGTCCGTCTTTATGAAGAGATATTTTGTGAAGGGTCTGTTAACGAACCCAAATTTCATCTAAACAGACCCCTGTTAAGTTATGAAAGAAACAGATTTTTCACATAACATGGTTAATTTAGACTGACAAAATCAGAATAATCCTTACACTTTCAGCTAACATGAAGAGGTAATTCACGACGTGTTCGGGTTTCCCTTCAAACTTTTTTCTCAATTCAGGATCCTGTAAAGAAAGCAAAAGAAACTGACAAAATGTCATACATTTCAAGAATAACTTATAAAAGAAAACTACCAGAGTTATAATTGAACTCTGGAGCTGGGACGCTACAGCCACTTTCCCCAAACACACTCTCTCTGCCACAAAGCTAAATAAAAAAAGAAATAAAAAAAGAAAGAAAAGTAATTGAAGACCGAGGCAGCAGCAACCACATCCTTGAGCCGCTCTTCATAGAGAGATGATGATTCCTCACCTGTGTCGCTATGCCGACGGGGCAAGTGTTGAGATGGCACTTCCTCATCATTGTGCAGCCGAGGACGATCAAAGGCGCTGTGGAAAAGCCAAATTCATCGGCTCCCAGAATGGCAGCAACCACCACGTCGAATCCTGCGCAGGAAGAGAAGAAAATGGGAAAAAGAAAATCACTTCTCAAGGTTGATGGACAGCTTCAGGCAGAAGATGAGAACAATTTTTTTTTATAGAGAATCCGTCCATTATACATACTTACAAAGAATCACAGCAGCTTCTTTTTGTCGTAAACTGCATATCACACTAGCTTTTAACTAGAATTTTAAAACGTTACATGTAATATTTTAGAAAGTTCTTAACATGAAGCAGAAAGCCACGTTTAAAAAAAAAAATTAGAAAACTCGTTTATGTTAACCTACAGGCACGATGGAATGTTAACATTCAGTCTCACTACCAAGATCTATTCATTGGACATTTTCATTACTTATTAGGTCTTAGTTAAGATCTACTTTACTATCAGACTATTAACTGCCCAATTTAACTTCCATTGAAATTTGAATTGTGGGATCTGACCTAGTCCCAGTATGCTTACAGAGTAGTCTAAGGTATAAATCTAAGAATAATCATCTAAATAGATATCAGCATCATAAAGTATTTTATTTATTGAAAATGCTACATGTAGGTTATATTTTTTGTTTTATAATTATATACTGTCATTGAACAGCCAAAACCAATTTTTGGGTTTACGACTACTAATGTCCAACTCTTTAGCCTTTCAATTTTGAATCCAATCCAGAAGACAAGGGAACTCCAGGATTGGAAGAAATTTGCCTTTGTTGACTTTTTTGATTGGACTAACCCGCATTTGCATTAATTGGAGGAAAACCAGGAAACCTCCCACGGTCTGCTTGACGGCAAGGGGACTCTAACCCATGATCCGTCTATCTGTACTTAAAGTTTAAAAAAATTATGCTATAAAATATTGTAAAGTTCTATTACAAAAGACAGTTGTAGGCCAAGACCAATAAAAAGGTAATTTCTGCTGACAAGGACAAGAATAGTACTGAGCCTCAGCAATGAATAAGAAAACTTCCTCTTGCTGCCAAATTGACATAAAGTTCTTAAAAAATAAAACCCATAGTAATAAATATAATTGAAAGTGAAAGCATGAGGCTTTCCGTGAAATGATTCGTATGATGGAGAAGATATACGCACCAGTTCGAATTTGTCCATCGGCTTGTAGAACAATTCTTGAACGCAGGTCATTTTGGACAAGGGTTTGATGTGTTTCTGCAATGCCCAGTTCCCAGGGTAGACCTGCCCCTTTGATTCCTGTCCAGCTACTGGCACCAGTTCCTCCATCATGGCCAGATATGGTAATATGTTCAGCTTTTCCCTGAAAACAAAACATAGATTCAAAGAGGAAATAAGACTTTTTTCCAGATATAATAAATTTGTGGCGTAATCAACATACTAGGTTCAAGTGCCAAAGTTAGTAACCTAGCGAATCCTCTTCCTGAAGTATAACGAACTGAATTTCAATTTAATTAAATGTATACATACCCTCGTAAAATTTTGTTCTTTAGCTTTTGCGCTTTGCTTTACGTCTGTTCTACGTGTTTGATTATAATCCTGGATGCTTTTAATTCAGTTGTTAAAATGTTATTAAGGTTTTGTTTAAATTTAGTATTTTTTTCTTTATTATCTTTGACAATTTAATACAAACAGCCAATCTCGCCAATAATTGTTTTCCGGAATTCTGTATTTTTAGTTTTTGCTTCAATAGCTAATGATACTTATAATGATACAATTCAGATCTGAAATTTAGCCAGTATGTCTTGTTTTTAAAATAGAAATATTTATCAAATTATTATTTTTTTTAAATGTACAATCTCTAAAGTTCAGCTCTCAAATACATAAAATTTTGTACGCAATGCGTAAAAAAAAAAGAAACACCTCTAAATAAAATTGGTCTAGTGATCAGATAAATTTTTAGATGCTATGGTTTTTTAGTTTTAATTTTCTTGGTTTAACAGACCTTCTCAACCTTACAAAAGCCTACTACAGAAAAATTGAATGAAGTTTCAACTAAAAAAAAATACTTATTGAATAACAAAAAACTGGTTTCATTATTCAGGATCGAAACTGCTCGAATACACCATCTGGTGAGAAAACCGGTTCCATGCCATCAACCCTTACCCTCTCCTCTTTCCGGTTATATGGGAATGTACTATGATATTTTACCCTTCTTAACATTTTTCATATTTAATTGTTAAAAATATTTTTTTAAATTGCAATGGTGCTTTCTTTTAAAACTATGTTTAATGTAGCTTGCAGTTCCATATAATTTCCTAACTTTATAGTTTAAATCTATTTAAAAATCAAGACAGAAACTTCCTTCTCCTATGACTCTCCACACGCTAATGGTGAGAGCATGTGAAGTGTTGCCATAGGTAGAGAGTTCTGCTCTACGCCACCTGTAGTTGATTTCGATTGCCAATAGGGAAATAATCAGCTTAAAGTTCAGAAGGGGAAAAAAAATGGAAGCCCATGATTGGATATTTAAAATAAAATAACATACTGTTAGCCATTGAATAGTCAAACTTAAATTCCTCTTAACAGTTTTTGCTGTATTTCTAAAAATAAAAAACTCAGGAACATTTTACACAAATCCAATTACTTAAAAATAAATTCTTTAAAAAAAATATGAACATTAAAATGCATAATAGAATAACATCGAATTTGAAAATTAGTTTACGCTTTTTTATTATGAAAGCATCAAATTTCCAGAAGTTATCAGCGGCATCAAAATAAGTAATGTATGTGATCTACTTGCAAAGTTTCTTAAATTTTTAAATTGATAGTTTGACAAATAAATAATTAGTTGATTATTTCATTAATTATTTATTACTTATTGATTAAAAAACAGATTAGAAATTTCTTAACAAAATAAGCATATTTGTATTCAGGAAATTTAACAAAAAAATACATAATATTTATAAAGTAAGACAGATTTTAAACTGATAACATTAGACAAAAAATTTATATATTTTTTTTAAATTTATCTATTTAAGGTACAATTTCGTGTTAAGTAGAATTATTCATTTAAATTCACAAGCAAGCAACAAGACAAGTAAAAAAATCTATTTTAAAGAGGAATATTTTTAGAAGAATTTTTACTGAACTACGAAATCATGACTAGATAAACATGTCAGCCAAGGTTTATGCTTTTAAGAGCAATATCCAGTTTTAAAGCACGTCTAAAATGTTTCAGTTTTATTATTCTTTTTTTTTCATGTTCCAGACCTATTTAAACTAAAAGTCTTATAATATTAAATTCAATTTAGCACAAATGTAATCAGATACTTGCAAGAAAAGTCACGTGCGACGTTGCTTGCAGGTATGCAATTAAATCTGATCTGAAAATAGATTCAGAATAATAAATCTAAGCTTCAAAGCTGTTGCAAAGTTGAAATGCTATGAACAACCTCATGATTAAATACAACCATGTGAATAGTTACCTAATTGTACAAAATCCTAAAGCCTATTGAATAGATGATCGCAACGCTTGAATAGGCCATCTGGGGAGAAACCCGGTTTCATGCTTTTGGCCCTTTCCCCCTCTCCTTTTCAGTTGTATATAGGAATGCACTACAATACTTTTCCTCTCCTTAATATTTATCGGATTTAAATGTTAAAAATATTTTTTTAAGATTTCCATGACGCTATCTTTTAGAACCATGTTTAACATAGTTTTCAGTTCATTTAGTTTTCTTACTAAAATTTTTTTTAACCTACATGAAAAATCAAGACAGAAACTAACATACTTCCTTCTTCTATGACTCTCCACACGCTAATGGTGAAAGCATGAGAAGTGTTGCCATAGGTAGAGAGCTCTGCTCTACGCCAACTCTAGCCAATTTCGATCAATAATTCAAAATTATTAAAGTTATAAAGTTAGAAATTGTGGAAAATAAAAAGAAATATATAAATTTTTGCTCATATAAAAATAACTTCTTATCTCACCTTGGCAACACCAGAAGCAACAACACCAACTCCAACTTCAGACACCAGTTTAACGGATATTCTGGCTGATGGATTAGCACACTTCAAGTCGTATATAAGCTTATTGAAATGAAAAACATTCAGTTAACCACAATACCACACTTTACTAAAGGTCAGTTTCAGAGAGCAAAACTTAGAGTAATAATTGCTTTTTTAGTAATTTTCCATACTGCATAATTTTTAAATATATATATACGCCTCTATTAAACTTATGTTTAACCAAAATCAATAACAGTCTTTGCCATTTTTTGCTTTTATCCGAAATCTACTTTAAATAAGACAACAGTCAACAATAGAAAAATAGTTTAAACATTTTATCTATTTTAACATTTCCTTAACACTAAGCATAGCAACACTTTACCTTACAATACAATACAACATACAATAACCGGTCTTTTAACCAGTTATGTTATGCTTAGTGTTAATAAAAAAATTACAAAAGACTTCAAACTTATCCAACTTTGATATGAACTAACTGAAAAACTAATAGCCGAATTCAATAGCATTCTGGTATGTGAATGTTTTTTAAACATTTATTCAGAATAGTGCAAAATTTCATGTTTTTTCACGTAATAGTTTTTGAAATATGACAGTGAATGCACCACTGAAACACTAGGACAGCAGCAGAAATTTTATAATACAAAAAAAAAATGAAAAAATGCAATAAACCTGCATATTAGTTTATTATATATAGTTTTTATAAATAGTTTTTACTATTTAGAATTTTTGCATTTTATGTACCGTATATTTCCGGCGTATAACGCGCACCAATAATTTCTAATAACTTTTCTTAAATTTCAAGATATACTCTTCGTATAACGCGCACGAAAATTTGGATTGTACATGTGCAATATTTCGTCTAGTATCAATAGATAACCAGAAAGCCTTTTAGTGTGGAACATGTTTAGGTCCCACCTTACAGATAATACAAAAAAATTGTTGAAAGAATGTAACACCGATATGGCAGTTATTCCGGTCGAAATGACACTATTAGTTCAGCCATTGGACGTATGTTTAAACAAACCATTTAAAGCCAATTTAAAAAAAACAGTGGAACACTTGGATGTTGGAGGGCGAGAAAACCTTTACAAAAGGAGGACATATGAGTCATGCAAGTTTGGAAACAGTGTGCGAATGGATATTAAAAGCATGGGATGAAATTAAGCCTGAGATGGTTACAAAATCATTCACAAAATGCAGTATTTCAAATAATCTGGCCGGATCAGAAGATGGCTGTTTATTTATAGATGAGGGTAACACAGATGAAGACGAAACAGATTGTGATGACATGCCTGAAGAAATAACGGAAGATGAATATAATGAACTATTTATGTAATAACGAAAATCAATAAAGTATATAGGTAAAGGTATGTTATTTCTTCAAAATAAAAGTCTTTCTATAGTATTTAAATTTTTTTAATCTATAATTTTTTATATTCGGCGTATACCGCGCATAAATTCCAATGTTATTTTTTGTATTAAAAGTGCGCGTTATACGCCGGAATATACGGTACTAAAATATTTCACACAAAAAAAAGTATTCATTTCTATATTATACTATATTGGAATCATCAAAAGAAGGAACTTTAATTATCCTTTCAGTAAATAATGGGCCAAACTAATGAAATTTCATCTAAAATAGTTGATGACAAAATAGTTCAAGTAATTTCAATTTTGTTCAAGATCTGGATTCCATCTGGTGTATATACATTAGGAAATAGATTAAGAGATTTGTTTTCCTTGAATTTATGTAAATTTACAAGTCTATAAAAAATTACTTTTGCTTTCTTTTGGAATTGTATTTTTCCATTCTATTTTTTACTATTTACAAATAGAATTCTGTTCAGCAACTGAGGCACGATTTGATTGCACATAGCAATTTAAATTAATTTTTTTTAATTGCTCCATTTATTCTTATTTTTTTCACAAATTATAAAAATATGTAATTACAGTTTAATTTTTAATCTAAAATATATTATAAGGATGCCAGTTAAAGATTTTAATTTTTATGTGTTTTTATTTTTTAATAATCATTTTATTTTTCCAATTCATGTGAGCACCCTGCAGTCTTTCTGATGATTTGGAGCCAGAATGCCTTTCATCGTGCCCCGGAACCCATTAAAACTAACAGTAATGCCTTAAAGCATATATGTTTTTTCTTTTTTACAGAAATGTGTTCACTGCAATGTTAAAAATAATTTATAGGTTCTCTGGTTACTTTTTGAACAATTAACCCAATGATCAAGCATACAGGAAATAAAACAACATACTGAGGTGGAGGCTGAAACTAGACTAGCATTTTATTTACAGACAAAGAGATAAATTTATGACAACACTACTGTCATCTACACAAGCATTTCTGCTGCCATCTATGTACAACATTTTATAACACAAACTAACCCATTTTATACTTTTTACCTTTTGATGAATATTTATAAATTTCTTACCTCTGCTAAATCTTCAATAGAGTAAATGTCATGATGAGGTGGAGGACTTATTAAACCAACTCCGGCTATGGAATGTCTAGTTTTAGCAATATCTTTAGAAACCTATGAGAGGAAAAATATTTAATTTTTTTTTCCATCTATGAATTTTTCTATGAATGATTGACCGTGCTAGGCTAAGGGCTGATGGTGCTAGGGGTTAAAATTCGATGTAAAACTTACGAGTTACTACTTCTGACTGATTTTTATGCCAAAGCTTGAAAAAATGCACCATCCAATATTGTTATAGCAGTGTAATATAATAGTAGCGTTCTCAATATAACACATTCTTTCAATATAACTTTCAAGGAAACAAACAAATTAATTCAGAAGACTCGACAAGCTTGCTATGATGTTACCCAAGAATTAACCTATTTGCACAAATATAGCCAAATAAGGGATAACACTAAAAACATAGCTAACCATACACTTTATGTTGCGATATTAATCTTGCTTAATTTGTTTTTGCTCACGACCTGTTAGAATTAATTAACTACAGAAAACTCTTATGAATGGTAAAATTATGCATAAATTAAAACATAAATCACAATCATAAAACTTCCTAGAATATTAAACCTGCTCACGCATCCCCTTGTAAGCATAACATAAGAGGGATACACTGGAAGTTTTCTAAACTTCTTCCGGTTTAAGGAAGCTTGTCATTGTTTACATTCAGTTCATGCATTTATTTAAATAAAATTTTAAATATGATTTTATTCAGAACAAATGACAGTTCCCTAAGCTTTTCGGTTTTTGGTTAAAAAGGCTAAAAATCTCTTATTGCTCACTTTTTCAACAAAAAAAGCATTTTCTTAAATAAAATTTACTGTTGTTCTCTCATTATAAAGCATGTTTTATGATCATAATGATCAGGGTGTTTCTGGGTCAGCAATCTAAATTAAACAATTTTTCAAATACAGTTTTTTCCAATTGACTATTAAATTAAATGCATAAGAAACAGTTTTCATGCATATGAAAATTTAGTTTTGGTCATTTTTTTAAAAAAAAGAACTATTTTTAACACTTTGGAAACCTACAGTTGCCCGAACATAAGCGGAGAGTTTTTAGCGGAGAGGAGCATAAGTTTTCTAAATTTCTTCTGGTTTTAGAAACCTTGTTAACATTCAGTCAACCGTACATGAAAGAATATTCAGAAAGTTATCTAATCCTCAACTATTAAAGGAATACTCTACATATGAGACAGGCAGGATTAACCAGAGGGATGCAGTGAGTGAAAACATGTTTAAATTCCTTAATACAGTTTGGTATAAATTATGCTGGCATATGTCATATGTTAATTATAGAACAGACAACTCAAAACAACCAAATGAGTTACACAAAAACAAAGAGGGGATTTGATTAAAAAGGCAATTTTAAATACATCAATCAAATAAAGGATTTTGCATACTAGCAAAAAACGTAAATCTGGGAGTATCTGCTTAATAACTGTTTCATTCATGCTCCTATTTAAACAAGTAATAACATAATTAATCTTAAAAAATGCATGCTAGTAAATATAACCATTATTTTATTTGCAGAACCACTTGTACGCTTTTTTTGTGTTTACCTACTTTGTGTTAGCCTGCATCACACTTACTGTCACAGTTAAGAAGCATAGATTGATACAGTTAGTTACGTGGCAATTCCGCATTGAGTTTCGCACTTAGATGCAAGCTTATACTTATTACTCAACTTATTTTATTTTATAACCATCGTTGAACAACCAATTCAGTTTTGGGTTTATGACTACTAATGCTCAATTCCGTAGCCTTGTAATTTTGAACCCAATCCAGAAGACAAGGGAACTACTGGATCAAGTATTGAGAGAAATTTGCCTTCGTGGAGGACTTTTTTGATGGAACTAACCCGTGTTTGTGTTACATGGAGAGGAAGACCACGAGAACCTCTCATGGTAAGCCTGATGGCAAAGGGACTAACCCAGTGTTTCTTAACCTTTTTGATATAATGGATCCCTTTTAAAAAATTTTAAGAAGTTACGGACCACCCCCCTGTGAAAAAAAATAGCAAAAAACATTAGAAAACATTTAATTTTATTATTTTAATAGTATACAAAATTTTTAAAATTAAAATTTTTAATGTGAAGGTTGCTGCTGCCTTTCCTTAATTAATAAATTTAATTGGGGGATGGTTTTCGACAAAGCAACGTGTATATCATGTTCAACATTCAATCGATTTCGATGCTATATTTTTATTGTCACAAGTGTGGAAAATCCCGCTTCGCAAAGATACATAGTAGCAAACGGAATTATAGCCGCCACAGTTCGATTTACAAGCAATGGGTAGGCTTCCAAACATTTTAAAAATTAGGGGTAGTCAGCAGACCCCCAAAATATAACTCATGGACCCCTTAGGGGTTCATGAACCACAGGTTAAGAAACCCTGGACTAGCCCATGATTAGTCTACTACCGAGGATATTTCACGGCAGCACTGTGGTCGGTGCGAGCCGGATGCGGATTCGCCATGACCAGTCATTGTTATGATTCAAACCCGGTTCACCTCAATGGAAGGTGAATGCTTTATCCTGAGCCATTGCGGCTCACACACAACTTATTTATGCATAATTTATAATACTACCTATAAATATACATTATAAATAATCAAAATTTGAAATAGAAATACACGCTACTATAAGTATAAAAATTTTAATTTTTAAGTAACAAATTCAAATTTCCAAAATAAAAAAAGATTAATACTCAGATTAAACTATTAAAAAGATCTTTAGTCCATGATAAAAAAAAATGCATAAAGTACTGAAGCATCGAATTAGTACATTCAAGTCTCGCTAACTGTAAAGATCAAAGATTTTGAAATTTGAACCAAAAGAAATTTGTGTTCTAGAAGAAATTTTTCTTCTCTAGTTCCAAAAGACAATAAATTATTCTGGAAAAATTTATGCAGAATTGAATAAAACTTCAAAACTGAATTTTTTACGTTAAAAATGAGTTCACATACCTTATATCCTGGGAGTTCACCCCCTTCTCCTGGTTTTGCACCTTGTGCCATTTTGATTTGCAATTCATCAGCATTTGTTAGGTATTCAATAGTTACTCCAAAACGTCCAGATGCAACCTTAAAAACAGAAAATCAAACTATTTTTTGCACAGATACCTAATATATCTTTTCTGGCAACTAAGAACAATATTTCTGAAACAAACTTTTTATTTCCTATGAAATGAACTTTAAAATTAATAATTTAAAATACATCAACTCTAATGGAAAAACCTTATAAATATTTAAAAACAAAACTAAAGTCTGTAAATACACAGCACTGTATCAAAACTACAATACAATTAAAATATGATCTATTAGAAAAATTATAGTTTTTCAAACAAAATATTTAGTAGTAGTCTATAAGAATGGATCTTTATCAGATTGTTCTAAGTAATTAACACAACTTAATTAAAGATCCATACTACTAATCACTAAACATAATTTGTTTAAAAAAGTAATAGTAAATAGCTCCCTAAAATATTTTCACATAAAATGCTTTAACTAAACATATGATGGGTGCTGCATTATATTTCTCGAATAAAGGGAATCCATCCTTAAAAAAAGCTGACACAATATTAAGCTTTAAAATTAATGTTTCTTAATATTAAATAGCAAATTTAATGAAATAACGTCTTTTGGGAGAGAGAACATAAAGATGGTAAGACCTGTAATGTGCCAAACAAAAATATTAGGTAACACAAAATCAAACTATATTATAAACTAAATAATTTATCTACTTTTCTACAAACTAAATCTAAAAAGAGATAGGAAATAGGCAGTATCAGGGTTTAAAAACCTATAACTAACCAAAGAAGGTAAAAAATTAATGCCTTGAGATTAGACACTAAGTACTACCTCCAATCAGAAGGTGAAAATAGTTTTCTCGCTTAAAAAGCAAAATGTGAAAGAATCCTTCGAAAATCTAATTACCGCTGCATTTTTGTCTGATTTGTTTTCTCAAATGAATTTTCGACCCTCTATGAAATTCAAAAATGTATAGTACAGATTTTTAGAAGATTATAAACTTAATACACATAGATATAGATTTGATATTGTATGAATTAAATTCATTAAATTGGATTAAAGTTGTTTTCAAGGGCTTTTTGGCAAATTATTTGTGAATAATGGACTATTTTTTTTTTAAATGTTGCGAGATTGCACTAGTGATAGATTATGTGCAATTCTAGTCTGGACACTTAATAAAATAAAAGCATTTCATTAAAAAAAAAATTTATGTTAAATGAATGTTTAGGTTCTTCTTAGGTTCTATTTTTAATCTTTGGAAAGATTCTGCAAGGAATTGTTAAGACTCATAAACATATGCTAAAAATGAAAATTATTCCTAAATTTTATTGTCTTTAAAATCACTAAATTTGCTATTTTTACTATTACTTAATTTTAAAAACTAAATCTATCTATTTGTTTTTAAGTTCAGTTAATTTTATTCAGTAAGATAATATAAAATCAAAGCTTTACTTTAAATTTAGGTAGGTACTTTAATTACGTCGCACTAGAGCTGCACAATGGGCTATTGGCAACGGTCTGGGAAATATCACTGAGGATGATTTGAAGACATGCCATCACAATTTTGATCCTCTGCAGAAGGCATGGCACACCCGCTTTGGTAGCCTAATGACCAGTACGCTGTCTAGCACGTTATGGTAAGACAGTTTAACAAGGACATATACCGTACACTCTCTGTCCCTAAGCAGGCTGATCAACATCGTCCCCCACCTGCTTACTGACAGCAGCTAGTGATGCTTGACTTAGTTTGTTTTACTGTCTTCATGATCAGTCCAATGCGGGACTCTTTCAAATTAGGAAATTTATGTTTTCCTTTCTTTGATGAAAGAATTCCAAAAAGACAGCTTAGAACAAGTCAAAAAGAAATGGTACCTGTTTAATAGCTGATCTGGCATTATTGTTAGAATCTGTGATGACGAATCTGTCAGGATCTTCTCCCCCTTCTCCTGTATTGGACTTTCCACCCACTCTGTTCATTGCAATGGCCAGGCTCTTATGTGCTTCCAATGATATGCTCCCAAAGCTCATTGCACCTAAAGCACAAGCAATCTATATTGACTACTTCATTTTACAACACAAAATAAGTTTTTAAAATCTCAAAATTTCTATACTCGTGACAAGTTAATCTGGCAGCGTTATAATACAACTGTACATAATATTGCACCTAAGAAATAGTTATTCCTTCAGCTATTAGCTATTAAAACTTAGCTAATTGCTAATAGGAACTCAAAGAGGAAATTCCAATGAAGAATAAAAAAATAAAGTTTGATTGGAAAATAGTTTTGAAATGTCAGGACATTAAATTTTGGTATTGTGTCCTTTCTTTCCAGAGAAGCTATTTTAATGTAATAAAATTATTAAGATTCATTTTATTTCCTTTTAAAATGTAAGCTAAATAATGTGAATTAAAATTTCCTGAACTAAAATAATTATATTTACTTTAAGGAGAAAACAAACTATTTATAAGACCAGAAGTACGTAAGTGATAGAACAGTTGTGCATAGTAATAATATAAGATTTTGCATAGTATAAGATTTTGAAACTAAATGGTGAAAACCAATTGATTTAAGTAGTTTATACCAAACCAAATCTATGCCATTTGATTGACAAAATGGAAATCAACTGGGATTTTTTTTTTAAATTCATATGCAGTATCAAGTTATGTCTCTTATATTGCCTGTAATTTATCCTCAAACAATTCATTCTTTAGAAATTCATTTGTCAGTAACCTGCAAACAATTATATGCAGATGCGAATTTTTTCTGCAATAGTGAAAACAGAAATGGCAGCCCTGTCTTCCTTTCAAGCTTCTATAATGCACTTGCGAATTTGCATAGCCCATTACACACTTTAATATTAAACTTATATAAAGTCTGACACATTTGTAAAAAGGAAATAACATACTCAATTGCTAGAAAGATTATAAGTTAGTTTTATTTTTCTTGCATTATAAAAATGTAGGGCTTAAGACGGAAAAGTAACTACACTTGTTTACACTTCTTTATAATAATATAAACAAGGCAAGGCATATTTCAATGAATTAGGGTAAAGATTTTAAGTTATACTCCTCTTTATTCAGCAGATACAAACTGATCGTGTAAAGTGGCGACACGAGAAACAGATGCGAAGTAACGAACACAAACAAGCAGACATGAAGCTATGGAAACATGTGATGGGAAAGAGGAAAAATTACTTTGCCATTAGCACCACAGGTATAAAATTAAATTTTTTTTTATTGTAAGCAGCGTTGGATCACCAGTCTGCGGATTGGTTGTTGAAAAACACTGTTCTACATCAATTAAAAATTTTGTGAATCTTACCAGTTGCAAACCTCTTAACAATTTCTTTTGCTTCCTCAACCTCTCCAATGTCAATAGGATTCGGTACTTTAACAAACTCAAATTGACCTCTAAGAGTACAAGCTCGCACATTATCCATGGTTGCTTCGACGAATTTTTCAAATGCGTTCTTATTGTTTGATCTTGCTGCATCCTAGATGGAAAGACAAGAAAAAGTTACATACGGAGCAATTTTATTGACGAGAATATTAACACCCTCTCTGCAATCTTTTTTAAAAGTGCTTATAACAGTTTCAAGTTATCTAAGTTATTTATAGCCTTTTTTTCTTTTTTGTACAGTGTGCAATAAGAGAAATGAAATACCCTGAATAACTTTTGATCTAACGATCTACGAAATCAGACAAAAGTGTTAATTCCCTAAATAAACTTGCAGTTTTTGAGAAATTTGGATTCCAGATCCTCAGAAAGTAAAATTAACGTTTCCAATTTCTGGAACACTTCTGAAAAAACTATTGTGACCATATTACTTTCTACATTTTGGGGGTTCAAATTTGTAATCCATCAAAAAAAGGTATGTTTATTTAGGAAAAGTATGTTTTTGTGTAAAATTTCGTAACTTAAAATATCGTCCACACTCATTAATTAGCGTATTTGAGGCCACCTCTTTGAACCATTAAGTTTGAGCACTAGTATGTGAAAATCAGATCATTAGATCGAAGGTTATTTAGAATTGATTTTTTTCTTTGCACACCATACATCATTCAAAATTTGCTATTGTAATTTTTTTTAAACTTAAAGCATGTTGCAATTTATTTTTTTAAGAAAAAAAAATTTAAGTATGCTAACACAATTTAAATGGAGATACTGCGGTAAACCTTAAACTTATTGAAAAAAAAGATTAAAGAATTTAAAAATGATCCTTAAATTAAAATCTAAAAGTAAAATTAAATTACTCTTGGAATGTTACATAATTTTGAAGAAATTGAAATATGTATTTTGAAATAGAGTGTTTTAGACAGTTTTTAAATAAAGTGAATTTGGACTTCTCGTACTAATTATCAAAATTATCAAGGGTCTAACAATACAAAGACTATGCACAAAAACAGCAATCAATGCATTTCAGAACAAGGCAAAATAATTGTTGCCATCCAGTGCCATTAAATATAAGAAAGTGCTATTACATTATTGCTGGCTAGTTTTCACCTGATCTCCACTAATTTTTTTATTAAACGCACTACATGTGCATTTTATTATTCTTTCAATAAATATGGAATCATGAATACTTCATAATATTCTGAAAACTTTATTTCATGCTCTTTAACATTTTTCTTTATTTTCGAATTAAACCTAGTAATTTTTAATATATTTCGAAAACTGCTAAAAAAACACTTCATATTATCAATATTAACAGTTTTAAAATTATCAAATTTAGAAAAAGTGGCCACATATTTTAAAAAGTAGCTACAGTTAAAGCTACAACTAGTTAATGACAAGAAGCAAAATTTCCGAATTTTACCCTCTACATTACAGTAATAAAACTCATATTTACGATAAGGCAACTATGATATAAAATCAAAATGACATTTTTTATGATGTTACTACTCATACTGGATGAGTTCAATTTTTTTTAAAGAAATGCACCTGCAGATTTGCAATAGCCAAGGGATCATTGATATGCTTCTCTCCCCCGCTTCTCCAGTGGTAGTTGCCAGGATTTCGCAGTACGATGTTGTCACAGTCTCTGTCGCTGTAAGCAATGCGATATCTTTCCAAGTTCTCCTCAGCAAGGGTCTTGAAGGTGACTCCACCAATCCTGGATGGTGTGTTCTGAAAGAAAATTTATTCACTCTCTTTAACTGAACAAAATATAATTGGCTGAAAGGATAAATGCTTTAGTCAACATTTAGTTTGTTTTTTGTGCTGAAAGCTCAACATTCTGGAAAGCACCAAAAAAAACTTTTCATTTCTAATGTCAGATTATAATCATTTATAGCAGAAAACTATAAAAAGAAAGAACACAAAGTACAACAAAAAATCCTGAAACAGAATTCATTAATCTAACATGTCAAGCCTCCCAATAATGCTCGGCGAGAAAAGTCTTGTCCGAAGCAGGAGAGTGGAGTAGATGTGCGGAGACCATGACCTCTCCAGAGCTGCACAGAATGCATATCGGGGAAGGAACAGTTTTGAGTCTATGAAAATGTTTCCTTAGGCAGTCATGTCCAGTAGCTAGGCAGAATTCAGCCACTGCTCTACACCTTGGACCATTACACAAATTCAAGATGGCATTCTTCCAGGACTTTGGGGAAACACGGTTATAGAGGTCTTCTTGAGCACGGGCTTCAATAGATATTTTAATAAGATTTTTAATAGTATGAAAATGCATAGGACGAGATTTTCTTTGCATATAATTAAAGCATCCTTTGCAAAAAAAAAGAAAAACTCTTATCAGTGGACTGTCCCAATCTAAGCGAAAAAGAGCTTTTACAAACTGTGTGAGAAGGATATTGATATCTTTACTATTAAGGAGGATAAAAATTACTGGTTTTTATCAGAAATAACTCTTATCTGCACAAAGTTCCAAAGCAGATTTGGATGTAAATTTGAAAACATTTTAAAACATTGCACTCATTGAAGAAATATTTGCAGAATTAAATCATTCCAGATACATTGAAAATGCTCCCTATTTTGAATTTCAGTAATAATATTCAGCACCAACACTGCAAATTTTATAGCCTTAAAAGCTTTGACGAGGCAGTAAAAAATGCTAATTATAAAATATCTTCTGGTATTTATTGGTTATATGAACCATGACACCAATTTCTCAACATATACAAACATGTATATACAGTACAAATTACAATACATGTAAAATACAATGCATAGAATATTTCCACAAATAAGGTTTAGAGACTTTCATAAAAAATTTTTTTAAAAAGCTTCAGAAACTACATTGCTATCAAACAAATTTACATAACAGATTCATAATTTTTAATGGTAAAATAACTAACTAACTCAGTGGCGCGACAGCCCATTAAGAGGGCCAAGGCCGACTGTGCCCATCTCAGTTTTCTTGACCTTGGGCAATGGTAAAATACATTGTATAAATTTATTTTAGATATTTTTAATATAATTAATGAATAACGTGTCAGATCATATTATAAAAATAAATATTTTCCTTTTTTAAATAAATTCAACAAAGAAATAGAGTTCTAAAATTTAAATGGACTATAAAGAATTTTTTTTTTTTAAATACTTATTTGAGACCAAATTTTATTTCTTAAATAAGCACACAAAAAATGAGCTGATAAATTCACATGAGAGGAAATTTTTCGGAAACTTTTAGATTAAGAGAATCTTTTTCAGAGTTTATTAAAAACAAATTTTTTCGATTATACTAAAAACTGACAAATTGCAGTATAGTTAAGTGGGAAATATAATAGAGTTAACATTTATGTGAACATTAAAATTTTAACACAAAATATATTTGAAAATGAAATTTCCCAGAAATTAGATAGTCTATCACTTTTATTACCTCTCCTAATGGATATCAATATCATAAAGAACTACAATTTATTGGCACAAACTCAGTTCAATTATCTTTACTCAAAATTATAACATAAATTAAGGAAAATCTACTGTCTTTAAACTCTTCTAGTATTTTTCTAATTTTCTAAGAAACTGATGAAAATTTATACAGAAAGGTCAAAACTTCAAAAGAAAACTGGTGAATTCCCCCAAACATTTCTTATTCAAATTGTAGATTTCTAAATTCATGTTTTCAAAAGTAATGAACTATGAACCTTGTTTACATACAGAAAATGTTTTTGTATTTAAAACTAAATTGTGTATTTTACTCACTTTGAAACAGAAATCAACAACTTCTTCACTTAAACCAACTGCTTCAAAAATTTGAGCTCCCTTGTAACTTTGTAAAGTTGAAATTCCCATTTTTGCCATAACCTAAAAATTATAGAGAAAGTTATTTTTTACCAATTCAATAAGCAGACAAGTTCAAGATTATATATATATGTAACATAAAAAGCTTCAATTAATCTTTTTATGTTAGTTTCTTTGCTATAAAACTTCATCCTAATTAATTATTCTAATCGAAATACTTTCTCACACTTTTAAAAGCCACATCCTGTTCTTAAATCTATTTTTGGCTCAAGTATGCATTTAATTAAGAGCAGGACATTTTTCCCTTTGCTCTTGTGTGGGAAACGTTCGATCTATCTCATAAACCAATAGCAACTACTAAGATTTCCCTCTTTCCCTAAATTAAGACATTTTACGGATTTTACTTTGCAAGATTTTCCCTAACATATAACCAAGGAGCGCAACTTTTCGTGTGCACTTTTACTCATTCTCATGACTGCTCTTGTCTAATAATTAATAAATAAATTTTGTACCCTCCTTCCCGACCTATGACCTGTTTTAATCCTTCCACTCGGCAACGACGTTATAAGTCGCCAGGATTGAACGGTCGGGAAGGGGTACAGTTCGTACGGTACATTAAAGATATTTAATATCTCATTTGAAATTAAATAAATCAACTTCGGAAGAGGGTACTTCAAAAATATGGAATAACTTCAAATCATTTATTCAAATGGACATTTGGTAAATAAGCAGTCAAATTCTTCTTCAACTTATGGCAATAATTAATTCATCCTGTATCTTCATCAAAAAAAAAAATAATCTCTTCAATCATCAAACGTTTAGTTTATTATAAATTATACCTACGCACAGTGGAACTAAACGATCATCCGTTTTCCATGTCTATGCTGCATATTTTGTCTACGTTCCTGAGACTACTAGAAAGCTGAGCTTCAATTTCCTTCCTTGGACTAAAAAGAAAAACTGCATCGAACTCCTGATAATTAAAATGTTTTTATTGAAACCCTATCCCTTTGAGAAAGCGTTGATTTTGCCACTCTTAAGTGCTGAGCTGGATTTTATCGTCGATGAATTGTTTTCACACCCCGGAATGGTTTACGATGGTCTCCTTAGATGTTTGACATTCCTCTCCCACCTACTCAGAACTCAAAGAAAAATAAGCTTCAATTTCTCCATTCAGTGTTAATTTACTATTCATCTTAACGAAGAAACAAATTTTTTCCCTAGCAGCTCTCGTCTTTGTTTTTGGAATTGTGTTCACGGAATTTCAAAGCAGTCATCTCTGATGTTGTGGTTTTCAAAATATCTTGGACTAATTCGAACTTTTTCACGTATCCTTTGCGTTTATATTTTTTTACAATTCTCATAAAACAATTTCTTGAATTTTTATTGATTATTATTTTAAATTTTTTTTTAATCATTTTTGATGTTTCAAAGTGAAACTACTTTTTATATATTAATCGTATTTACTGTTGAAATTTTTTCCTTGAAATTTTTATTTTCAGTGAATTGATTGTCATAAGAATTGTTTCGAGAAATTATTTTCAAATTTATTGTTTTATGTGTTACAGCTTCTATGATTTATTGATTAGTTTAATTTATGTTTTTGTTTTACAGTGATTAGGGTTTAAATGAAAATGCCATTTAAATTTTTTCTCTTCGTAATGCAACTGCAATAATTATTGAAATTCAATTTTAATATATGAATGCAATTACGGTGTGGCAAAAATTAAATCAATAAATGGTAAAACTAATGCAAATAGTTTGGAAAAATGAATAAAATACTTGTTAGAATTAAAATTGAAGCACAACCAGACATTAATGCTTTAGTTCAACGTTGGTAAATAGTTCATAGCTCAGTTCTAGCTCAGACATTTCCATAGACAAACAACATAAAGATAGGAAAATGATCAAACAAATTGAAAAATTTAGTAACCAAATTCACTTCAAAAAACACGTTAGAAATAGAAATAAAATATTTGAATTTTCTAACACTCAATTGTGACAAGTTAAATTACTAATTAAGATCTCTGCACAAAAATTACTTTAAAAAATATCCAAACTAAAATTTTGAAAAAAAAAAATATTTATGTCCAAAAAGAAAGATAGAAATAAAAAAAAATAAAAAAATTCAAATAGCAGAATTGAAAATTATCTTGTGTTTTCTAATATTCTTGAGACTAAATATGATAATGGTGCGTAACATTGTCAAAATCATGTTGACAGAATTGTGCAAATCCAAGAAAATTAATAAATTCCTAACTTCAGGTGATTTTGCAAAAACATTTTCAAATATTTTGCTATTAAAGTGACGAAAAATGTAAGGTAAATAATAAATAAAGTGAAATGAAGTAAATACTGAAGTCTTGGACTTCAGAGTAACAACCACTGTCATTTTTTTTATTTATTTTGTTTTCAAACAAGGTAAACAATACTCAAATCAAATTTCAGATTGAAATTTTTCCAGGAAAAATGTTTTTTGTATTTTGTGTTTCACATTTTAAATTACACATTTCTAACAAATGTTTATAAATTTTTGTCATCATGATTGAAGAGTTAACTTAAATAATGTTTTTATGAAGAATACTTCTTATAGTGAAAAAGCTGTGTTGTGATTTTTAAACAAAAGATTTTTGAAACTGAAAAAACTGTTAAGTAAAAAAAAAAACTTGAAAATGAAAATTTTAAAATTGCTGATAATGCTACTACAGATTTTTGATTGTGTTAAATTTTTTACAATGAGAACATATGTAAATGTTTTATAATTTATATTACTTTTATATATTGTTACCATTACAAATTTGGTTATTTTATTTGTACTTCTACCATAGGGAAGATTTTGCAAATGGATAATTTCAAAATTTTTGG